TCTTCATGCTCAAGATTGGATGAATTGAAAAAAAACACAGAGAGAACTTGTGTAATTGATGCCAAATTCTTCATTGACAAGAAGATGAGATTTGAGTAAAAAAGTTGGCTGAGGATTAGTTTTTGTTACCGACTGGCGCTTTCTAGAGGAAGAGGGAGACGATACAAGAGACGAGGATGTGCAAGATAGTGAGAACCCAAGTGGTCCGACCGAAGAGAGGCCAGGCCTAGGTCCAACTGCTGAAACCATCGACCAGCTAGTGGTAGGGACAGAGGCGATTCCTGTGTCAGTTGGTATGGCGAGAAGTCATGCCGATCAAGCTAAAGCTTAGTTTCATTTGAACATAAGGGCCCTTAATCAGCTTGGTATTTTCAAGTGCTCAGAACAAGTTGTTTTTGTTGTCTTCTTAATTTTACTTATGTTGGGATTATATTTATGTTATTAATTAGTATGAATGATTTTGATATTTCACAAGTTTTAAAGTGCTATTTGTGTGTGATGTTTGTGTAAGCGGAGCCGACCAAAGGTTTTATACTTGAAAAAAATTTAATGACGTAAAAAGTTTGAACTCCATTGATCAAAAGATAAGTAACATACAAGGGTTCCAAGTCGAGCACTCTAGTTGGTTGGATAGTTCGCTACCATGTGTGAGTGCTCGATAAGGAAAAATACTAGGTGGTATACAAAAATAGTTATCCGTATTCGCAAAGAACCGTAACGCATCCTAAGGGTAGTATTAGCTTAGGTGTTCGGTGTTCGGTGTTCCATGAATGACGTAGTTCTTGCCATTGAGTTGGGCTAGCCAATACATACCTGGTCGGGCAATGTCCGTGACCTGATACACTCCTACCCAGCAAGCCCCCAATGTGCCTGCGGCTCAGTCCTTGGTGCCGAGTAGTAATTTTCTGAGGACTAAAACCGAGCCGTTGCTAGTCATAATATCGATCCGCCACTGGTATGTGGCAATGTGAAGTGCATCGTGAAGTGGTCGACCTGATGAGTAAGTGTTAGATATATGCCCTAGAAGTCAATATAAAAATTGAAATATTCTAAGGATATATAATATAATTAATATAATTAAAGGGGCATGAATGTTACTGTAAGATACATAATGTAAATAAAGTAACAAGTCCATGGATAAAGATATGAATGCAGAGTTGTCTAAAGAAGTTAGATTCTAGAGACCTTTCAATCATAGTAATATCAAATCCTAAACTGTTAATGGTCATAGGATTACCAATTGGCCAATGGTAATCTGCAAAGACTGGTACACATTATGTCTGCTCAATTGGGAGGATGACTAGTCTTAAGTCATTCGTGTAGAGACACTGAGACAGGTGTGTAGGTACTCTATAGAGATGAAGTTCATTGAACATGGTCAACTTAAGAATTCTTGTATGGAAGTCTTACTCACAAATGTCAAACAAAGAATTCTAAAGTTATGATAATGCAAATTAGTCCTAAGACCTAAGACATCACGGTTGTTTTGTGTATGGTTTGTTTGTCTTTGAGAGCACCATAAAGTCGTATCAAAATGATGTGACTTAAAGGTGTTCCTCAGGATACTCAACACATGCATAGAGGCATGTGAATGTACAACAAGGAATCTCTACTCTTAGTATAAGACGAGAGAATACTCTTAAGATATGATTCGTTGAATCTTTGGCCAAAGTACAAGATGAGAATTGAAACAATAACATTTGCAATTAAATCCAAGATAATCATATATCCTAAAGATGTCATGTTAAGGGTTTGACACGAGTTAACTATATCCCAACAACATGACATAAAGTATTGTAATAGAGAATGACCGAATTGTATTGTAATCACAAATGGACTCGGTTCTCTAAATGAATTCTATTTAGCTTGGATAGCCATGACATACTGCTAGGACTTATGGTTTGTGGATGCCCTGTAAGGACTAATTACAATTAACTTTCGCCAATAGGGAGAATTGTATAGAGGGATACAATTCACATTCGGTTTAGAAGTAATCATTCTTACCCAAGGCCTCACTAATTAGAACCTATAAGATCGCACACCGAAAAGGTATGGATCAAGAATTGAAAACAGAATGAATGAATTTGTGGGTTGGTCAAAGTCAAAGTCAAAGTTGTTGACCTGATACTTGACATGGTTAACACAAGATTGACTAGGACCAAAGCTGGTTAGACAAGATATTTATTTAATTCGTTAAGTCATCAAATCAATTAAACTAATTAGATTAGCTTAAATGAATTAATTAAAGTTATGGAACTTTAATTTTGGTCCTTTATGACTTAAACATTTATAAGAATGGACCTCATGGACTTAGGCATAGTGTGACACCAAAGTAGCCCAAAAGGCCCAAGAAGAGGGAGGGTGCGGCACATAGGGGTTTTTGGGGACACATGTGTGACAAAAAGTCTCTATATATTCATACCCATAGCATTAAACCTCCTTATGATTTCAAGTTAGGCATTTAGGAAGTGAGGAAGACATCAAGCCTCCTCCCTAGTCTCCCTTCGGCCGGCCACCATAGAGAAGAAAAGGCTAGCACCCATTTTCTTTCTTGGTTCCTTATTTTCTCATTCTCATTCTACCTTGGTGAAGATACTTTGGGGAGACATAACTTCTTTTGTGCCTATTTGGAGAACAAGGTGGATAATCAACAACTAAGGGACAACTCCCTCTACTTGAATACCATTTTGGGATTCAAGATACACTCCGAAGGTAACCTCACTTTGTACCTTCTCTTTAATATGTGATATTGGTATCAATGGTTTAAACTTTCATAGACCTATAAAGATTGGAACGTAAGTAGAGACTAGTATGATATGCATAGGCTAGATGATTTGTTCTCTCATAGCTTTATGAAATTTTAGAAATCCCCACACCCAATTTTCCCTTTGAGTGGTAGAGCTAGGTTTATGAAAAGTTGCACCCTTTTGAGTCTTAGCTTAGCATATTGGCTTAGTTTCATGGTTATACTTATAAGTGTTATAACATGTCTTACCTTTCATGTTTGATTATGTGTATGGATAATATTGGGAATTTTGGATGTTACATGAAAGATGGGTTTTCGAAAATGGATAGAGGGAATGGCGGCATAGGGGAGATTTTTGGGTTCCATGAAACCATGTATGTAATATACATTGGTCTTGAAAGTCTACACACAAATATGATTTTTCCAAGATTTTAGGATTTTATGTGAATATGTAAGAGGTCATAAGACAGTAAGAATGTTCTTTGCGTTCTTGATGTGTTCATGAAAATGTTCTTGTTGATCCCTAGAGATCTTGTCTTTTGATCCATAATATGATATATTATATGGTTGATACATGTTAGTAAAAACATTTTATGACAAAAGTCACCAAAGATTGTACCTCGTGTCTCCCATTTCCATTTCATCTTTTGAAATTGGCCAATTAGATGAAAGATGCTTTGTGGGTACAATTGGTGATGTCATCTTTCACCTAACTCTCACCAACTTGCATGGACCACATACACACACACACACACTCTCTCTCTCCCCTCACACCAAATTGGGCACGACCCCTAGGAGACCCACTTTAGGTCTTCATGTAATTTCGAAAAATATTGGGTTCAAAATTTAAAATATGGTATTTTTTGTTTTGACCCATAATTCTTAAAAATTGCGATTTTGACCCAATGCACTAAAAACAAAAATGTTTTGTATTTTATTGAAACATTAAAAGTTTATGTTTGAATCCATTGGAAATAGGAGCATATGTTCTAAGTCTCAATTGTTTAGTGTTTGCATATCCTTTATTGTTTAAGTAGATTAAATAATTGAAATAAAGATGATTATGGACTTAAAGCCCCAAAAACAAATTGAGTTATGTGATTGGCCGTTATTCATTAGATGAATGAGTTTGATTGAATGGATGGGTTACAACTAATTTTAAATTTAAGGTTGTAAATTAAATAGAAGCGTGCATGCTTCTCCTCTCTTATTATCCAATGTAATTTCTATCTCCCTTGAAATGTAATTCCCTTAAGGCCCATTGGGCTTTGAGTTTCCTATTCTAAGTAGTTATGTAACTAGGAAGATGGAGGTCCAAAAAGAAGACAAAGAAGAAAAAATACTTAGGGACTTTAAGGATTGTCTTGGGTCCAATGCCCACCAACCATGAATGTTTAAAAGTAGTTAAAATGCGTAATTAAAATCGATCACCTGCCAAAGACCTAGATTCAACATCTTGGCTCGATGTTAAATCGATACTTAGAAGTCCCATAATCATCCATGAGCCCATAGACAACTATTTAACCATACTTAAGGAATGCAAAAGCATTCTGTTAATAGTAACACATATTCCCAAAATCTAAAATAAAATAGTTTTATGAAATTGATTTGACGTTTTTTTGGAAAAAAAACTAAATAGTGGGAGTATAATGTAACTTTTAATATGTTTCATGGAGTAATAGTTGTCCTTGGACAATATGTTGTCACATTGATTAAATTGTTTAAATAAAATTAAAAGATGAGACCGAAAACTCCCTCAATCAATTGATAAACATTAAGTCGATAAACAAAAGGCATTTTTTATGTCCTTTGTGTGGTCTTCCACCATGGTGAATTCCAAATAGGCATGACCCTTGCAAATAAAGGCTTGCCTCAGATATAGGGGGCTCAAAACGCATAGTACTCATGTTTAAGAGGAATCCATTTCATGCATTTGATGTTCCAAAGATAAGGACAAACATGGCCAACATTATATTTTGAAGAGGCTTGTGTTTGAAAACCCTATACTAAGCAAGCATGGTGGGCTAAGACTTAACTAGTACAATGGGATTTCACGATAATATTCGAGAGTTCATGTTTGCTAGAGGCCAAATGAAATGGGTAATCACATCAGGTTGTGAAAAGGCAAGCACATCTTCTCTTTATTCTCCGTAGAATCCTTAAATCCTATTATGGTGCGGTGATCCGGATGATAGGGAGCCTCCCATTCCACTAAGAATTTTAACCAAAACTCTCGGATTCCATCTTGAGGGATATGGAATTTGCCAAAACTAGTGGGAGGTACCAATTGACTTAAAGACCCGAGTCAATGGTAAATCAAAAATCAATCTAACACTAAGCTATATGTATTTGTAGATATGTTTGGAACTGCATTCTCCAAAATCCTGGACAAGCATTGTCTAGAGGGCAACAACTTTCCAACGTGGTACTGCAATATCAAGATATCATGGCTATCAAAAAGATTGCGTATGTACTAGAGCAAGCTCCTGGCTCGTGTTGGGTAATCACATCAAGATGTTAAAAGGCAATCGCCTTCTCTTTATCATTCGTAGAATCCTTAGATCCTATTATGGTGCGGTAATTAGGATAATAAGGAGCCTCCCATCCCACTAAGAGTTTTAACCAAAACTCTCGGATTCCATCTTGAGGGATATGAAATTTGCCAAAAATAGTGGGAGGTACCAATTGACTTAAAAACCTGAGTCAATGGTAAATCTAAAATCAATCTAAAACTTAGCTATATGTATTTGTAGATATGTCTGGAACCTCATTCGCCAAAACCCTAGAAAAGCATTGTCTAGAGGGATGTAACTTTCCAACATGGTACTTCAATCTCAAGATATTCACGAATACTGAAAAGATTGTGTATGTACTAGAGCAAACTCCTGACATATAGCCTCTTGGTGAAGATTCTTTAGAGGAAGTGCATGCTATGTATGACAAGCATGTGGACGATGACTGTCAAGCCAAGTGCTACATTCTGGCTTCCATGAATGAGGAGCTCCAGAGACAATGAGAATATGATCCATGCTGCTGACATGATATTCCATCTTCGAGAGCTTTATAGAGAAGGCACATGCAACAAACGCTTCAGTGCTGTGAGTGAGCTTATGAAAACCAAAATGGTCAAGGGAGCACCAGTTCACCAACATGGACTGAAGATGATTGGACTCATTGAGCAGCTGGAAATTCTTGACAGTCCATTGGACCCTAGTCTAGCCACCAACATCTTCCTTGTATCTTTTTCCGATTCCTTCTCCCAGTTTGTCATGAACTACAATATGGGGAAGATGGAGCACACTCTCTCAGAGCTACTAAATATGTGTGTGATTACTAAAAAGACCTTCAAGAAGGAAGGAGGATATGGAACAATAGCTGTTTTTAAGAAGGGATCAACTTCTGCTGCTAAGCCTAATCAGAAAGGTAAAGGTAAATTTAAGGCCAACAAGAAGAAGAAGGGGAACCCTGCTCTCAAACCCAAGGGAGGCGTCGAGAAGAAGTAGTAGGAAGAAGACAAAGAGGTGAAAGAACCATGTCTCCATTGTGGGAAAGCTAGACATTGGAAGAGGAATTGCCGGGCTTTACTTAGCTAGCCAGAGGGGCAATAGAGTTGAAGGTACAGTTCACTTTGCCAGTAAATTCTAAACAAATGTTTATACCTTACTTGAATCTAACAAAAGATCTATTGTAGGTCATGTTGCTGTAGAGGTAGGGAACAAGTAGGAAGCTCATGGAGGATGAAGCATTCTAGGATTTGGAATCAGCAATCATGTTTTCTTTTGTTTATGGAGGTCTTTCAAAACCTATGAACTTATTTAGTTTATTTGTTTTTGGATGTATAAAGTACTTATTTGCTATCGTCATGTTTTAGAAGATAGCTTTATGGTTTATTTGACATAACCTCTAGTTTGCTTTATATATGACTATTCATATTATGGTAATATGATGCATGACCTTTATATGCTTTTGTGGGATGAATGTATGAAAATGTTCTTATATTGTTTAGAATATTGAGATGTGATTATATTTAAGAATCAAAGTATTAGATAAATCTAATAACAAATAATGATTTCTAAAATGTTTAGATTTCACAATCTAGATAATATTCATAGGATGTGGTTCTTTAAAAGGTTCCAATTCTTTCCTATGAGTTGCATCTAAAGATTGAGAAATCCAAATACTCTAAAAGTTTGGAACTAGAATAGAAATCATATAACTTGTATATGATATATCTAAGTGCTAATAGAATTGTTTCCATTGTCATTTCTATAGTATTCACCGATGATCGTTCTCGGTTGGACTAAAGCCTAGTTTGAAATCCAAAATATTTAGGATTTCAAGAAAGCGAAGAAAATGGAAATATGTAGAGAGCATCAACACTCTTTTAAGTGTTATAAAGGGTTAATGCTTGAACAAGAAATCTTTCAAAAGTTCAAAGAGCTTTAAAACATCTCAATGAATGAACTTTATCACAAAGGATACATAAAGTATAATCTTTTATGATAAGTCATTAAAATTTCTCCTCACATCATACCCCAAAGGATAACAATATTGAAAGGTCAAATTGAACAAAAATGAGAGTTAAATTTTTTATCTCAAAACATAAAGTTTAGAACCTTATAATTTGATAAATGAATCTTGTGGGACATCCTAGATCACCTGAAGGATGTTATATCTATTAAAGAAGTTAATAGATACTTGTTGCAAAACAAGTAAAATGAATGATTGCAAACCACAAGTGAATCATCAAACGAAGTGACAATTCAATTCCCTTTTATCGACTCACCACATTTTAAAACTCCAAGAAGTTGATCAATGGTATGATACACCAACATATAACAATGGTGAAAGTTAAAAAGTAATTTTCTTGATCATAATGAAATCATATGATGACATTAGTATGAACTTCAATCAATGAGCTCAATTATTCATATGAGATGAATAAACATCCAAGACAAATAATATCCTGAAGATGCTCTTTAGAAATGACTATATTCCAAAAGGAAAATTGGGAGCCAGTTCATGGTCAAAAGGAGAATCGCCCTCACCTAGTGAGATCGTCTTCAAAAGAAATCTAAAAGGAAAGAAAATGAAAGGTTCATATGCTTATCAATAAGTTTGCGATCATATATGATATGACCAAGATACTGCAAAACGAAGTTGCACTTAATACAAGTGTATATTAAGGACAACATTGTAATATCCTAGGATCAGAACCCTGGATAACTGATAAAGCATGTCTTTTGAGTAATAAGAACACAAATAGACCAAAGGTGAAATAAGTGAAGATAGCTAGTATTAGAGTATCAAAGTGGAAGCATACACCTAAATGAACTCTAATTGGATCCTAATTCCTATAAAATAGGAACACACTCTAGAAAGTTATTCTAGATAATCTTGGATGTTGTATCATTAAATGGTTCACGACCAAGAGCTGTACATATCTATGCAACAGAAGTTGATATCTCAACACCCTTTTTGAATAAAAAGTAAAGCTCCTTTATAGGAGTAGTTCCTACCATGAAAGATCAATACTCTTAAAGTAAGAGAAATTCTCAAGGGCCAAGAACTCAAGCCGAGGAACTCAAGTCTCATCAGACATCCAAAATTCAGAGAAGACGTTACATAAATGAGCTAGTAACTTATGACGTTGATCATCTCTAAGTTGTAAAGAAAGTTGATATAACATAGATCACAAAAACCTAGAACATATCGACTATGACTTAATAAGCGTCTCAAGTTCAAACACATTGTGTGGCTGATTGGCTTTACGTGCAAATAGAAGACTGTTAGATATATGTTGTAGAAGTCAATACAAAAATGGAATATTCTAAGGATATAATATAATTAATATAATCAAAGGGGTTTGAATGTTACTCTAAGATATATAATGTACACAAAATAACAAGTCCATGGATAAAGATATGAATGGAAAGTAGTCTAAAGAAGTTAGATTCACGAGACCTTTCCATCATAGTAATATCGAATCCTAAACTATTCCTGGTCATAGGATCACAAATTGGATAATGTTAATATGCAAATACTGGTACACACTATGTCTACTCAATTGGGAGGATGACTAGTCTCAAGTCATTTGTATAGAGACACTGAGACAGGTGTGTAGGTGCTTTATAAAGATGGAGTTCACTGAATGCGATCAACTTAAGAATTCTTGTATGGAAGTCTTACTCACAAGTGTCAAACAAATTTATCTTTGAGAGCACCATACAGTCGTATCAAAGGATGTGACTTAAAGGTGTTCCTCAGGATACTTAGCACATGCACAGAGGCAGATGAATGTATAACAAGGAATCTCTACTCTTAGTAAGAAGAGAGAACACTATAAAGATATGATTCGTTAAATCTTTGGCCAAAATACATGATGAGAATTGAAACAAGAACGTTTGCAATTACATCTAAAAGAATCATATAACCTAAGGATTTCATGTCAGGGATTTGACACGAGTTAACCATATCTCAACACGACATAGAGTATTGTAATAGAGAAAGACCGAATTGCATCGTAATTACAAACTGACTAGGTTCTCTAGATGGATTCTATTTAGCTTAGGTAGCCATGACATATTGCTATGTGGCATTCATGTTTTGTAGAAGCTTTGTAAGACTAATTACAATTAGCCTTTGTCAATAGGAAGAATTGTATACAGGGATACAATTACATTCGATTTAGAAGTAATCATTCTTACCCACAGCCTCGTTAATTAGAACCTATAAGATCGTACACTAAAAAGATATGGATCGAGAATTGAAAAGAGAATAAATGAATTTCCAGCTTAGTCAAAGTCAAAGTCAAAGGTCAAACTGTTGACTTGAGACTTGACACGGTCAACAAAAGGTTGACTAGGACCGAAGCTTGTTAGACAAGATAGTGATTTAATTAGTTAAGTCATCAAATCAATTAAACTAATTAGATTAGCTTAAATGAATTAATTAAAGTTATGGAACTTTAATTTTGGTCCTATATGACTTTAATATTTAAAAGAATGGATTTAGGCAAAGTGTGACACATTAAGGGATTAATGTGGTGGACCAAAGTAGCCAAAAAAGGCCAAAAAGAGGGAGGGTGCGGCACATGGGGGTTTTTGGGTACACATGTGTGACAAAATGTCTCTATATATTCATTTCCATAGACTTAAACCTCCTTAGGGTTTCAAATTAGGCATTTAGGAAGAGAGGAAGACATCAAGCCTCCTCCCTAGTCTCCCTTGGCTAGTCACCATAGAGAAGAAAAGGCTAGCACCCATTTTCTTCTCTTGGTTCCTTATTCTCTCATTCTCATTCTACCTGGGTGAAGATACTTTGGAGAAACATAATATCTTTTGTGCCTATTTGGAGAACAAGGTGGAGAATCAACAACTAAGGGACAATTCCCTCTACTTGAATACAATTTTTGGGATTCAAGATACGCTCCAAAGGTAACCTCACTTTCTACCTTGTCTTTAATATGTGATATTGGTGTCAATAGTGCAAACTTTCATTGACCTATAAGTATTGGAACCTAAGTAGAGACTAGTGTGAACCTCTAGCTACTTTCTTGCTTTCGATTTATTTGATTTCATATATGCTATTTATAGGCTAGATGATTTGTTCTCTCATAGCTTTATGGGATTTTAGAAATCCCCACACCCAGTTTTCCCTTCAATAGGTTCCCCAATTTCTACGAGAAAGACCACCTCTGAACCAAAATCAAGGGAATAAGGGGTTTCTCAAGTAGACATTCTTTCAGTACATCAGTAGGACCATAGTACCTCAAGTAGAAATCCTGTCCAATCTTCATTTTTGGACCCCTAACTTCTTCTTTAGTGTCTGCTTTAGGATTTTGTTGATTGCCACTACTTGATCATTGACTTGGGGATGCGCAGGTGAAGAGAAGCGTTAATTGATCTTAAGACTTGAGTAGAAATCTCATAACATTTTTCAGTCAAATTGTTTCCCATTATCGGCGATGATGGTGATCGGCACTCCAAAACGGAAAACAATGTTTTTCGAGACGAATCTCTAAATCTTTGATGCTGTGATGTTTGCTAAGGGCTCAGCCTCAGCCCACTTCATAAAGTAATCCACAGCCACGACAACATAGTTGGTCAATCCCTTACCTTTCGACACAAGTCCGAAATATAGATAGGCCAGTAATCACTTTCATGGAGAATCACTTTTCCAAATAATCACTTTAAGTGATTTTATGGAGAAGAACTTCTCCCCAAATGTGATTCTGGCCTATCCAGAATCACTCCCAAACGATAATTACTAGCACAAGATAATTAAACAGTCAGTTGATTAACCAATATATTAAGTAACTCCACACACACCAACTCTTTTTCCAATTTTTAACATAGAATAACCTTACATGATTCTATCAATATGAAGGCTAATGATATTATATATGTGGATATATATATATATATATTGAGTAATCTTGAAATCACGGGTGGACCGATTGGGTTCTCATGCCAATCCAACATCGGTGAGTTTTTCAACCAAGATTGTGGCTCTAAAAGTCACGATGTCTCACCAGATGTCAAGCCAAAGTCTTGGAGGTCTAAGTCCAACCCACAGAATTAGACCCAAGATTTCTAGAGGATTTCCATGCACGTGGCAGAAGTCAAGAAAAGAAATCAAGGAGATTGATGACAATCCAGAATATTTTGAAAGAAGAGAGAATCAAGCAATCAGAATATGTCCATCAATGTGATCCCACGAATTTGGAGGCTTCACAAGTTAAGATTTCAAATATAACTAACTTATTGCCATTTATGGGCTAGCATATAGGCTGACGGATGCACTATATAAGCCTTATCAGACAAAGGGATAAGATACACATCATTAGGCACACAAACCTATTTTTCGTCTCGCACTTTTCTTTTCCTAGACTTAGGATTTTACTTTTCAGGCACGTAGATTAGACCAGTTCTTCTTTTCCTAGTGTAAGTTTAAATTCTTGTTCAATTTACATTATATTGCTTTTAAATTCCAGTTTATTTCAATTGCTTTACTTTGTAGTTGTTATCGCATTTTTATTAAGTTTAATTTCAAATTTAATTCAGTTTATTGTTCTTATCATTCTTATTTATCGCTTTGATATATTTTTCTTGCACTTTAATTCTTGTTATTAGTTTAAATTACATTTTAATTTAATTGCACCGTTCTCACTAAACAACCTAACAATCACAAAACATCCATACAAAGCCTAACCATTATCGAGCCTTAGGAAGTGAAAGAACCTAGGCCAAGAGTAGGTTCCTTGTTTGGCCAATCAATCACTTGATCAGAAGTTAGAAGCACAACATATCCATCCAACCCTTTCCATCTAAACCATTCAGTGACTTAGTGATGGCACACCTACGCAACTCAAAAGAAAAAAGACCAAAAGTTCTTTCCATTGGCCACCTCGTCCGAAAAGAGGGAAAAATAGTTATTATTGAAAATCTAATCATTCCATAATAGGGATATCAACAATTGTGCTTTTCACTGCAGACCAGTGGAAAAAATATCTTGATTGCATACCAGTGGTCTCAAGTTCAAAAGTTCATGACACCTCATAGTGAGTACGTGAAAAACCCCCATCCCCTTTATAGTTTAGACTATCGCTTGTATTTAAAAGGAAACAACGGTTGTACTTTTGTCTAATATTTAATTATGTGCGTTATGTAATGTACTTTTCTCAAATTGCAAAAACATAAGTCTAAATGATACCCAATGTCGTTTTTTAACAAACGTCATGGAATGGATGACAGTAAACGACTGTACCTAAATAAAAACAGTCATTTGAAAAAAAAAATCAGTTAATTAAAATTGACATTAAATTTCAATTAGGCGATGCTGAATGAAAAATAATAACCAACAACGACGGTCAAGTACATGCAGACGTTACTATTGTATATTACGATAGAGTTGTTCATAGAAACGACATTTCAAATATCATAACACAACCATAAAGGTACAAAACGACGTATTTAACGACATCACTACGACCTTCCATATATATTTACTATCGTCTATCACAACCACAAATGGCTTTTCAATTTAAATATCTGTCATGAGAGTTCTTCTGAACGTCAGTAAGTTGATACCTGTCGTCGTCTAACAAAATACACATGACGGTATTGGTGTAACTGGCGACGTCTAGAGGGAGGAACCATGTCTATATTTGTAATACTTCCGTTGTAGTAAGTCAAGTAACGATGATGTCCATGTAAATACTAGGGTCGTAATTAATGACTTCACCATGACCTTCCAAATATATTTACCGTTGTCTGTCAGAACCACAAAAGGCTTTTTAGTTTAAATATCTGTCGTAAAAGTTCTTCTGAAAGTCGATAAGCTGATACTTGTCATCTTCTAACAAAATATGCACGACAGTATTGATGTTACCAGCGACGTTTAGAGGGAGGGACGGCGTCTATATTTATATTACTCGTGTTGTAAAGTCAAGTAACGACAACATCCATGTAAAAACTAGGGTTGTAGTAGATCATAATAACATCGTTCTTCCCATATTTACAGCCCTTACTACTTCATTTACACATTGGTAAGGACCATACGCGTCGTGGAATCTTATTAACCACTACGGTTTATTTTAAAGTATTGACATGACAGGGATTCTGCACGACAACAAGTTAATATTTTTTGTCGTGGTTACTCTATGTTATTGCGGGACGTGGACAAATTGTGCCATGTTATCTCCTTCAAACGACATGAAGTTTCTAAAAGCGTCGCCTAAGCTTATCGAAGTTGGCTTTTTTGTTGTTTTTATATTAATTAGATGTCAGTTTTTAGTTAGAGATGACGTAGTATGTTGTAACAATGTGGTAATTTACCGTCGTGGTTTTATGTATCAAAAGATGGCAGTCGATTTACGTATGAGGTCCAAACACTAAGAAAGCAACAAATGCAATAATATTATGATGGTGACTTGGTTACAAAGGTGTGGTTGTCACCTAGCTATTAACAAAAGTGGTTATGAATGAATGGTAAATTTATTGATCATAAAAATTACAAAATCTCAGTATTATATACACGTTGCTATGCTCCTAATAAGGTAGATACAAACAATTACATGCATGATTGATGTAGAGAATCAAATCCTGATAAGGTATTATTGGAAGGACATCGACATAAGTCGTGGTTGACTTTGGTGGAGGATTGCAGATGAAGAGGAAGTAATTGACATTGATGATGAGGTGATTTCCTTTAATGAAGGACATTCCCTTTTATGTCTTCACAAGGTAGTGTTTCCATCAGAGACACCGATCTTGGACCGTAGGAGTTGAAACTGCGTTGATGAATAGTAGAAACATGAGAAACCGGGAGAATCCATGAGTTACATGATCTGGATCAAACGAAAAATCAATTTCAATATGCTTCATGCGAGAATGTAGGAATGGATTGACACAGTAAAATGTGGCTCCAATATTATCACAGGAAATGACTAGTGGTATTGGAAGGGAGACACCAAGTTCTCGTAACAAGGATTAAACCCATCCTAATTCAGCAATGGTGGATGAAATAGCCTAATATTTGGCCATGGTGGAAGAACGGGCAACATAGCGTTCTTTGTGGGATCTCCAAGAAATGAGGTTGCCATATAGGCAGTAGTAGACTTGAAGTCATCACGATTGTCGCCCCAATCCACATAAAGGAAATCATAGAGATGGTGAGAGGGTCGCCTGGAGAGATGAAGTCCAAAATATAAGGTGCCCTTCAAGTAACGAAGTAAACGCTTTAATGCTTGCCAGTGAGACTTCGAAGGCTGATGCATGAGCTGGGAGAGCGTGGAAGACAAAATAAATTTATGGGTGTGTGAGATTAAGATATTGAAAACCTCCAATCATTTGATGAAACCGAGAAGAATCAGTAAGTGGAGAGCCGTCATGGAGCATAAGGGGATCATATGTGGATAAGGGAGTGCTGACCTCCTTTGTGCCATCCATTTTGGCTTTGACCAAAATATCACGTATATACTGGTGTTGGCAGAGAAAGACAACAACAATGGTGGGAACAAATTAAACAACAAGGAAGTAGTGAAAAGAGTCCAAGTTTTTCACAGAGAACCATGAGCCAATATGGTGATGAACTATATGAAAAAAGAAGAATTTTTGTCAATAATAATAAGGTCATCAACATGCACCAAAAGTAAAGTACATCACTGCCTAATTTAGAAATAAAAAGGGAGGCATCAGAAGCAACATTGATGAGGCCATGAGAGAGCAAGACGGAGCTCAGTTTCGTGTACCAAGCTCGAGGCGCCGACTTAAGGTGGTAGAGAGCCTTCTGGACTCTACAAACATGAGAAGTAAGGTTGGGGTCAACGACACCTGGAGGTCAAGACATATAAACATTCTCACTGATCGTGCCATGAAGAATGGCATTGTTGACGTCCAACCGATGGATGGACCAGCCATGAGACACGATGAGATGCAAAACAAGACGAATTATTATTGACTTGATAACCAGACAAAAGGTCACAAAAAATAAACACTAGGTCATTGATGAAAGCCCTTCGCAACCAAACGTGCCTTGTACCAAGCAATAGTGCCATCAGGGTGTTGTTTGATATGAAACACCCACTTACAACCAATAAGATTGTGAATAGGATGAGGTGGCACAAGCTTCCAAGCAGCATTGCAAATTAGTGCATTTAACTCATCTGACATGGTAGCTCTTCAAATTGGATCTTTAATAGAAGGGAAAATGCATGCTGATTCAACTAAGGTAGGAAGGGATGTTTGGGAGTAGCTATAGCATAACAGAGGTTATGTTGCAGATACTGGCTTTTGCATGCATCACCATATGGTGATAAGGGACCACATTTGGGGGATCAATGGAAGCAGGAGATGGATTAGGCAAGGTGAAAGGCTACTAATTAGGGGTGGAAAATGTAACAACAGACATATTGGAATTTCTTGCTTAATTATAGAGAGGACTTGGCTGGGAAGGTTGTGAGACATGTTCTAGTGAGGCTAGATTGGATATACACTCAATTTGATCAAGAGATGGTGGAATGGGTGGGTCGTCTGTTGGAGGAGGGGTGGAATTTGTGTGGGCATGGCCATAATTAATTGGATTGGGTGATGGAACATAAGGGACATCAATGGTGGTGGGTCGGAATTGTGCATGGGAGAGGTACTACTCTGAGGATGAAGATGCAACAACAAACGATTCAGATAGTGTCGTTGGCGATTTCGATAATGTCATCGTTGTGGAGATGGTGGTTAAGGGTGGCAACATAGTGGCATAATGGATTGGGAGATGAGTAACTAGAGGAGTAAAAGCAAACCACGAGGTGGGAGTAGTCGAGGAGACATGAGAATCTGAGTTTTTCATAGCAACATGAAGGAAGGTGGACTCATCAAATTGGACATGACGAGAATTAAAAAGTTTATTGGAGGAAAGATCTAAGCATAGGTAGGCATTTTTATTTGCGTAGTAACCAAGAAAAACGCATGGTTGCAAACGAGGCATTTGTTGGAATTGTAAGGTCGTAACCATGGAAAGAACCCAAAGGTGTGAAGGCGAAAGTAATTTGGTTGTTGACGAAAGAGTTCAATGTATGTGGAGTCATTGTGAAAAATGGGAGTTGGCATGTGATTTATGAGGTAGACGACAGTTTTGAAGGCATAGGACCATTATTGGAGGGGTAAGGAGGCTTGATGAAGAAGGTTGACAACACCATTGTGTTGAGGTGTATGTAGCGGCATAATGAGATATGTGATGCCATTCGAAGAGAGAAAGTGTTGGAGTTTGACAAATTTCCCTTCATCATCAGTGTATAAGGAATAATTTTCAACGAGAGCTTTAAAGGTCATAAAGGTATAAAACTTATATGATTTCCTTTTGAGAGGATAGAGCCATATGTATTTGGTAAAGTGATCAACAAAAATAATATAATAAGAAAAACCATCAATAGAGGAATACGAAACTGGGCCCCAAACTTCCCTCTAAAGAAATTCTAATGGACCCTTAGTATAAAGAGAAGAAATATGAAATGGGAGCTGATGGCTCTTATTGCATTGACATGAATGACAAATAGACTTAGACAGGTTGGAATACACATGAATAGAAGAGGAATAAAGGACTTGTTAAAGAGTTTTATGATTGGGATGATCAAGATGACGATGGCACAGGTTCAGAGAGACCACCACACCCACCATGGCCTGAGGTTGACGGAGGGATTAGGAAGACCACTCATACACATCGTCCTTCCTCGGGCCTCAAAGAAGTATTTCACTTGTGTTCAAATCCTTAACAAGAAAAGAATCATGAAAAAGTTCAAAATATGTATTATTTTGTTTATTAAATTTTGAGATAGAAATAATATATTTGGTCATGGATGGAGTAGACATAACATTAGATAAGTGAAAGGATTTGGAGGATGGGGAAGGAAGAAAAAATGAACGAACATGAGTAATACCAAAATCGGAACCATTATCAACAAGCCCATCATAATGAGAGACACCCGAGAGATTTGCAGCATCAGAGGTAACATGATAGGATGCACCAGAATCAAGTAACCAAGCTGGGGAAGAGGATGAGTAGCCATGGGTAGTGGGATTTATCACCGGTGGATTTTAAGAGGCAAATTGAACGTGAAGAAAACGTTTGGCATTATGACTTTGCATACCACACCATTGACAATAGCCATGGTATCCTGTCGTGGAGGTGTTGTTAGATCGGCGATCGTTATCATTTGGGTGAAGATAAAAAAGAGCAGGAGGAACAATTGGAGGTGTATTGTCGAGAGCTATGAGTGACACTGGCAGTGATTACATGGGCTGCAGAAGCGGTATTATCTCGTTTAAGACCAGCTTCATATGTGGTAAATTTATCATGGAGATTTTCGTAAGAGAATAAGGTGTTACAAGAACATATGTAAGCAACGATTTCCTTAAATTTAGGGCCAATACCATTGAGAATATAAAGAAACAGATCATCATCGGAAAGACGAACATTGATTATGGCAAGCTCATTGGCAATCACTTTCATTTCGAGATGTGACAAAGTCTTTTTTGCCATCCATTATATGTTTCTGTTTTGTTTTGAATTTGCTGGTGTTTGCAATGCTCATAACATGGTCAAATTCTTTGATATAGAATTGAAACATACCATTAACAAGAGTTCCACTACCAACTGAAATTTTATTCCTTAAATTAGAAAATCCAATATCATTGACCACCTCAAAGTTTGCTTTAACAAGCCTAGATATTGATACTAGATTCCTTCTCAACTATGTCTACAAACTTGTATCACTACATGTTAGCCCTTGGCTTCACCTCCTCCACTGTTGATTTATATCTTTTCATTTAAGTTGTTCCATATCATACCTTCCTATGTTGATGATATCCACATCACTGGTTCTGACAAAGCTCATTGTCACTCTTACATTCAATAATAGTCAGAAATTTGTTATCATAAATCTAGGCTCATTTCACTAGTTTCTCGATATTCAAGCTTATTGCAATACAAACGACTTGTTCATATGTCAAACCAAGTATATTCAAGACATTCTCACCAAAGAAACTATGATTGATGCAAAACATTGCTCATCTCCCACTTCCACAACCAAATTGGACATCACTTTTGGTGATGTGTTAGACGACTTTACTCATTATTGATCACTAGTTGGTGCCCTTCACTACCTTACTTGGACTCGACTAGATATCTTTTCCTCTATCAATCAAGTTAGCCAACATATGCAAACTACACAAACTTTTCACGTCACTGTTGTCAAAAGGATCCTTCGATATCTCAAAGGAACACTTGATCATGGTTTCCCAAAGGCTCTACATCTCTCACAGCTTTCTTCAATGTTGACTAGGTCGGTTGCCCCATTGATAGAAAATCCACCCTTGGCTTTTGTTTCTTTTTTTGGTCAACAATATCATAACATGGAAGCATACCTTTGTGGCCAAATCCCCCAGAGAAAATGAGTATTGAGCCCTTGGTCATACGACCACTAAACTCACTTAGATATCCTCTTTATTAAAGGACCTTCACTTTTTCCTCTTGACACAAGCTCTTCTTCTTATGACAACCTCAGTGCCCTAGCACTCTCGGCAAACCCATTAACCAAGCATATTGAGGTCGACTATCATTATATATGTGAATTGGTCACCATATCTCACATATCTTCTGACAACCAACTTGTTGATATCTTCATCAAACGTCTTCCCAAGCCACGTTTCAAAGAACTTAGTTCCAAGCTAATTATGGCCACTCTATGGATTTGGTACTTGGTCAAGCGTACATATTGATCATGATAGAATAATCTTGTTGCAATTGCAATTGGGAAGGCCATATTTCTCATGTTTAGTTACCTCCACTTGAATAGTATTTGTCATATGTTAGGCTGTTAGGCAACCTCCACTTGAATTTGGTATATGAGATAGATAGTCTTTAATTTTGAGTGGATTAAGAATAATAGATTGCTCAGTAAATTGGGATTAATTTACTGATTGCTCAGTTATGTTATTTAATGGATTTACTAATGTATTATTTATTTATTTTTATTTTTTATGGGTGATGTCACTACTACGTTTCACCATTTGCGCGACGAAAGATTGCGCGATGAAGAATAAGTCGTTGCGCAAACCATACTGGCGCGACGAAAGAAACTATTCGTCACGCAATCCACTGAAAATTTGCGCCACCAAAATTTTTCATCGCACAAAATGTATATGCGCGACAAAACAATTTTTCGTCGCGCAAACAGAGTTAAAAAAAGCGGGGGGAATTTTTTTGGCGCGAAACATTTGCGCGACGAGAAATATCGTCGCTAAAGGCAACATTGCGCGACGGAACATTGATTCGTCGTGCAAAAAGGACAGTACCCAGTGGGTCCCCTTATTTAGCGCGACGGGAAGATGTTTCGTCGCGTAAGAGAACGAGAGATATTTTATTTTTGGCGCCAAAATGACCTGGTTGGGATTTTTTTTTTGCGCGACGTAAGTACTTTCGTCGCGTAAAGTTCCACGTTTGCGCGACGAATATCTTGTTTTGCGCGACGGAATTTTGTTTTTGCGCGACAATATTGCGCGATGAAAGGTTGCGTGACAGAAAGTACCAGCGTCGCGCAAAAGTTAGATGTCGGCAGGTGTTTGCGCGATGAAAAAAAGGGTTTGCGCGACGGACGATTTGGTTTTTTGCGACGGAAGTTTGCGCGACGAATGTATATGTTCGTCGCGCAAAGTCCTTCTTCTTCATATTAGAATTCTGCCATTGCAGAGGCAGAATGCAAAAACAAAGCATTCTGCCTCTGCCTCTCTCTCAACCTCTCTGCGCTGCTGGGATTTCAATACATTGATTGGGTAAGTATTTTTCGTCATTAGTTTAAAAGTATTAATTTAAGTTCGTACTAAGGTTTTTTAATTTGTTTTCGTTAGGGATATTTGTAATTAGCGATTGGTGGAGAACGATTGAGAAGGTATTTTATTCGTTTTATATATATGTTTTTGTTATGTTTAAATGTTCTTGTGAAGTTATATTTATATTATGTTGTGTGTAACGTAGTACAATCTGTTGTGATGTACGAAGTTAATTGAAATTAACTTCGTGCTTTTATTTTTATGTTTAGTAACACTTAGTTTCCCGTTCGAGATTAGTTGGATTTCGTGCATGGATGCGTAATGCATGACTGCGGTCCAATTAATTCTTGAATTGTCCCATTATTTGGACAGTTTGGTAATGCATAGTGTTGTCACGTAATCTATGGCTACAGGATTAGGTTTCGATTGTGGATATTTCGTTGTCATCTCGGTACGTTCTTCGGGTGGTACATAGGTATTTATACCTATGGCCACCTCAAGAACTGTAGCGAGATGCTGGCGAAATTCATCCACGTCGAAATCTAATCTCATGTAGTCGTAGGTTACGTGGCAGGAGTATGCATTCCCGAATGGGATAGGACCCTTACCGGAGGCATAAGGTGACATTATAACTTCGTATGAAGTTGTTGTGATTGTTGTGTTGTGATTCTGGTTTCAGGAATTATGGACAGAAGGTGGATACAGAAACCCGAACAGATGCGCAGACGAATACTTGGATGGAATCGAGGATTTTATTGAGTTTGCACGTAGACACAACCCGGGTGCAACTAGAATCCGTTGTCCTTGTAGGAGGTGCAACAACACGTTATGGGAGACAATTGAAAATGTTGGATTTCATTTAGTAAGGAATGGAATGATTGAGACATATAGCATTTGGAACCTTCACGGGGAACAATTAGAGCATGCTTCGTCTTCAAATGCCACAAGAGTGGACAATGTTCAACCTATTGTGGATGCTAATGATCAAGTCATGGATATTATACAGGATGTTTTTCCATTTGCATCGACCAACATGAATCAAGAAGAGCAAGATGATGTGCCTACACCAATAGACAGTGCGGAGTTTGAACAATATGAGAAATTGTTAAAAAATGCCAACCAAGAGTTATACCCGGGGTGCGAGAGCTTTTCCGTTCTCACGGCCATTGTGGAGCTAATGCACGGAAAAATAAAGTATCGTATGTCGAACCTGTGTTTCGATTACTTTTTGGGGGTTTTCAAGAGAATGCTTCCGACGGACAATTGTTTGCCGAAAGACCATAAACAGGCGCAGAAGGTGTTGAATGGTCTTGGATTGGGTTATGAAAAAATCCATGCTTGCAAAAACAATTGCATGTTATTCTACAAAGAGCATGAATCGTTGGATACATGTCCTATATGCAATGAGTCGAGGTTCAAGATGACATCTCAGAATAGGACGACTAAGATCCCACAAAAAGTCATGCGTTATTTGCCCCTGAAACCTAGGTTGCAGCGATTGTATATGTCGACGCATACTGCCACAGACATGAGATGGCATCAGGAAAAACGGGTAGACGATGATGTGATGCGGCATCCTGCAGATGGGGAGGCATGGAAAGAGTTCGATCGAACGTTCCCCAGAGTTTGCTGCTGATCCCCGAAATGTTAGATTGGGACTTGCCACTGACGGATTCAATCCGTATGGGGTTCTAAACCAACACCACAGCACTTGGCCGATTTTCGTATTCCCATATAATTTGCCGCCTTGGAAATGCATGAAAAAAGAATACATGATGATGACTGTTTTGATAACTGAGGATCCTGGGAGGTCAATCGATGTTTACTTAAGGCCGCTGGTTGATGAGCTGAAGGATTTGTGGACAAACGGTGTTCGCACGTACGATAAATCAACTGGGAAGATGTTCACTTTGCGGGCAGCAGTTATGTGGACTGTGAATGATTTCCCAGCATATGCAATGGTTTCTGGGTGGAGCACAAAAGGTTATATGGCATGTCCTGTATGCAAGGAAGATGTAACTTCTGGTTGGCATGCTGGAAAAGTTTGTTACCTTGGTCATCGGAGATGGTTGCCATGGGACCATGAGTGGAGGGAAAAAGATAAAGAGTTCGACGGGAACACTGAGCGTCGCCTTAGACCCAGAGAATGGTCCGGTGATGAGATATTGGACCAGCTTAACCGGTTGGATTTTGCTCCCTTCGGGAAAACAGTTAGTCGTATCAGACCTTCTACACATATGAACTGGACGCACAAGCCTATGTTTTTTGAGCTCCCATATTGGTCGAAACTAAAATTGAGGCACAATCTAGATGTGATGCATGTTGAGAAAAATGTATTCGACACATTGGTGGGCACGATTCTAGATATCGAGGGGAAGACAAAGGACACGATCAAAGCTCGTCTTGATTTGGAAAGAATGGGCATACGAAGGGGTTTATGGATGAATAGGGACAATGATAAAGCTAGAAGGGATCTTGCATTCTTTTCTATGAAACCGAATGACAAGAAAGAGTTTCTAAAGTTTGTATCGTCAGTAAAGTTTCCCGATGGGTATGCTTCTAATATCGCACGTTGTGTGAATGTTGACGGGGGTAAATTTACTGGACTTAAAAGCCATGACTGCCATGTGTTTATGCAACGCCTACTTCCTGTTGGTATTCGACACCTATTGCCGGAAGATGTAGTGAAGCCAATCATTTTGTTGTCCAGATTTTTTTCCCAACTGACGGCGAAAACTTTGCGAAAAACGGACATGTTTCAGTTGCGCCATGACATTGTCCAAGTCCTATGCAAGTTTGAGATGATATTTCCTCCAGCTTTCTTCACAAGTATGATGCACGTGATGGTTCACTTGCCAGAAGAGGCATTACTTGCTGGTCCTGTCAACTATCGCTGGATGTATCCAATAGAAAGGTATATAATCCTTATCATTTGTGTATGCATCATTATCACATGCTTGCTAATTTCAATCATATCGTTTTATTTTGGCAGGCTTCTCGGAGAGCTGAAAAAAAGTGTACGCAACAGGGCGAAGCCCGAAGGATCAATCGTAGAGGCTTGGGTTCAATATGAGTCGCTTACTTTCTGCGGAATGTATTTAAAAGATGTGGAGACGGTTTTCAATCGTCCTCAGCGCAATCATGATGGAGGTATGAGAAATGAAAAACTTTCTGTTTTTGCCCAAAGCGCACGACCCTTCGGAGATCCTGGACGCGGAGAGTCGTTTTCTAGAAATGACATGGAGGTAGCGCATTGGTTCGTACTGAACAATTGTGATGAGATCATGGGATACTTATATGAGCATGAAGAGATGATGAAGCGAGAACATCCATCACATTTGGTTGCCCAGAAACACCGTGAATTGTTTCCACAATGGTTTTTGGATTCTGTAAGTTATCAGTGTTTGTTATTTGAGAAATATAAATTGTTTTTTAATTTTGTCAGACTAACATATGAATGGTTTTGTATAATATTAGGTGAATAAGTTGAAATCATCGAATTCCCCAACTTACAGTGATGAGTTATATAACTTGGCGTTCGGCCCGATTCGCGCTGAATTGTTCTCGGGTTGTAATGTCAACGGCGTCAAATTTTTGGCCGAAGCACGAGATGACAAGTTGTGTACGCAAAACAGCGGTGTCCATGTCCCAGGTGGAGGCGAAAGTACGGACATTGATTTCTATGGCAAACTCACAACTGTCGTGCAATTGCTTTACAAAGATCGATACCAAGTGATCATGTTTAAGTGTCGATGGTTTGACACCAACCCAAATAGGCCGGGAAGTGTTAAAATCGATCATGGCTTACTATCTGTGAACATGAACAGAACTTGGTATGATGACGACCCTTATATTTTGGCAAACATGGCAACACAAATTGTGTATCTAGATGACCCTAAAGCCGGAAGCGGTTGGAACGTTGTTCAAAAGATGGATCACAGGAACGTGTATGCTATACCAGAACTAGACCCAACTGACAACGACGTCAACAATGTGGCTGACCAACGTTTAGAATCTTCAATGGAAAATGATGCGGAAACACTTCGAGATACTAATGTTATACAAGAGCCATTTCAAATACAAGGAGTGTCTTCAATCGAAATACCGATTCAGTCAATTACAATTGACCTCGGTGATCTTCCGCGATATGATGTTGCAGTTGGCCCGAGCAACGACGATGATGTAGTTATAGAGGAGGCGGAGGAGGAGGAGGAGGAAGAGGATTGGGAGACCGAAAGTGATGATAGCAACGATAACGAAAGTTATTATAGTTCAGATGATGAATGATTAATTTTTTTGTAATTTTATTATGTTAGTGGACATATTTTGTGTAATGCAAATGTTTTCATATATGTACTTGTTATATCCAAACATTATATATGATACCAAGTGAAACATTATTAAAATAATTGTAGTTATAAACCATTGGTAAATAAATATAGCCAACTAATTTGTATCATAAAGTTTAAATTTATTTTCACAAAAAACTTTTAAAAAAATGAAAACCATATAACCGAAAAAATGAATACAAAGAACATAAGATTATCAACAATCCTTCCATTCTCAAATCGAAAGAAAATATAATAAATCATACTTTCATACAAGTAATTATATGTAATGATGAATACTTCAGATTAATAATATGTGGAAATTTGCGCGACGAAGGCATAATTGTCGCGCAATTTTTGCGCGACGGATATGTACACGTCGCGCATACTCTATCATTTGCGCGACAAATAATTTCGTCGCGCAAGTCTCTTTAGCGCGACGAAAAACAGACCCCGTCGCGCAAACATATACATATATATATATTTCTGATTATACACACGTATATAGTTGAAATTGACGATCGAAGTAGTTCACTGTATTCACATAGGGTTAAACAGTATAGCTTTAAAAAATCATCAAAATCAGAGTCAAAATAACCGTTGAATCATGACTTTTCGTTTATAACCGTCGAAACGTTTTGTCCCGTTACTTGAGCTCTGAATGTTTTTTTTTCTCATTTTGACGTATAGATCTCGAAGTATAAACAAACATATTTGACGGCTAGATTACTGAAACTAGTTTCCTAGAATGCGTATTCCATAAAAACACAATATTCATAAAAATGAATAATTTCTTTATACATTCATTCAGTCTAACATAAGATTATGTGATGTCCTGTACTGTAAATATCTGAAATTGAAGATCGAATTACATCTCTGTATTCATATAGGGTCAAGAACCGCAGCTGTAAAAAATTTTCAAGATCGGAGTTAAAATCACCGTTGAATCGGGACAATTTGTTTAGAACCGTCGAAAAGTTTTGTCCCGTTACTCAATCTCTGAATGTTCATTCATTATGATTTTTGACGTATACGATCTTGAACTATGAAAAAAGAAGATTGCCGGTTGGATCATTGAAACTAGTTCAGGAGTTCGGGTTTAGGGCTTAGGGTACAGGTTTTAGGGTTTAGGGTACAAGGGTATGGTTTTGCGCGACGAAATCAACTCTTACTCGTCGGGCAAAAGATCAGCGACGAACATAAGTACCTTCGTCGCGCAAATTATTAAAAAAATTCGCTGCCCTTCTCCGCTCCAACACTTAGTGAAATTTTTTTTGGCAAAAGCCAGATTGCGCGACGAAATTAAGCCCCTTCGTCGCGCAAACTATTAAAAAAATTCGCTGCCCTTCTCCGCTCCAACACTTAGTTAAATTTTTTTTTGGCAAAAGCCCGATTGCGCGACGAACTTAGTCCCTTCGTCGCGCAAAATTAACAATTGCAGCCCTTCTCTGTCCAACACTTGGCGAAATTTTTGTTTGGCAAAAGCTAGAATGCGCGACGAACTTTCGTCTATTCATCGCGCAATATCATTGCATTTATCTTCCCCGCGCAAAATCAAATCCCAAAATTTTGGGCGGCTGGACAAATTGCGCGACGACACTAGTTTTTTCGTCGCGCAAAGGTATATTTTCACAACTTTGCGCGACGAAATTTTTTTTAAGTCGCGCAAAGGTCATATTTTATAATTTGCGCGACAAAAGTTATTTTTGCGTCGCGCAAAAGTTATTTTAATGAATTTTGCGCGACGGATTTATATATTCGTCGCGCAAAGTCGAATAAGTTTTCTGAAAATCGCGATCTTCTCCTTCTTCCCCAATTTCTCAAACCGAACCCTAAAACCTCCCTTCTCTCCGCCGTGACCTCAGCCCCTACTCCGCCCCAAATCAGACCCTGCCGCCACCACCGTCGAACCCAGGAGCTTCTCCGCCGTGGCCGTCCATCCTGCCGCCGTGAATTGCTCCGTTTAGGCCGAATCTTCGCCGCCGTTGTTCTCTCTCCTCCGGGCACCAAATCCGGCAATTGAGGTATGCTTTCTGGGCCTATTTTTCATGCTCTAGCTGATGGTTGTGTAGGATTTGATTGATTGTGTGCATAGGGTAGTCAATTTGAAACCCTAGGTTTCGGCCGGTTTTGAAATTGAAATTCCGGCCACTTCCGTCCGTTTTTCGGGGTAGGTCCGAGAACAAAAGTGCCTCCAATTGATGTTTTAAACCTAGGGTAGGAACCTTGCCCCTTAATTTGTAGGATTTCCCGGGGATTGTTATCGCTTAGGGCACCCACGCGCTGCCGGCGCGTGTGGTGGCGCGTGGGGTACTGTGGCATAGGGCATTTTGTCCCAGTGCAAACATTTCGTTGTCACGAGCGCGTAGGTGTGCTCGGATTGGAATTTGGTTATCGTTTGAGTCTCGAACGGTTTGAACCTATTGTGCGATTTTAGGGTTTGATATGTTCGGACCGTTGGATCGAGCTGAAACTCACGTATGTGGTACCATGTATTTATAGGATCGTTTAGGATTCGACGGATCGTGGATCGGAGTCCCGGATACTCCGAAATCGCAAACCCTAGGTCAAACTATGATTTTAATTAGTTAGTTCAATTTTTTACTGACATTGTATGTGCTACATTGGATTAATGAAATTGTGCAGATGTCAGACTTGATTAGACGTCGTAGGGCGGTGACGGCTACACCGAGTTCGGAGCCCCCGGCTCAGCCGGTATCAGCTGCCACTGCTCCAGCACTGATGGAGCAGGACCACGTGCTAGCTGGTCCTGGGGGATCCCAGGCGGCTGCATCATCATCTTCTTCGGTGGTGCAGCCTCTTAGCGCTAGGCGGCGACACCGGCCCGCTACCACCACCGACACCACATCGACTGACTGTACTGGTGCCTCGGGGGCACCTCCAGGTAATACCCTTCCCACTTTCATTTTTTGTTTTAACATTTTTTTAATTGGGAATTTTATGGTTCAATTTGATTGTATATGTAACAATATTGTCATATCCCTTTGCAGCCAAGAGGAACACCCGAGGGCCGTGTCGGCAGCTGAAGACGGCGAAGGTCACCCGGGTGACCAACAGTCGTATCAGCATCGGATATGACGAGCGCCATCGGGCTGCACCGACGGCGGACTTGCATAGCTCCTTGGCCCACGACATTGGCCACGTCGTTCGGACCCATTGCCCGATGCAATGGAAGTCTTGGAAGGTCATGCCTGACGAGATCAAGATGCAAGTTCGCGGCCAGTTGTCGGTATGTTTTCCTATCTTTTAATTATTTTTCTTTCAAACTTATATATTTCTATTACTTAATGTATGTAATCAATTTATTGCAGACGAACTACGACTTAGAGGACCTCAAACGAGGAGACTTTGGCGTACGTCAACAGACTCTTCGGTGAGAGGTACAAGCAGTGGAAGAGCGACTTGCACCACCATTTTCAGGCGTTTGATGATCCGCAAGTCGCTCTTCAGGAGGGTTGCCCGAAGGAGCTTGAGGGCGGGAGGATAGTTGGGCGTGGCTCTGCGCTCATTTTCAGGCGCCCGATTATGTGGTATTTTTTTAATAATATTTGTTTAATGTTTATTTTATTTTTTATATCTCATTATTATTTAATTTATTTATAGTTCAATTCTTACGTTTTATTTTTTGTATAACAGAATAAAGCCCAAGTGAATAAGGGCAATAGGAAGAAGAAGACTCTTCTTCACCATTCCGGCTCCAGGCCCTTCTCATATAGGATGGATGCACGGCGTCGGGTAAGAATAATATAATTTATATTTAATTTTTAATACGTCATTATTATTAATTTCTTTTGTTCATACTAATATTTTCCTTCTCTTGTTCAATTAAGGGGGGGTCGAAATTCCCAGAGATCGACGTCTTTGGTGACGTTTATGTTCGACCTGGGAATGAGTTGGCCGAGTCCCTTCATGTAAGTATTATGTATTTTTAATTCTTATGTTACACTTTCAATTTATATGCATTTTTTGAATTTATATTTTATGTAATGTTAAACAGACGACGATGGTGGAGAGGAGCCAGTTGGTTCTTCAAGAGTCCGCCTCCCAACTTCCTCCCGAGACTCCGATCGAGTCTGTGGATCCTCCGCATGATGCTGGATTTCAGATTTTGACGCAGACGTTGGATCAGACTCTCGGGAGGAGGCCGGGAACGTATTGTAGGGGGATGGGGAATGCCCGACAGAGGGAACCTCGACCGCGGTCATCGTCGCAGGCAAACAGTCAGGTGACTGTTTTGACATCGCGGGTTGCCGAGCTTGAGGGTCAGATGTCGGTGATTCTGCAGTCCCTCGCGCGGTCCGGCATTCCAATCCCGAATTTTGGTGCGTCGACCTCCGAGCCCGTCCACCCCGAGCATCCCCAGCACACCACGGCCCCTGCAGACGCCCATACCTCCGAGCCGCATGTGGCAGATGACCAAGTAGATTTTGGAACATTATTTGATTAGTTTTTTATTTTTATAATTACTTTTACAATTTGTATACATTTCTTTTATTTTATATAATAGATGTTTTCTTTACGATTAATCTTTTTATTGTAATTTCATTTTAATTAAAAAAAAACCAAATTTATTTTTTTACAAAATTAAAAATCAAATAATAATAAATTTTTTTTAATAATATATATTGCTTTTGCGCGACGAAACGTAAATCGTCGCGCAAAAACATTTAAATAACACGTTGACAAATATATTTTAATCATGCGCGACGAATAATTTCGTTGCGCAAAATGTGTATGCGCGACGAATAAGATTTCGTCGCGCAAGGTTCATGTAGCTCGCGCGACGGAAGAGTCCGTCGCGCAGTTTTTTTTGCGACGACCACTGTTTCGTCGCGCAAATATTTGTGCGACGGACATTGAGGTCGTCCCGAAATTTTTTTTAAACGAAGTTGTTATACGTAGCGCAAACAGCACGACGAATGACATTTATTCGTCGCGCAAATCCTTTCTTCACGAACTTTGCGCGACGGACTGTGCGCGACGAAACTTCTGTCGCGCATAATTATGTGCGACTAAAATCATTTTTGCGCGACGAAGACCCCTTCGTCGCGCAAAGACTAAATGTAGTAGTGTGTTTTAGCAAGAAGAAGTTGATTTGCAGAGAGGAAATGGTCAACTACTAACACTCGCTACTGCTTAGTATCTTTTGCTTTCTATGTAGATGAAGTTGCTTAGGTCTGGAGATTTGAAAGTTAGCACATCTATTGAAATTGCTTGGTCTTTTTGTATTGCTCTATTGACATTAGGCACATCATATCATCAATCAAATGTTATGTTTTTGAATTTGAAATTTCTATTGATTAATCCAAGCACATGGAGTTGAATCCATTCATTAATCTCTTTCTTGTTTGTTATCTGTTTTTCAATACTGGGTTAGATGACATTAGTTACATAAATTTTGAGCTTTAACAGGTAACACGTATGATAAAATCAACATGAGATTTATTATTACAAAAATAAAACCAATCACGTCGTGCAGAATAAGCCGTAATTGTTAATTGATAGTCTTCAATTACGGCAACCAGTGCATGTCGTAATTGCTTGTACTAAATTACGGCTCACTATGCAAGTTGTTTAAAGTAATTATAACGACGTTACATGCACGCTGTAGTAAAGTTTATGGCGTGCTTTTTGTGGGATTATTTGCGACTAGAAAAACATGTCGTTATTGAGGAACATTATTTACTACACGGGCTTTTACTGCTTGTAGCCTTACATTGTGAATGATACTTTACGGCGTACTTTGTGTGTCGCAAATGATGTGTTCTAGTGTAGTGTTTCCTCTTTAGCTAAAACCTTAACACTAGTTAGTATTTCAAGTAACTATGAATGTGAGGTTTTATTTCTTTTTCTTTTTTTCTTGATACAAGCGATATGAGGGGAGAGGGGTTTTCTACAACTACCAAGGTGTCATGGGGGGTTAAACTTGAGACCTCTAGTCCAGTGGCGGTCGCACGACCTCTTGGAAACCATGGAAATATGCTTAGAGGTCCCTTGGAGTTAGGGGAGAGACCCTTTGGAGTTGCACACCAAGTGCTCGACGTTTTTCTTGAGGAAGAAAGGAGCTGCGCGAGGAAGAAGAAGTGCTGCTGGTTTTTTTACTTTAACATCCTGGGCAAAACAACGTCATTTTGTCCCAGGAATTTTCTTTAAAATGGTCTGGCCCAGCAACTTCCCCCAAAGTCCAAACCCACCAATTACCTCCATCCCATTGCTTTCAATCATACAATTTTACCAAATCTGGAAAATATTGGCCAACGTGTAATAAACACCTTTGCCCAACAACCCTTCATATTTCCCATTTCATTGGGTCGTCTTGTCCACTCTTTGGAGTGGAGAGTGGGCTTTCATGAGAAAGATTTATGAAAAACATACAAATACTTAAATAAATGTAATAAAATACCATGTCTTTGCTCCATTCAACTCAAACACTCAAATGGACTTCTAAAATCCCCAAATTCTATTATTCTCTACCCTATGTTCCCAACTAAATCTCCCCCCCAAACCCTCAACATGGCTGAAAATTTTATTCTCTTCCCTCTCCATCTTTGATTTTATAAATTTATTATTGTTCTTGATATACTTAAACCTTTGTGTTACATTCTTTTATTTGATGATAATGCCTAATATTTTTATTGGATAATGAATAATTGATAATGCCTAATATTATTTGATTTGTTGGAATTTAGGGTTTATGATTAATTTTGTGATGGACTTCTTGTCCTCTCTTTGTTTGTTCATTTGTCTTAATAAAATTTGTTTCTTAAAAAAAAAAAATGGTTGACTGTTTGGTTTGATTAATTCATGTGTAGAATTATGGAATGATAAGAGGAAAGTAATAGAAAATTATTTTTTAGTGTTATTTTCATCTTTAAAAAAATATCGAAACTCTTACACTAAAACCCCTTGGGGGTAACAATCCTGGATTCGCCACTACTCTGATCTACAAATCAAGATCCTTTTTCACTGGGCTAGACTCCTTTGGCGAGATTCTATTTCTTAAGTGAAAGTTGTTTGGGATGAGAACTATTAAATTTTTTACTTAAATTGTTTTTATAAGTAATTTCATATTTTGGATATATTGTATCTAGTTTATTTTACTTAAAGAATGAGTGAAGAATTAGCTTTTTCTTTGTATCTTAGAAGAAGTAGGTTTAGATAAGATATATAGAATTAGAGAGCCACTCTTAAGCAATAAAATATTTTGTTTTCTTTATAAGAAACAATTTGATTAGGTTCCTTATGGATAAATCAACCAAAATAAAATCTATGAAGGCTTCATTGTCAACTCATAAAGCCTAGTTATACGTGAACGTCTTATCAATTCAGTTCCTTATGGACAAATCAACCAAAATAAAACAAAGTAATATACAAATATTGAACATGCATGGAGATTAGAAAGGAAAAAAAACAAAGGAAATTTTGAAAACAAGAATCCCAATAAGGACAAATGAGGAATTATGAGTAATGAGCAAAAGCATCCTAATTCATTGACTGCAGCTTGGACACTTGACAGACATACAATACAATTGCATGACAGAAATTCTAAGCATGACTCTCATCCCAATAATAATAATAATAGCTTTTTATTTTTATTTTTATTTTTACTTTTTTTTGTTGGTTTATTATTTTCTCTCTCTTCTCTAAACATTCCCAAGCATAAATATCTCAATCGCGCCCCCCTCGTCCGCTACAGAAAGCCAAGAGGGTTAAGAGAGATGGGTCACTCCGACCCACTCATTCTCTCAATCATAACACACCCAACCCCACCACCTCTCTCTCTCTTTCTCTCTCGCTCTCTAAATCCACAAACAACCTTTCCCATAAAACCACCTTTTATATGTTCATATTACAAAAACCACTACTTAAGTTACATTTTACATCTCTTCCCACTTCACTCTCCGACCAGTCTAGTCCCATCCTCTCTCTCTCTCTCTCTCTCTCTCTCTCTCTCTCTCTCTCTCTCATAAAAAGCTTTTTCTATCTTCTTTTGTCTTCGTGTTCATTTCTTTGTATAATTTGTTTCTTGTTATTATCAGAATTAATTATATCTCCTTTTTCTTTATTCACGCTTAGCCTTTTCCTCAAGGAATACTTCCTGATCCGGCTATATATTACAATTTAAGCTTTGAAATATTATGTCAATGGATTTGATGGCATCCGAACGTGTTTGTTATGTTCACTGCAACTTCTGCAACACCATTTTAGCGGTACCTCTCTCTCTCTCTCTCTCTCTCTCTCTCTCTCTCTCTAAATGTCATTATAAGGTTTCTTTGTGATGTCTTTCAAGTTTCCACAGCTGAATTGACCAACATCCGAGCTTTCATAAATTTAGATGAATGAATTTTATGCATCATGACCCTTCATGGATCCAAAAATAACTTACTTCCAAGTGTAGAAGAAAAAGAATTAATTGGGTTTTGCGAATATATAGCTAGAATTGTGACCCTTAAATCAATGCATAAAATGCCCCCTTTTTTTTCTGCTTAAAGTACTTGAATTGACGCCATGAACTGCAACTTATTCTGATTTCACATGGAATTGACCCAACAATCTGTCTTGTACCCTATATTTTATGAGGAATTGTATCTGGGTTTTGGCCTGCAAGCCTCCAAGTACATGAAAATAATAAGAAAATTCAATTTTATGTACGTCAAGAATAGCAGAATTCCAATCGATCCCATGAATGACTTATTTTATCTCAAAAGCGACGGATGATTGCTTCCTTCTAGCTAAAGATAGCAAGCAAATCTCCTAAAAGGTTTCCTACTGCAGATTATTTCATTGCCATGAAAACTACTAGGGCAACAGCTAGGGTTATATTTCCAATTAATTCCAGGCAGGCACAGGTTGAGTCAGTTTTTCTGATCCCAAGCTCCGCACAACTTTATGCTGATTCCTATATATATACATAAATTAAATGGTAGGGATATTATTAATTTATTTCTAAAGCCAAGCCATGGCAGTACTGATTCATTTTCTTTCATCGTTCGATCTTGTCATGCCTTCATTGCTCTCTCTCTCTCTCTCTCTCTCTCTCTCTCTCTCTCTCTCCCTCTCTCCCTCCCTCCCTCTGTGGATAAATAAATATGATCGATCCAGTGGTTACATATTTCATGTTTTGAATATCAATCTAGTACAAAAGGTGCCTTTTCTTTTTCTCTTTACTTGAATTTGTGAATACATATATATATATATATATATATATACAGAGAGAGAGAGAGAGAGAGAGAGAGAGAGAGAGATCTGCTGCCAATGAAAATCTTGGAGCCATAGCAGCAAATTTTTCTTTTCTTTTCTTTCTTCTTTCTACTATCTTTCATCATAAGATGCCTCTGATAAACAACCCCTTTTGAATGCTTTCTTTTGTTTTTTTTTCCTTTTTTCTTTATTTGTTCGCTGTTGATATATAGAAAATGATGTTAAACACTGCACAGTGCAGAGTGAACAGTAATTAAATTAGTGTATATGATGATGACGATTCAGATACCAGCAAGCTTTGTCTTCTTTATTCATGGGCTATCTTTGCGATGTTTGAAAGTGATGAGTGGTTAATGCTTGTCATGGACTTTAATGGTTTCCGTTCCTGTCATGTCACTTTCGTCCTCTCTCTCTCTCTCTCCTCTCTCTCTCTCTCTCTCTCTCTCTCGTTGATTGAAGCTACATGTATGTATATATGTATTTATACCTATATATATACTTTTCTTTCTATCTTTATCATCTTCCTTGGGGATGTGTCAGGCAGAAAAGCCAGGAGGGGCACCGAAAGGGAAAAAATAAATAGTGCCTTAATTGACTCTTGTGTGCGTGTGTTTCTTTGTTTCCAGTGTGTGTGTGTGTGTGAGAGAGAGAGAGAGAGAGAGAGAGAGAGAGAGAGAGAGAGATGATAGCCTTTAATTTATTAAATGAAGGCTAGTCCTTATAGTTATTACCCATGTGAGGCCTAAGAGTTTTGAGAGAGGGTCTCTGTTAAGCTGCGATTTCGATCTCTCTCTCTCTCTACATTGATCATAACCGCATTTTTGTTGTAAATAACATATACATAATCTTTCTAGCTACTTCTTTGGATGCATTTAGGAATTTCATCCTTCTACTGTTCTTCTTGATCTTGATCTTGATCTTCTTCTTCTTCTTCTTCTTGATCACTGCATTATTTATTTTCTGTCGCTAACGCATGTCGTATGTGACGCCTTTTGTGATTCATATAAAGAGTCCTGGATGAGATGTCATATATCTAGTTTGTTTTGCGGATGAGGAAGATAGCTATCTCATACAAGATATTTTTATGTTTATGAATATAGGGTTTGATTATTATTTGATGCTTAAATTAAACACCTTGATAACGGCATATTTGTGAGCAAGAATTTGTGATTAAGGTACTAACCAATTTAAACTTTAATAAATCCTTCATTCTCTGAGGATTGACATTGTTTATGTGTGTTTCTATTAATTAAGAAGAACATAGGACACAGAAATTGTATAATTAAGTGCTAATTACTTAGTTTATCTTTTCATTTATGTAATTGGGTGCACCTGCAGGTGAGTGTTCCATGCAACAGCTTACAGAACATGGTGACGGTGAGATGTGGGCATTGTGCCAATCTGCTGTCAGTTAATATGGGAGCTTCCCTTCAGTCGAATGCTCTTGCTCCTCAAGATCCCCAGGTAATTAATTAATCATTTTAGATTATAATTTATTTAAGCCGGCCCTTACCAAGGGAAAACATAACAAAAATAGAAAACAAAGCACAATTCATCATATTCATTCCACAAGGAATTTGATGGGGTGTGTGAAAATTGTCTGTTAAGTTCATTTATAAAGATGGTTTTAATTTGATGGGATAATTAGTTGTTTTGGTGAAATTAAAGCTACAGAAGCATCACCTGAGCTCTGAGGATTCAAATAAGAGCTGCGGATCTTCATCATCTTCCAAATGCAGCAAGTTTGGTCATCCCTTTGAGTCTGTAGAGCTTCATGACCAACCTAGAATCTCTCCCATCCGCCGTGAGTCCCTCTCTCTCTCTCTCTCTCTCTCTCTCTCTCTCTCTCCAACCACACCTTTACCCCCAAAAAACTTAATGTCTCTCATACCAAATGCTAAATGCAAAACCAACTACCTCGTTTGATTGATTTAATATCCAAATGTAGCTTTAAGAAAAGTGTTTCTACACATTTGGAAAACCACCTAATCTTCTGATGCTAATAAGACTCATGCATGCAAATAGAGATTTGTCCTCAGTGCCTCATGGGCCAGATAGGATGATGGTGACCTTTCATAACAGATTTCAGAACCCATCAATTAATTTATACCAATGTCCATTAATTAATACTTTCACAATTTAATCCCTAATCATTTATAATAATAATAATATTAAAAAAAACCAATTATATAGGCTGCATTTTTTATGTGAGGAATCTATAGTCTGCCTCTAAATGAACCGTCTGTGCTTTCAATCCCAATAGTACACCATTGGAATGTGGTCAATTTTTTAGCTATATATATCTGGATGATTTAATTTCTTGGACTTTGTATTGGAGTTTCATTGGAATTGGAAGCCGACATTTCATTTCATGCAGAATTATCTAAACCATTTTATATTTTTTTATATTTATATATAAATGTCTCAGCACCCGAGAAGAGACAACGGGTTCCTTCAGCATATAACAGGTTTATCAAGTAAGTTTAATACAATACTTTTATCACAAATTATGTTGCTAAGATGGACATATTATCTCATTTTTAATGGCTCTCTCTCTCTCTCTCTCTCTCTCTCTCTCTCCAGGGAAGAAATTCAAAGGATTAAAGCTAGTAATCCTGACATTAGCCATAGGGAAGCTTTTAGCACTGCAGCTAAAAATGTAAGTCATGGATTGATAACAAAGAAAAGAAGGCATCATGTCTCTCAACTTTTTCATATCTGGGAGGTCCTGTAGTTATTAAAGTAGTACTATCAAGCTTCTTTTGGTACATAGAACCATCAAGTTGATCGATGCTGCTCCTTACATTATTAGTAAGTAATGACTCTTGTTAATCAAGTTAGAAAAGTGTCAGAAGATGAAACATTATTAGTAATCATTTCGTTTTTCGTTTTTATTTTGTAGTTTTTATTTGTTTACTTAGAGATAAAGAGAAAATATATGGAAGAAAACGATCGAGAAAGAATTACAGGAGGGAGGAAATCATAATGATGGAGAAATTAAGGCAAATGCATGAAACAAAACATGAGAAAAACAAAATCTAATTAAAATTTTCTTTTAGCTTTTCATCTTATGTAACATTCCATTTCATTTCTCCGTCCTGTCCACCATCCCTCCTTCCCCCCTTCTCCATCTATTCTCTCTCCTTTCTCTAGCTATCATTTACCCATTTACTTTTCTATATAATCTTTAACTAAAAGAACAAAAACAAAACCGAAACGATTTTTTCGGCTTCATCCATTTGGATGGCTAAATGCATGGCGTGGAAATAAGGAATGATTTCTTGAAGTGCTTGTTTCATGCTTTTGTGCAAAATAAGGTTTCACAAAGCCAAGTGAAAGAGTTGGTGGCATTCGATCCGACAAGGAGTAAAATACACATCCTGGGAGTTCTCTGAAGCTCTTCCATTTAATCATTCTCATTTTAGGAAACATGATAGCAATGTTTGGTAAAAAAATAAAAAATAAAAAGAGAGTAATATAACCATAAAAACGTAAATGGCCAAAAGAAGAATCAAGACTATAAAGGAAAATTAAATTATTCATGGTCTTTTACCATTTGAAGTTTGTGAAATATCTTTTTTGTCATGGCAAAATGTATAGTTTCATTCTTAGATTTCTATATTTTCTTTCTGCAAGACTGAGGGGCATACATCGAGATATGGATATAAAGGGGAAAAAGAATATAAAAAACACAAAATCAGATTGGATTTTCTGTGTTGCTTGTCACTAAAGAATGCAGATGAACTTGATGGGTTGAGGGGTATGGAGCAACAAGTGTGGTTAATCGTTCTTTTTTATTATAGTTGATGTGATATTTATTTGGACGAAATTTATTAGCACATCTAAAACACAAGAAGGACTGAAAAAAGCTCATTGTCTGACATATTTGGAAGTGAAATACTCATTCCTCTGAAAATAGAAACTTCTACTTTCCTGTTAATCATAGTTTGGCATACGTGCATAAATTTTTGTCTTTTTGATGAATTGGTTTTGCATATGTGTCAAACTGCGATTTTCAGGGAAAGAGTCATGTCTCCTTCCAGAAAGGAGGCAGACAGTGTCCAATTACTTAAGCATGCTCTACTGTATGATTTGCTATATCAGTTTCAAAACTTTGTAGATTTATAGTTCTAACAAGCTTAAGCATTTCAGACATAAGGCTCCATACCACATTGTATATAATTTTTCTCCCTTTAACATGAGCATCCTGGATAAGGATTGGTCTTTTACAATGTTGTTTATTACATGTGTTGCTGTCAAGGTTGTTATAATGTTGCATATGCCAACGCAGTTCTCTTTATCAGCCTTAAACATTTGTCACAATATTGGAGAAATAATAATGATGAAAGTTAAAAGGGAAACTATCAACTGAGAAAAGGTTTTGTGTTGCAGTGGGCACATTTTCCTCACATTCACTTTGGTTTAAAGCTGGATGGCAGCAAGCAACCGAAGCCGGATCAGACTTTTGCAGGAGGAGATCAGGGAACTCAAACGTCTAGCGGATTCTACTAAAACAAACTGGTACATATCCCCCGTGAGAAAGAAGCACCCTGGGTTTTCTATATATATGTGTGTGTGTGATGCAAAGAAATATTGAGGTTGATGAAGTCTCCTAACCCTATAGCTAGGGAACCTCTTTAGAACCTCACCCTTTCAAATTGCTATATATATGTGTTCAATTGATTTCCATAACTATCAAGAATTCTTGTCATTACATTCATGTTGGACTTTATTTAATCTTTTAAGTAAACAGATAAAGCAGATCAATCTCTCTCTCTCTCTCTCTCTCTCTCTGTGTGGGAGGACCACATAATTAACCACTGTGATATTCCATGCATCTGGGAATTCACCCCAGAGGACCATAGGTTAAAGTTTTTGGCTGCATATATTATATATATGTGTGTATATATATTTACACAACCAGCTTATGAGTGTATATCGAGCTGTCATGACTGATGCAACACGAGAGAGAGAGATGCCATTTGTGGATATTCACAAGATAGATGATGCAGACGTTCTTGCATGCTTCACCTGTCTCTTACTGAGGGCTCAGATGATCATAATAGCATTTTTTAAAGTTTTCTATCCATGATTATATAGATTTGTTATAAATAGTTTTGAAAGTTTTCTTAGTTTTTTCTTTTTCTGTTTAAAGGTTTTAATTTTTTTAGTATTATTTTTTCATTGAATTTATGGGTTTGACATATGGCAGCAAACAGTGACAAAGCCACTCCTAGCCTAGAGTGGCCCTGCCCCCCTTAGATTTTGATCTCTCCTATATTATATTATATAAAACATATAAAACTTGTAATAAACAACTTACAATATAAGTTAAAATTTTCTTTAAAATAAATAAGACATGACTAAATTAGAAATATTTAGCTCTAAACATGTAAGTATTGAATACATAGATGTTTTATATAGTCGTATTTTTTACTTCGGTCCCCTCAACTTTACAATTCTAGCTCTACCCCTAGCAACAAACTAACAAACTTTTTGATGGAATCCAACTACATGAACAAATTGATGTAACGATGACTCACAAAAAACAAAAAGTATAAAAAGGACTATAGCTAATAGTTTGATGAACCTCATAGATGTTTGTGATAAGTCCCAAAAAAAAAACAAATTATTGAGAGTATTGTGGAAATTATGAAGGGTTTTCTATGAAACACTTAAAGTTTTAAATTTTCAGTGTGTGGAAGAGAAAAAGGTTTTGTTGATCAATTTTATAGGGTGTAAAATAGGATTACCATATGATTATTAGGTAATATGATATTCGTATATACCTCAAGGAACTTTCGAGGAAATTATCAATCACTTTAGAATTAGGGTTGTTTTAGTCATTGTTGACATTCCTCTCTAGTTTTCTTTGCAATCTACATTGAAGTATTGCGAAATACAAACATTCACACTTTTAGTGAAAGTGTATGAGACCTATTATATATTTTCCAGTTTCAAGCTTATAGTCACTGGCGGACTTATGAATTTTTCGGCGGATGTGCAATTTTAAAGGATAAAAGCTTTAAAAAAGGGAGCTGATTTTCTCACTCATCTTTTATGCACTTACACTCCATTTGTTAGAAATGTTATGTTCTCACTCCTCTTTTGTTCACTTATACTCTCTTTTTCGTTATAGTAAAAACCATTAAAAAACAAAAGGGAGTGTAAGTAGACAAAAGAGGAGTGGGAAAATCATCATCCTTAAAAAAATGAGCATACTATAGTTTATATAGTATATCAATTAATATGAAAATCAATATCAATATCAATTAACTTAAGGAAAATCAATATTAAATTATAAATTACATACAAAAATAATAATTGATCATACCTCGAGTTGTGTATCGCACACCCTTTTTCTTACTGGGTTTGCTATAAGTTATAGTCCTTGAAATTTTGGAATAATTATTATTCTGTAATTAGAATTTCTAAAGAGTGGTGGAACGAAGAACATGCAAAGACTCAAGCCGCTACCAACCAATAAGACTGAGTGGAATATGCTTGGAAAATTAATTCCTTTAAACCTGCTGGTGGTTTCAACTAATACGGAAATTTGCATATTTAAGTCTATTAATTATAATACAAATTTATAAATAAATCCAATTCTAGACATGAATTTATAAAAAAAAATCCAATACTATTTAAAACATAGAAACACACCCAAAATCAACAATTGTATATTTTTGGGTGTGTTTATAAATGGGTTTTGAGTGTGTTTAATAAATGGTTTTGGGTGTGTTTTTAAAGTGTTTTTCATGTTGGATTTTTTTATAATTTCAGCTCCTATTTTGAGTGTATTAGTGAAACTCCCTAATTATAATTTACTTGACTCAACTGAAGCCATTAATTACTTGTTATACCTGCTTTCTCTCAATTAAGCAACTCACCATAAGAATATTTGCTGTGGTCATGCTGACGTGGTTCGATAGCTATCCCTAGCTAGGTTTTGAGGGAATCACACGCCGGTGATGGGTGTGAAGATCACCCACGGTTGATTGGTTCATTGATCTTGGTTCATGCTATGTTGAAATCCAATTAAGCACACTGTTGTGGACTGTAACGTCTGCAATATGCCCACTTATGCTGCTGTAGCATCAAGAATAGCACTGTAAAATGCCATTTTGGAATATTAATGCCCGGAGAGAGAAAGAGAGGAGAGAGAGAGAGAGAATAGGTTGCTTTGTCTCGTGGGATGGGTTTGAGAGCACAGAATCTGAAACGTCAAATCGTGTAGTTGTATTTTGGAATGATGCGTGTGTGTGAGGGTGGGTGTGAGTGGGTCTTGTCGAGAAGATAGAGGGGAGGGTGATTTTGCTTTACTTTAGTAGCTTTATGAAAACAATAAATGTCTGGATCACACTTGTCATGTCACTCGCCAGACTAAGTAGGGAAGGAGTAAAAGAAGGGAGGGAAAACGCTGCCGTTGGAAATGGAAACACCACCTAGAGAGAGAAAAGGAAGGTGCGTCTGCCATACCCTTTTAATACAATTAAGTGTATCTCTCTCTATTTATGTAACTTTAACGTAACAAGAGAAATCATGTTCGGGGTCATTTTTAATATAAGCCACTTGATTTTAATTTCATCCATTTAAATTTTAATATTATGAAAATTGACTAATTTATACTCTTTGTCAAATTGACTGTCTGGTTAGACATTAAATGATGACCTGTCCATTGTCGAACATATCCCACAAATTGAATGACCGATCCCTTTACAAAAAATTAAAATGAATTATATAAAATGATAAATAACATAATATGAAAAGAAAAACCTACCCCCAGACCCCAGCCCCCTCCCCTACCTAGCAACCCAACCCACCCCGAATGTTCCCTCACCCCCTCTCATGGACGCTCAGCTACACCAACCCTAGCCCCCCTCCATCTCTTTGTTCTCTCTCTCTCTCCCACCCCCACCCCCACCCCCTCTAGTTAAAATCCTCTCAAAATTGCTGCTTCTAAATAGCAAAATAAGAAGATGAAACCCAATTTTCAGCTATGCTCACATCAACATTGAAACCCAAGATCAAGAATTTGATTTGTATCTCAGTAAGGGGTTAGGTTATGGAGAGAGAGAGAGTCTCATTCCTTTAATAATTTAGATTATCACTTGTATTAAATATAAAAATTATTTTCGTACCCACCTTGTAAAATTGTTGCAATGTGATTCATCTCGTTGATCTAGTTGTTAAAAAAAATCCATTTAGTGATAACATGGTGAAGCCTACTTTTCTTATCTTAAGTGGCATAAAATATTAATAAAAAAACAAAAATGAATTAAATAATAAGAAAGTATATTAAAATATTAAAGTGAAAAAAAGTATGAAAGTGAAAAATAAAAACTGTCTTCCCCCACCCCCGACCATTGACCTCAAGCCCAACCCAACACCTACTAAGCCACAATACACCACAAATTTATTTTATCTCGGCAATGCACGTTCCGACTGCCGCCACCAATACAACCACAAAGCCACTTATTCAGCCACAACCACCCATCTAAACCCATTGCCATCAATCTCTTATTTCCGACCCTACAAATTGCAAAATCGCATTGAAATTCTAAACGTTCAATGGAACTGCTTGTAGTCAGATGGAGACCATATATGGTCACGAGGTTGGGAATTGATTAGGAAGGGTTGCGTAGATCAAAGTGTGGGGATGGGAGATTGTTGATGTAAACTATATATGGTCGTAGTCACTGGCGGACCCAGAAATTTTTTCGCATAGGTGCAATATAGACTAAGTATGAAAAATGGTTTTTCGGAATAATCATTTTCTCAAGATAATTTTTGGCAGCTTTTATTCCTTAAACATTAAATAAGAAAACTTAATTTTATGAGATTTTAGTATGAAGTATATATTGACTTAATGAGCCATCATTTTTAGCCTAAATCGTATTTTGCACTCAAACCGATTTTTCATATTTTGATTTGGTGGGAATTTGATTTTCTAGTATTTTTATTTGAATCCAAATGGGGGGTTACTTCCTTATTTACATTGTAAACTTAAGTAAATGGTGTAAGATAAAAATAAATGAAAGTAAAAGGACAAAGACATTTACTTGCGCCGTAATAGGTCCGCCATTGGTTGTAGTGGTGCATGAACAGTGGCCGGGGTTAGCCTAAGGAGATCGGTAGTGGTTGGTGGCTTTGTATGTGTGGTCATGTGGTGGGGAAGAGAGAGAGAGAGAGAGAGAGAGAGAGAGAGAGAGAGAGAGAGAGAGGTGGTGCCTATGGCGGTGGTTGTTTTGGTAGGGCGATGTGAGGGTAGGAAACTCTGTTGTGAGAGAAGAAGGTGTTTGTGCCTAATAAATTACGGTCATGAACTGATCGAAGGGACTTCCCTTCGGCCCTAGCGCCTACCATTTCGTCAAGCATTTCACCTTCCTAAGAACAAAAGAAAAGCTGCAAAGGCAGAATCCTCTCGACATCGCGACCGCAGTATTGAAGGCCGAGGCCGAGGGCCATAAAAGACACGGCCTAGAAAAGCTGTGGTTGAATCACCACGTGGCCTCAGGGCCTCACGCTCCATTTAATGAAGTAATGCCTCTGACTTCGCAGCAAACCCACTAGTCACAAGAAGCATTTAATGCACAAGGGAAGTGACTGAAGTCAGCATTTGGTGATAAAAATCAGGGTGGTTAGACGTAGACATTCTCACAAGTAATCTTACGATTTAACGTCAGATTACCAACCACCATACCAGGGCATTAAATGAATTTCCACGACCAAGGGGGCAGAACCCACGATCAGGGCGGTGGCCGAGATTCACCGAGATTTATGGGGGTCACACCACCATACTTCTCAATCCTAAACCACCATGCTTCACGATCGCAAATGCCGATTTGACTATCCACTTGCCCTGGTCAGGCTCCACCACACAGGTCTTGTCAGCCTCGAACGTCCCTCCAGGATTTCTATAAATACTAAGCTCAGGACTACATTCAAAGGGTTCAAACACCAAACCAAAAGCCTCCCACGGAACAAATTATATTTTCCTGTAATGCACTTTCAATACCTTTACTTGTTTTCTTAGGAGTAATGGTAGATTGTAAGGAAAATCCATTCATCAATATATCATACGACCCTTGATATTCAAGGCGCTGGAGCACCATCTCTGTTATCACCTCACTCACCCCATATATCATACGACCGTCGCTCTCTGAGTAACGCGCCGGAGCACCGCCTAAAACCCACCACCAACACCACCACTAAACGGCCTTGTAGCTCAGGCCGTGAACCTGACGGCCGAGAGCAGTTCCTCTCTCGGCCACGATCGTTTGATTAGGAGTCGAACGCAAAACTGGCGCAACATTTAAACCATCTTCTACCCGAACCTCATCATCATCTCGACGCACGGTAGACCGTGCTGGTACGCCCACGCACAACCGCACCGCATCCAAAATAAGGACGTCATGTGTTGACGCACATCCCCTCGGTCTGGAGCACCAGGCCGTGAGATTCGCGACAGACAACAGAAGGGGACGATAATTCTTGCTTTGATTTTAATATGATCTTATATTTCTTATGTTTAGGTTTTCTTTCAGAGATTTTTCTCAATTTAATATTTTATGCCACTTGAGAAAAACTGACGTCTCATAAGTGCCAAGCAATTACTTAATGGATTTTCTGACAATGAACCAAACAACATGACCCCATTGCAATTTGCAAGGTGTGGGGACAATAATGTTAGAATTGCAAACTCGGGTACTAGTTTGACATCCCACCTTAGAGCACTTTCAGAGCATTGGCAGCAAGGGGCCCAAGGGGAGGGTTTGGGGGGGGAGAAACCCAAAATGTGGTTTCCAGCAACAAGAAGCTGCCAGGGCAAGCAATAGGGCCCATATACCTGGGCTGGCCCGAGCGCCAGACGTCAACGCTGAGGTTTAAATTTTCTTAAAGCTGGCGCGTGCATTGCACTCGCCAACTTTAAAAAAAATTTGACACGCCGCTACAGTGATCGCCCAACGGCTCTCTTCCACGTGTCTTCTGCTGGGCCATCCGATCACCTTTTTAAACATATCCAACGATAGCCATTTTTTCGCGAATAAAAAAATCGAAAAAGCAACCCCCAACGGCTTTATGCCACGTGGAAGATCCTGGGCTATCCGATCATTTTTTTCCAGCAATCCAACGGCGGGCAATTTTTTGCCCAATAAAAAAAGAAAAAAAATCGGAAAAAATTTTAAAAAATACTGAATTTTTTTTTTCTATAAATACCAACCAATACTCTTCACTTTTAACACCAACTCCTCATACATTTTCTTCTCCTTCTACTATTTTTCACTTTTTAGTCAATTTTTTTTCACTTTCAAGTTGTTTTTTTCTCTATTTCAAGTTGTTTTTTTCTCTATCGTATGTCATTGTCCCGTAACGGGCAATGAGATCAAATTCTGTCATATGTGGAAAAAAAATTCATCAGGAATTTTGTGAAAGGGTAATTTGTTCGACCCGTATGGATCATGCATTATCTAGTAGGTGGAAAATTCTTAATAAATAGCTGGGAAAATGGAGAGATGCCTTGACAAAAGCGATGAGCAAGCATAGAAGCGGGGAAACCTTAGCAGTGAGGTAAATTATTTGTAATTTCTTGTTTTATTAATTTCTATGTCATATTAAATTTTATTTAAATGTTTCTTGCAATTTATATATTATGTTAATATTTCTTGTATTTCCAATATTAATATGAATGTTTCTTGCAATATATATATATATATATTTTTTTGCATTTCTAATAAATGGTTAAAGTTTCTTGCGTTTCCATTAATTTTTTTAATACTTGTTGCATTGCCAATATTTTTTTTAGTTTCTTGTATTTCCTTTTTTTATTTATTTATATACTTGTTGCATTGCCAATATTTTTTAAAGTTTCTTGTGTTTCCATTATTTTTTTTGTTTTATACTTGTTGCATTGCCAATATTTTTTAAAGTTTCTTGCCTTTCCTTTTTTTTTATTTTTTATTTGTATAGATTAGGGGTGGTTGCGGTTCGGTAACCGCGAATTTTTACTCAAACCGCAAACCGACCGACTATTTGCGGTTTGGTGATTTTTGAAACCGCAAAATGCGGTCGGTTACCGCGAATTAGCGGTTTAAAACCGCAAGTTCTCAAGCATTCACAAAATATAAATTCACAACCTAAATAAATAAATACACAACCTCAATTTCTCAAGCATATATAAATTCACAATCTGCTCAACTTCTCAAGCATTCACAACCTAAGAAAATTAAAGTTACAATTCCAAGCATTCCAATTAAAGTTAAATTTCTCAAGCATTCCAATTCCAAATCCTTTAAAGTTACAAACCAAAAGCAAAATGCAAAGCAAAATGAATTAAAGTTACAACCAAAAAGAAAAATCCAATTCAAAGTTAATTAAAGTTACAAATTAAAAGGAAAATGCAATGCACCAATGTTACAAACTAAAGTTACAAACTCAAGTGTTGGTGGTGAGTGGATTTGAATAACCCCGTTGTGTTGTTTGAGCATCAATGTTATCTACAAATAAAACAACATAGTTCAGTACATTTTATTATAAGAAGAAGCATAAATAACATTAGCATAAATAAATTAATTACTTACAAGTTGTCATATGTTCCATTTCCTTGTAGAATTCAACTTCATCATCCGTGTGGCTATACTTTGCGGTTTGCGGTAACCGCAAGTTTTGAAAATCAAATACCGCAACCGCAACCGCAAATGCGGTTCGGTTCTTAATACCGCAAATGCGGTTCGGTTTACCGCGATTGCGGTTTCATTGCGGTAAATTATCGGTTGATTTTTGCGGTTTTTCGGTTTAAAATGCCACCCCTAGTATAGATTATGCAAGCACAAATGTTTTTTGGTGCTACTGGGCAAGGGAAAAAAAGTTTCAACCATACCCTATGTTGGGAGGTGGTGAAGAATTGTAAGAGATTCCAAATTATTCCAACGGGTCCAACGATAGTGTTGAACGAGAAGCCACTCCATGAGACACCGACATCGGATTCACCTATGGATTCCCCGATGAGTCAAGACTCACCTATCGAAAAAGAGCCGAGGCCTATTGGGAGGAAGGCGGCGAAGGCAAAGAGATGGAGTAATTCTACCAAGAATACATCTAAATATTTGGAGGAGCTTTCAAAGATGCAAGCCATGAGAATTGAAATGGATATGAAACAACAAGAGCACGTGGAAGTAGAATATGCAAAAGAAAGGGAGTATGTACGCCAAGGAAAGATTGAAAAAATTGATTGGGAAACCATGGCTATGGATACAACCCATATGTCCCCCGAAACAAAACAATTTTGGAAGTTAGAACGAAGGGATGTTATGACACGAAGACTTTTTCGTGACGATGGACCTAGCAATATGGATTGGTTAAATGATCAAAACCATTAAATTAGTTTGCTTGCCTTTCATTTCATTGTACCATTAAGTTAGTTTGCTTGCCTTTCATTTCATTTTATTTTTTGTTTTGTTTAAAAAAGTAGTTGTAATTCATGTATTTTATTTTATGATTTGTATTCATTTTCTTTTAGTGAATGAAGAAAATATTCAACAACATTACTTTTTATTCAAAACATTCCATACATAAAAATCAAACCACAACCAAAGCATAAAAAATAAACAAATCACAACCAAAGCATAAAAAATAAACAAACCACAACTAAAGCATAAAAAAACAACAAAGCATAACTAAAAATACAACATAAACATAATACATTAAAAAAACATCTTCACTTTACTTTATTGTCCTTTATTGCCTTTCACCGCCCACAAATGCTCCATCAAGTCCATTTGACGGTGTTCATGAATATATGACGATTGCATCTCCGTGTAGCGCTCAATCATCCGATGCATGAAACTACCGTCTCTAACTAACGGATCATGCTGCACTGGTTCTCCATTTGGCCCCATAGGTTTTTCATAAATTCGTGTTAAGGCCATGTTCATGGGATCTGGTTCATACACTTCATCAGCATCGTAATCATACTCATCTTCCACAATCATGTTGTGGAGGATGATACAAGTCATCATTATACTCCTAAGCACCTCCTCATCAAATAGACGTGCCGCTCCCCTGATAATTGACCACCGGGCTTGAAGGATACTAAAGCACCTCTCCACATCTTTTCTGTACCCCTCTTGATAGGCAGCAAAATTTTTTTCCTTGTGGGATCGAGGATGTGGAATTGATTTCACAAATGTTGTCTACCTCGGGTAGATACCATCAGCTAGATAATACCCGTTCTGGTAGACGGTATTATTAATTTGATATGTGATAGTTGGGCCTTCACCTCCCAGAACATCATTGAACACCGGGGATTGACCCAGGACGTTCAAATCATTTTGAGAGCCGGCAACTCCAAAGAAGGCGTGCCAAACCCATGTATCAAACCAGCAACTGCTTTGAGGATGATGCTTTTCTGCCCTTTCCGATTCCCATAATCCCTTTGCCAAGCAGATGGACAATTTTTCCATTGCCAGTGCATGCAGTCAATGCTACCAATCATTCCAGAAAATCCATGAGACTCAGCTTTTTGTAGAAGCCGTTTCAGGTCCCTGGGCGTAGGTTTGCGCAGGTAGTCCCTGGTGTACAGATTTTCCATTGCATCACAAAATCGCACCAAGCTCTCCAAAATAGTGGACTTCCCCATCCGGGCAATCTCATCCACCTGATCAGCAGATGACCCATACGCCAACATTCGTATCACAACTGTGAACTTTTGCTTGGGAAGCAACCCCAAATCTCCAGTACAATTTTTCTTTTGAACAAAGTAGTCATCATAATTGCAAATATCATGCATGACTTTATTGAACAAATGAGGTTGCATTCTATATCTTGCTCGAAAATGAACATCAGAGTACAAAGATTGTGGGATAAAATAATCTTCCATAAGATTCTTACCCCGAGAATATCTATGTCTGTCCACATTCGGTGCCCGGCCTTCTCGTGAACCACAGCGGCTCTGGTTTTCTTCCTCCAGCAAAGCAACGACCACACCAAGTTGCTCATCTAGTTCTCTCTGCGCCTTTTTGCTTGCAGCTCTTATACGCATTCTTGCTCGCCTTTCTCGCTCTTGCCTCTCCAAAACCTCTTCCATGTCGTCTGACATTGAGAATGGAGAATGAAATCTAAAATCTGACAAATGAAATCTAAAATATGAGAAATGAAGATGTAGAGAAGATATGGTGTGGGAGGTATGAGCTAAGCCTCTGCTTTTATAGAAAAATTTAGGCAGATAGAGATGACACGTGGTGCAATTTTAGAGGGTGAAAATCTTATCTGAAATTTGAAATTCACATGAATTTGAAATTCACATGAAATTTGAAATTGAAATTTATCTGGAATTTGAATTTTGAAATGTATCTGAAATTTGACATTTTGAATTTATCTGAAATTTGAATTTTGAAATGTATCTGAAATTTGAAATTTATCTTAAATTTATCTGAAATTTGAAACCGAAAATCTGATCCGATATGAATAGTATTGACACGTAGGAACCCAAAAATCTTATCCGAAAATATTATCCAAATTAATTGTTTAAGTAAACAAAGTTGTGAAAAAAATAAAAAAAATGAATAGTATTTGCCATGGCAAGCCTTGCACTGCTGGAAACACAATTTTTTTTTGTGCTAGGGCAGCTACTTTAACCATTTATTAGAAATGCAAAACAAAATATAAATATTGCAAGAAACATTCATATTAATATTGGAAATACAAGAAATATTAACTAAATATATAAATTGCAAGAAACATTTAAATAAAATTTAATATGACATAGAAATGAATAAAACAAAAATTACAAATAATTTACCTCACTGCTAAGGTTTTCCCCATTTCTATGGTTATTCATCGCTTTTGTCAAGGCATCTCTCCATTTTCCCAGCTCTTTATTAAGAATTTTCCACCTACTAGATAATGCCTGATCCGTACGGGTCGAACCAATTACCCTTTCACAAAATTCCCGATGAATTTTTTTCCACATATGACAGAATTTGATCTCATTGACCGTTACGAGACAATGACTAACTTGGAGCCAAGCCTCACACAAGCTAACATCTTCCGTCATGCTCCATGCCCCTCCTCCGGTTTCACTAGAAGAACCCATAATATGATAGAGAAAAAAACAACTTGAAAGTGAAAAATAATTTGAGTAGAAAGTGAATAATAGTAGAAGGAGAAGAAAATGTATGAGGAGTTGGTGTTAAAAGTGAAGAGTATTGTTTGGTATTTATAGAAAAAAAAAAATTCAGTATTTTTTTGGTATTTTTTAAAACTTTTTCCGATTTTTTTTCATTTTTTTATTGGGCAAAAAATTGTCTGCCTTTGGATTGCTGGAAAAAAGAGGAGCGGAGAGCCCAGAAGCTTCCACGTGGCAGAGAGCCGTTGGGGGTGGCAGTTTCGATTTTTTTATTCGCGAAAAAATGGCTGCCGTTGGATATCTAGAAAAAGCGGATCGGATAGCCCAGAAGAAGATACGTGGAAGATAGCCATTGGGCGGGCACTGTAGCGGGCAAGTCAAATTTTTTTTTAACGTGGGCGCGTGCAACGCACGTGCCCACGTTAAAAAAATTTAACTGAAATGCAAACATCGCCGTGATGTCAGCTCAGCCCACAGGCACGCACTCAGGCCGAACCCCACCTCGGGCCAACCCAGGCTGCTAACCCCCACCTCTTGCCCGAGCTCCATTTTGTTGCTGGAAACGCCTACAACACCCAAACCCCCTCCTCCCCCCCCCAGCCCGAGCCCAGCCTGCATTGCTGGAAATGCTCTTACAAGACAAACAAAGTACTCCAAGATGGAATATGGAAAGCTTGAAATTCGTCCATGAACAAATCCCAATAATTATATGTAATCATCCAATGGAATGATAGTTAACTTTGCCGCACTACTCCACGAACCAAGGTGTAACTTTACACCATGAGCAACTCATTCGACTTGTTACACACCATAGTGTGGTAACCAAATTAAATCAAAACCCTACGTAAAATAGTTCATTCCATTTGGGGATTATTTGACCTAATTGGGAATTAATTAACCTGGTTGGGAGTTACTCAATTTAATTGGGGATTACCTAATTAAATTGAACGTTACTTAATTGGGTTGAGAATTGATTTGATTAATTACCACGATTCCCAATTAAATGAGGAGTTACCTAATTGAATTAGGATCTGATTTGATACCTACCACAATTAGGGATTTGATTTACCCTAACAAATCAAATCCCTAATTAATCAAATCAATTCCAAAAAGGGGAGGAATAATTCCCTTCCATCTACGGAATTATTCCTCTGAAACCCTAGCCTCCAAGACAACTATAAAAAGATAGCCACACACAAGGGTTGAGGTACGTCTGAAATCCCTACTGAAACTCTGCAGCAAATTCCTCTCAAACCCTAGCCACCTCCTTTCTCTCTCTCTTTTACATAAGGCTCCGACCGCCTGGTTTACACCATAAACACATCTCTGTACCCTATTAGCTATTGTTTTCTATACGATTCAATTAAACTAATTTAGGCATCGGAGGGCCTTTGGCCAACACCCCCCCGGGTGTGGTCCTCTTATTGGTTCTATTTTGCAGGGAGAAGGAGGCGGCGAAGAAGAAAGGGGAATCTTTCCAATCGAATATTCTCGTGGGGAAATTTGCTCACACACATAGTTCACTACTTTGATCTTATTGTCGTCCTGCGAAACCTTGAGTCCTAACCTGTTTGTTTCTCTAATTGACGTGAAGTTGTGGCTAGCACCCATATCAATTATCACATGAGATGTCTTGCCACACACCATCGCATCAATATACATTAATCTGTTAAACGAAACCCTTCCTTCTAACGAGTTGAGAAGGTGGAGAGCTTCCATATGGCTCACCTCAAGTTCTTCTTCCTAATCCTTCTCCTTAGAGTCTAGTCGAGCCACCGTCACAATGAATGCTTTCTTGTTCAGACAATCACAAATAAAATGTACTCTGTCACATAGGCTGCACTTTCACTTCCATTACTTGTTCTTTTCCTTGCCTTATTGTCTCTCCTCCAAGGTTTATAATTGGATTTGTCCAAGGGCTTCTCATCCTTGGACTTATCTCTCTACTTGTTGTCTCCTCACCATGGCCACCTTAGAGCATCCACAGTGGACGGGTGTATTTTTGGGGGTGTAAAGCCACTTTTACATCCCCTGTACACCTCCAGGGGGTGTAAATACGATTTTTGCTCCAATGAGAAACGATGTAAATCCAAAGATGCATATTTGATTTGTTTGTGATAATTATTTTTTGTGTGTTTTAACTTTTAAAATTAATTTTGTGCGTGTTAGATTTATTTTATTTTTCCAAATAAATGGACCTAAAAAAATTTAAATTTGGAGAACATATGATTTTACCTACAAACTAACATAAAAATATCTATGTAGAAATCTGGGCCATTGGAAGTGCAATGCAAATTGCATGAAATCTAGGCCTTCCATTTTGAATTCCAATCCTTCTTTTTCCCTTCTTCTCGTGTGGGTCCCGCTTGCAAAGGATGTAAAAAAAGATGTAAATGTGCATCTAATTTTACATCTCCATGGTGGGAGTGTATTTTTACAACCATTTACATCTTCCCATTGGAGATGATTCCGGCTACAAAGGGTGTATATTTAACATACACCCCCTTATACTCTCCTATTATTGATGCTCTTATGCTAGTTGGATTTGGACTCGCCTTTCTTGATTGCAAAATGGACTCCACATCGACAATGACTATTGATAAAGCTTGGACACGTCTGCATTGCAATTCCACCTTAGCTGAATGTTGGACTCCATCCATGAAGTAGATAAGCTTGTCTTCATGTCAATTTATCAACTTCAAACGTCACATCAGTACCAATCACATGATTTCTCAATCGCCTGCTCCCTTCATGTCCTTCAACCACATTTTTATCTATTATTTCGAACTAAGGCATAACGAGAATTATGCTCAACTTCGCTCATACAAAGAAAAGCTGTTCAATAGCCTTAGTGTTGGTGACCATGCTTGGAGTATGGATGTGCTAGAGATTAGTGGAAGATGGGAAGGTGATGTGAATGATGGCCCTTTGTTGACCTTTATTTTACTTGCATGCATTTTTTTTTTTTTTTTTTTTTTTTTTTTTTTTTTTTTTTTGTGGGTTGACTGACTTACTGTCTTCAGTCTTCTACTTACAGTTGATGAGATCACAAAAAGGTTTGATCTTCAGTTAGACATGGCTAAAGTTAGCCAAGCCATGAACATCCCTTAGAAGTTTCGTGAATGGTGATGGCTATTTAGTGAATATCAAGAGAAGGAAGGTGGCATGCCTTTAGCTACAGATGTTGAATGGTGGACACAGTATAGTCATGACTCAAAAAGGGATGAGTCCTCAACTAGCGTTTCTAGAAAAATGAAGCATGTTACCAAGGAATCCAAGTATGAAGCTATGACTTCCAGTGCCAGAAATGCGTCTCCCTTAAAGAAAAACCGAAGACTCCCTTCTGTCGTGGTTAATCCTTCTCCAAGTGAGACCTCGTCTGCTGAGAGAAATGTTGGTGAGAAGACCAAGCCAAAAGGAGTTGCTCTTTCTTCATCTACAAGGGTCGAGCATTTTCTTGATGTGGTGATAGGCAACAAGAACGTACACGGTATGAGAGACATCTAGATATCCTGCTCAAGTCTTTTGCTGAAAAGCTTAACACTCACAATCTTCCATGCAAGTATGCCTATGCCAAGCCTAGTTTGTCTCCCTAGAAGTGAAGAGCCACCGACTCTCCTCGTTCATCTGCCCACATGTTTGATATGCTCAAGATGAGCTTTTCGATCTCATCTGCCTACATGTCTAATCTACTAAAGACCAGCTTTCTGTCAAGCTTATCAAGCAGAAAGATGAAGCCATTGGATTGCTTCAAAAAGGTGTGATTTTTGCTACGAAGGGTATTTGGTGTTCATCTATTATTGCACCCTCTTCGTCTTAGCTTGAAAATTTGGAGAAGAAGAATGATGTCTTTACTGATCTACTTTTAATGGAGCAAAAGCATATAGAAGCATGTCACAAGAGTGTTCAGAATGAGAAAAATCAAAGACTGCCGGTTTGGAGAGGATAATATCCTTGCTTAAGAGTTCCCTTGCCTTGAAGGATGATGAAAGTAATGCCTCCTCCATTGCCTTGAGCTAACGGAAGGAAGCCTGTTTCCTGCTGAAACGTGAGTTCGTTGAACTGTCTTAAGGTTATGATAATATATATGAAAAGTTCGATGCCTTCTAGAAGAGCACCTAAGAAGTTCACAGCAGTTGTTGATGCTTACAAGCTAGGCTACTTGGATTGCAAGAAAGGGGATGCTACCTACTACCCCCTCAGTGATGAAGAGGTTGAACTGTTCTGCCCATAAAAGTTCTTTACTGAAGACGAGCAAGATAGTGTTGTAGATACAGATCCAGCTGAGGATCAAGCAACTGATAAGATTGAAGCCGAAGAGAATGCGGTAGATGAGACTGCAACTAAAGAGAATGCAACTGATGAGACTACAACTAAAGAAAATGCTGCTCATGAGATTGGAGCTAAGAAGGACCCTGACAATGGAGAGTCTCATGCTAAAGTCTCAAAGTAGATGAAGACTTTTTCTTCTTTGTAGCTTGCTAACTTTATTTTTCTTTACGTATTGGTCTAGATTAACCATCTCTATATGTTTCGTTGAAGTTGGCCTTGTTAATCGCTTTTAATTATAATTGAACTTTTGGATCTGTTGATCGTCTATTCCATGTTGAATTTTGGGTCTATTGACAGCTTAAGTGGCTTGCTGGGGCTTTGAAGGTGGGTCTGATGATTGCTTTTGTGGCCTGTTAGCGCTTTGAATGTGGGTCTGTTAACCGCTTTTGTGGCTTGTTGGTTCTTTTAATTGAGGGGAACTTTAGCCTGAACTGAAAATGTCTGCTGATTTGAGAGACTAGAAGCTTGACTCAACTCCTTCATGGATTTCTATTATGCCAAGTAGGAACTTAAACATACTTAGTAGGATTAGAAATTAACCGAAGTTAAACTTTGTTATCCTTAGAAATCACATGGAAAGACGAATATTCAAAGTTAAAGAACTTCTCAAATTCATCTTTTTGTGAAATGTTAACCACGTGACTGACTTAACGGATTAAGTAGTCGCCAGTTAGTTACCATGTGCTAAGCTTGTAGATGCATCTCCCTGAGGATGCTAAATTATTTACCCACCTTTACGGAAAAGGTGCCACCCTCTACTAAGGAAGACAAATGTTCAAAGTTGAAGAACTTCTCGAATTCGTCTTTTTGTGATCTGTTGACCACGTGATCAACTTGACGAATCAAGTAGCCGTTGATTTAAATTCCCTTGGGTAGGGTGCTGTCCTTTGCTCATGAATGAATATTTCTTGAAAACTTCTTCAAATGAAATAATTGGATGAACAACATGAAATCAACAATAATCTTTATTCAGCTGAAGTGAGATGGACCTAGTCATCTGCTGGGAACTAAGCTACTGAGTAGTAACTAAAAACATAGTGCTTTTGGAGGTGATAAGAATTTCACTAGCTTGGAATTTCTTTTCCCTCCAAAGTGTCTAATGTGTAGTTTCCTTTGCCCCTAAGTTTGCTAACCATATAGGGGCCTTTCCAATTAGGCTTCATCTTTTTGTATCCTTCTCTACATGCTGTAATGAAGGCCGCAGTATGCTTTCAAGTCTTGAAAGGTTGCATCGCACTCTTCATCCCTTTGTCTCTTTGTCCTTTCTTCAAGGCTTTGAAGAATGGTCTGCACTTGTCAATAAATCTTGAAAAAAATTGGTTGAGAGATGCTCTTCTGCCCGTGAGGCTTTGGATTTCTTTCATAGTAGAGGGAGACTTCATGTTGAGGAAGGCTTTGATTTAATTGAGGTGAGCCTCGATTCCCCTTTGAGTGAATAAGTGCCTCAAGAATCTGCCAGATGAAACTCCAAATGTGCACTTGCTTGGATTCAACTTCATTTGGTATTTTTGGAGCAGGTTAAAGGCTTCACCATGATTTTTGATGTGATCTACCCACTAAGGAGCTTTGACAAACATATCATCAACGTAGACTTCTATTGTCTTGCCTATATGCTCCTTGAAAATCTTGTTCACCAGCATTTGGTAGGTTGCTCCAACATTTTTTAGCCCGAAGGGCATGACCTTGTAGCAATAGGTATCGCTTTTGATTATGAAATAAGTCTTTGCTTTGTTGGATTCGTGCACCATGATTTGATTATGGTCGAAGTATGCATCCATGAATCTGAGCAGCTGATTCCCGAAGGCTGAATCCACTAGCTAATTGATTCTTGGCAAAGGAAAATTGTCTTTGGGCATGCCTTGTTGAGATCTGTGTAGTCTACACATACTCTCCATTTGCGTTGATCTTTTTCGTCACCAGCACAACGTTGGCTAGCCACTCATAGTAGAAGATCTCTTTAATGAAGCCGGCAGCTAGGAGCTTGTCGATTTTCGCTTCGATGATGGCAATTCATTCGGGATCGAAGTTGCATCTCTTTTGAGCGACTGGCTTGTTAACTCGATTGACATGAAGCATGTGGTAGATGACATGCGGGTTGATGCCAGGCATGTCGAATGGCAACCATGCGAAGACATTCTTGTTGTTTTAAAGGAAGGTGGTCAACTTCACTTTCTCTTCTACGCTAAGTCACGAGCCAATTCGCGCTTTCCTCTCTAGCTTGTCAGGACCAATAAGTATAAGTTCGACATCATTTTCGGGCTTTCATCATTCTTCAATAGAAGCCTTAAGACGGACCCCTTATTCTTGATCCTGGTTCGATAATTTCTATTTGGAAGTGATAGGCTTTTCCCTTTCTCTTTTGTTGAAGTGACGAGAATGAACTCTACTTGCTTGCTTCCTTTCAACCATTGGGCTGCATCATTTTCTGTACATTGCTTGATCGTTGTTATCCTTAGAAGAAGAGAATGCATCTATCTTGCTTAGCCATGGCCTGCCCAATATGCCATTGTGGGGGAGATTGCATGGATGATCATGAAAGCCTGCGTGTTGATCACTAGTAGAAAATAGACATCTAAGTCTATTGTGCCACGATAATCAAAGTTGATCCATTAAAGCTAGTCAATGGTCTGGCTGACTTGTTGATCAGGTTCTCCATGCCGATCTGCTAGACAACTGAAAGTTGCTGTATGTTGTCTACACTGCCTTCATCTACATGGATACGGTCAACCATTGCTTGCACAACTTGAATGCTGATGAAAAAGGCATCATTGTGTGATAGATCAAGCCCGAGCAAGTCCTTTTTTTAGAAGCTAATGACGGGATCATCTTCCTCAATTTGGCAGCTGGTTAGGACTTGGGAGACTGTTGTCGCTTGCTTGATCTTTCTTTTCTTTTCTTTGCTGGTCATCCCAAACACCTCGGAGTCAGCTAGGATGACGCTGATCTTTATGACATTCGGAGCGAGCTTCTTGGCAGCATCACAATCTTCGATCTACTAAAAAGCCTTCTTAATGGCCTTCTTTCACTAACTCCTTAAATATGCTTGTTTCATGATTTGCAGTCACCGGTATAGTGTCAATGAGTCCAATGGAATGCGTAATACTTGGAGGTGTCTCTTGTGGTGGGATCAGATTTCGTTGGTAGTGGCCTCTTCACCAATTACTTGTTTTTCACCTGGTTGAAAATTTGATTGATCAAAATAGTAAATTCTGCGTAAGTCTTACCAGCTAAAGAGCCATCTTCGGTAAGTCACGACTTGCACTTTCCTCCATTATTTCTGTTGTAGGATTCGTCATTCTTCTCACTTACCCCATTTTACGATTGGTCGACTTGTTTGCCAAATTTCTTCATGGCGATCCGGTCATCATCCAAGAATGCATAGCACTTTGCCATTGCGAAGACATCACTTGAAGCAATGGTCAACTCATGCTCAGTAAGTAGGCTCTTCTTAAAAGTAAAGGATAATATTTTATCATCACATCCCAATATGTTGGATTTATGCCCTTGAATCCTTTGATATAGGCTTGGGGAGACTCATCATGCTTCTTCTAACAGACTGCTTCTTGATCACCTGGTATGAAATGTATTTCATTGTGAAAACGAGAGCTAACTCCTTAAAGCTGTCGATAGACTTTGGTACCATAGTATGGAACCAATCTTGAGTTGCTCCTTACAAGGTCATGGCAAACACCTTGCACTTCAATGCATCACCACTCTTGTAAAGTATCATGGTACTCCTGAGGTGCTTCATATGGAATTCGGGATCGGAATCCCCTTTGAGTGGTGTAAAGGAATATGTTGTTAACCGCCTTGGTGGAGCTGCTTGCTCAATCTTGTCGATGAATTGAGAGGGGTTCACTTAGTCTTCTTCTTGACGCATAGTGTCTTCTAAGTATCCTCCAACCCTTAGGTTTCAGAGTCATTCATTCACTAGCTTCTCGACGTCCTCCTCTCGTAAGGAATGCAGTATGCGTTGAGAATGTCCCTGGCGTTGACATCGTTGAGTAACCTTTTCATTCGTTGAAGGGGTTGGTCTCTTTAGCTGTCTTGTCGGTGTGACGTGTTGTTGAATTGATCTTGTGAAAGGATTTGCTTGGAATCTGTTCTTTCATGTTCTCCATGACTTACGTGGCGGGTCTCCTTGTGGGCTTAACCTTGAGTGAATGCTTCCTTATGGGCCTAAGTGAGTGTCAACATTGGACTGCGCTCCCAACCTTGAGTGTGAACATTGGTCTACAGGCCTAATCTCGAATGGACACTTGCCTTGCTCTGGTCACGGATTAGCACGTTCCTGTCCTTCACCTCGGTGCTCTCGTCCATTCTTCTTTCCTCACCAATAGGACCAAATTTGAAGTTGCGAATCAAGTCAATCTGCCAGAGTAGCCAATCGGCCAAGTTGTTTGGGTCCTCGAACCTCTTAGTCAGCTCATCGACATTGCGATTAAGATCTGTGTGACTGTTTGGATCGGTGGGAGTGAATTGTGTGGATCCGAGTTCCACACGACCTAGGGTTTCGATAGAGGTGTAACTGAGTGCCATGACCATCGTTTGTGGCAACATAGGAGGGTACAAATTCACTTGTTGAGGAAGGCAGAAGTGTCGAAGGTGTTAGAGAACCTCAAACTTAGTCGTGGGGTTGAAAGGGTGATTCCTAGTCTCTGTCGTGGGGCCACTTGGATGGCCAAAAATTTCAACTATGGCACCACGAGGTAGATTGGCGGCCTTGGCGATGGGACCCTGAGGATGGTGGCTAGGTGCTGCACTGTGGTGCTAGCTCGGCGTCTCACCACGAAGATAGCTCGGAGCCGTGAGGGAGTTGGTAGTTGCGGCGGCCTTGGATGAAATTAATTAACGGAAAGGAAACATATTTCCCTTGGATTACCAATTTCGTGATGCAATTTTCTCCTCGAGTATATTAAAAAATTATCCTCGCACCTCTTAAATGAATTCTTCTAAGAACCCTGCAAAATAAATGAGTCAATCAGAGAACATCGATGTGGTGTTGGCCAAGGGCCCTCCAAAGCCTAATTCAAAATATGGTTTAGGGAGATGCATAAATGTTTGAAAGGAAATGAGTGTTTTTTTCTAAGGGAGATAGGGGTGGAGAGAGAGAGAGAGAGAGAGAGAGAGAGAGAGAGAGAGAGAGAGAGAGAGAGAGAGAGAGAGAGAGAGAGAGAGAGAGAGAGAGGCGTGAGCCTTGTGTTGTGCTAGGGTTTGGAAGTTACCCTAGAGCATGTTTATGTATAAGTAATGGGTGTGGGAGGAAAGGGAATGACTTCCATTCTTGACTTCCCCTACATTTACTTGTAATCAAGAATTAGAAAAATAAGTGGGCCTCATGTCAAAATCCATAATCACATCCCCTCAAAACCAGGAATCATATTAACAAGGGGTAGTTGATTTGATTCCCATTCATTTTTCCCCTAATTCCTTCTAAAAATACCCTTACCACATATAATTCCAAAACACCCCAAACCTTAGAAAAATAAAAACTCACGCCAAGAAGTTTTAAGATGCTCCAAATTTTTTTTTCACATTAGCATTGTAGACGTCATTTCCTCTTCAACAAGCCTCCCAGAAGTAGCAACAAAGCCTTGTGCTATGTAATTCATTCTATCTATCTATCTATCTATCTTCTTCTTCTTATTCTTCTTATTCTGTCTTCACTATTATAGGACTGGAAAAAAAAAAAGATCATGATCATATCAAGCAAAGTAAAGATACGTTATTATATAGAGAGGTTATCTTGTTTTGACTTGCAGTTTATATATATTTTGGCTGGATGGGAGGGTTCTGCCTATGATAGTTGAGTCCTTAAATATGCTCTGACTAGGGGAAATGGACTAAAAGTCCCTAATGGTAATATTCAAAAACTAATATTTTAATTTAGTGCATTGCCATTATACATATAATATCACTTTAGGAATATGTCTCTTACTATTTTATTGTTACATTAGGTTATTATTATTTAGTGAATGCTGGTTACACCAATGGCACAGGCTTCCTTGCACCTTTTAGAGAATAGCGTTATCATCTTAATGATTGGAGGGATGGCCACTGACCTGAGGCACCAAAGGAGTTTTTCAATATGAAATATTTGAGTGCTAGAAATGTTATTGAGAGGTGTTTTGGTTTACTAAACATGCGTTGTGCAATTTTTAGGAGTCCATCCTTTAATGATATTATAACACAATGTCGTATAATTTATGTGTGTTGTATGCTCCATAACTTTATAAGAAGATAGATGGCTTGAGATCCTTTTGAACATCAAGTGGACAATCAACTTGTAGATGGGACTTTGGAAGCAAATGATTACATTAATACAGTTTAGTCCTCAGACGAATGGAGTGTATGGAGGCAAAACTTTGCAAATGAAATATGAAATACATGGAATGGAAATAGGGAATAAAGAGGCATGATGAATACATTATTTGTTTGTTCTTGTCATGTTTATGTTATGCAGTTAAGAAATAATTTATTTATCATGTTTATTTAATGTACTTGAGTCACATTTATCATGTTTATGTAATGTATTAAAGATATTCTTTGTATGTTAAGCTTAATTACCATGTTATAAAAAAGATTTTTTTTATAAATATTATGTATATTGTTTATTATTTATTTTATGTGGTAAATCCTTTACTGTCATGAGTTCTACTGCTACTTCAAGTGGAAGTGTAAAGGCATGAAAAGGACAAAATAAGCATTATTGGACAACTAAGGAGGATAGCATATTGATGGAATGCTTGATGGAACTCCATCAAAATTCCAAATGGCGAGGTGACTTAGGCTTTAAAAATGGATACTTAAGTTGGAAAACGTGCTAGAAGCCAAACTTCCGAATTGTGGGTTAAAGGCATCACCCCATATTGAATCAAGAGTGAAGACTTTGAAGGGAAAATATACTGCTTTAGGTGAGGCATTATCTCAAAGTAGTTTTGGGTGGAATCAAGATGACATGACATTGGTATGTGAGAAAAGTGCATTTGATGGGTGGGTGAAGGTAAATCTATGCATATTGTCTTAATATTTATTTAAATTAATGCATATATATTTCGTAATTGTAGAACAAAAAGAATGCAAGTGGTTTGTAAAGAAAGTTGTTTCCACACTACTATGCACTTGGAGAGATATATAGAAAAGATCGTGATATAGGAACAAATGCTGGAAATATGGAAGATGATGAAGAAGAAGTTAGGAGAGAGGATACAACTGTTCATCATATGGGGGATCTCAGTTTGAGGATGTTAAGGATTTGGAAGATGATAAGACAACCTTTACACAACTAAATCTCCAACCATCAAGTGCCCAACAACGTGCTCAATAGAAGAGGAAAATAGAATTTCTATCTCCCTTGCAAGTATTTCTTTCAACAAATCTTGCTGATATGCAAGCTAAACTTGGTGGTGAACTGAGGAAAATAGATTTTCTATATCCTTTGCAAGTGTTTCTTGTCACCGTCATTTTAGCCATAAAGCACAATTTGCAGAGGGTCTTACCATGATTGATGAAGAAAAAAAGATTATGTATTTAATTTTTTGGAGCATGGCTTACAATGATTGTGATTGATAAGTAATGGTTGAGTTATGACTTTTGTAGAGTTTTTTTTTTTTTTTTTTTTTTTTTTTTTTTTTTATAGGTAGTATGGTATGGAGAATATTTATTTATTTACAATTGGAATCTGAGTTAAAGATCGTTAAATTTCAATTGGTATAATTGAATCTTGATTTGCTGAGTGTATGGCATTCATGTCTTTGTTGTGAGACTTTCCAGTACCACCTTTTGGTTTCTTTCCATGTCATCTGTTTTCCTACTCTTCCTTTGACTTGGCTGAAAAATATATATTCATATGTGCAGGGCATTTTAGTAATCAAGTTAGTTTGGGTTTTGATTCATGAGAATTAGTAAACAATAACAAGGGAATCAACCTCATTCCTGTTCTGATTCCATATGGTTAGTAAACAGCTAAATGGGAATGATTCTTCGCATACCGATTCACTAGTTCCCGGATTCCTACATTTCCTGATTCCTTACTTCCTCCATTCCTTGTAAGTAAACGGCCCCTCAATGTGATACAATGTTATCTTTATATAGCCCCATGATCTTGTGTCTTGTTCGGTATAATTTATGGGAGAATAATTCCTTTTTTAAGGGAATTATTATTTTTCTATAAATAAGGAGATTGTGTAAATCAATGAGATTTAATCAATTATCGGATCCTTGATTTATGGAGATATCCCCATCTTAAATCATAATAACTGGCCAGTTAAATGGGGATTTAATTGGCACAATTACTTTACCTAAGGAATATTCCAATATCCATGTGGCGTCACCTGAGTGGTTGCCAAAAATCTATGTTCCCACACTCATCATCGAATTGGTCAAACTATTTATTAAACTCTTGAATTACGGTGTCGGCCATGAATTGGAGATTCACCAAGAACTCCCCTTACAGTTCAGTTGTCATGGCTTGAAGGTCAACCTTCTTTGCAACATCTTCATCACGTCTAGCATCAAACTTTATCATAAAATTCTCCATCCTCAAAAGACAAGCCTCCACTAATTCGATTGAATCCTTTTAATCATCGCGCTTGGTCTTTCCCTCCTTGCAAGTATCATCACACCAACAATATTCAACATCGATGTTCATCTCTACTAAAAAAATCACTTGAATCCAATCGTTTGACCACTCAATTGTTATTGAAATTTTAGTACTTTCTTAAGGCACTATATTCATTGATTTTGTAGGATTGGATGTAGAAACGGTTTTCGATTCATTTAATTTTTTGCAAGGATGATTTATGAATGTAGAATTAAAAAATAAATAGTTTGGATCATTGTAAAAAAAATTTGTAGGGTACCATAAAGGGCGTCTCTCAAATAAAATTATTTGAGGGATCCCTTAATGGAAGGGAACTGTATATATACAGAGAGCTTCCATTAAGGGACACCTTTGTAGGGCCCACTCCGCATTGTATTTTACTAATCCAAATTGTGTTTTAGATAATCATTCATAGATCATCTCTACAAAAAATCACTTGAATCTAATATCATTTGACCGCTCAATTGTGTTATTGAAATTTTAGTACTTTCTTGAAGCACCGTGTTCATTGATTTTGTAGGATATAATTGCATGTCGAAACGGTTTCCGATTTGTCTAATTTTTTTTTGTGTAAGGATGATCTATGAATGTATACTTAAAAAATAGATAGTTGGAATCGTTGGAAAAAAATTCGTAGGGATTCCCTCAATGGAAGGGGATATATATATATATATATATATAGAGAGAGAGAGAGAGAGAGAATTTATGACGTCTTAAAAAACAATGAAAATAGTTAAAGTATTTGTGACTCCCTAAATTAAAGAGTAAGGTTGTGTTGAAATTTTATAAAATACTCCTAACATAGCTTTCTAATTTTTTTTAGTTAAATTTAAATTAAAAAATAGGGAGCATGATTGTGGATACCCTTAATAGAGAAATGTTATATCACCACATAGTTATGTCTTCCATTAATTTTCCATCTCATTAAATATTGGCAATAATACTTTGACCATCATTTATATCAATTAACTTTCTTTATGCTTTAAACATCCATCTAATACCATTCTTGGATTATTCATTGCCATTTCAACTACTATTATATCATCTTTATTAGACGACTTACTCATGTTGATCAAGGATGAATAGCACTCACAGTCCATAGGCAATGTATAGACATTTCAGCATCATTCTTTTAGTCACATCCCTATGAAAATTAATGTGACAACACTTCTAAGTAGTTTGCATTTCCAATGTTCGTTAGGATCAACTAGTTCATGTTCTATTATTAGAACAAACTAATACAATAGGGTTAGTGTTTTGTTTTAAATCAAACTTATTTAGAATTATGTTTCCTTATACAAATTTGCTAGTACAAGATCACATACTCTATTTCTTACAATAATTTCACATCTTTCATGTCATGCTTATCACACATATATAAGTTAATATAAACATTTCATGAAAACATAAATCACATCATGGTATCAATGTTATAACAATACGAAACACACACTTTAATATGTAACATGAAATCTATATCAAACATGTCTTGGTTCCATCAAATTTGCATAAATATATTCTCTTGATATAATTACCATTTCCTATCTATTTCTCTCTCTTATGGTGGTTAAATGGATTTCGAGCCTCTACATTTAGATTTCGTGTATTTACCCGCATTTCGCAAAATCTTGACCATCCTAATAATCTAACTGTTTAAAGACATGACACATTAACAATATAAGTGTTTAATTTTACTTTTCATTAGACAATTATTTAATTGTTTAAACAAAAAAATAAATAAAGAAAAATCCACTCCCTTTTCACAAAAGGTAAAGAGTAGGGGGCTGTTGGTTTCTTCACGAAAGGTGAGGGGGAAGGAGGAGATGCGAGGAAAATAGAAATAGAGGGAGAGAGAGAGAGAGAGATGGTGAATGGTATAGCAACTTGGCTGGTGTTGGGTTGGGTGGGGAGAAAGATGGTGGATGGTATGTCTGTAAGTAAAATTGAAGTTAAATACAATAAACACATGAATTACAACATGAATAAAGCATACTTATCGATTGAGAAGAAGACATTACAACTATGGTAATGATCTTCTTCCCTCTGCAACACCAGAATGTTCTTGCTATCAATAGGTCAAGCACGCCACAGAACTCGTGTATTGTGAGAGGAGGGACCGATTCTTTTATATTGAAGAAACCTTAACACTATCTCTCCTATTATAGATAGAGTAAGAGTTGAAACAAAACTAATATACTTAAGTGATTGAGTCCTAGTCAATATAAACATAAGTAACCAAAGTCTGTCAAAACTGAAAGTCTAACAATAACTATTAAACATAAATCCATTATCTCATTCTAATATGATAATCATAACACGTGATTAGGCTAACTCACATAAGTCATCTTACATTCATCCACACGAGTGCAGCCTAATTACGTTGTATCATATCATACCAAAACAAGGCAATAATGATCACTAGATTTATTCAAACATCAGTGTAACTTCCAAAACAACTGTTGAACAAATGTATATGTAGGACCATAGAAACTTCACACAAATTCAGCTGTGCCAGCACCCTAAAATCACACACATACACTAGAACACATTGCTGCAGACATAATGATAATAAGTGAAGAGTTAGGTACCCAAATAATTCCCACATTTCTGGTCCAAGTAATGGAGCTCGAAAGAGACTCCCAAAATTAGTTCCTTAATGGAAATCCAAGCTTAAGGAAGACAAAATTGAAAAGAAACTTAAACAAAAATAAACTGTCAACCATTCTTAAATAGAATAGAACTTATTCATAATCTAACAAAACAAAAGAGAAAAGAACAGCTCAAAAATAATCAACATAGGAAATAACCTTGCTCCCACACTTAAACCAAGTCAAAAGATTCATGCAATCCCAAATGCATCACAAAATCTTGAAAAACTCCCACAACCAAGGCTTTAGTCAAAGTTTCAGCTAACATGGAGTGAGTGTTTATGTACTTTACTTCAATAATACCTTCCTTGACTTTATCTTGAAGCGACAGATACTTCACATCCATAATTCTCGAAGCAGATGTTCGTTTGTTGTTCTTGGCAAAATATATGGCGGCTTTATTATCACAGTAGATCTTCAAAGGCTTGTCAATATTTGCCACTAGTTTCATATCTGTTACAAAATTCTTGATCCATAATCCTTGCCTGGTTGCTTCAAAACATCCAATAAATTCAGCTTCCATAGTGGATGTAAATATAGAATTTTGCTTTTTGCTAATTGCACCTTCAGCCAAAAGAACACTATATCCACTTGTAGATTTTCTATCATCCACACAACCAGCCAAATATGAATATGAATAGCATGTGAGCTCCAAACTGTTAACATGACCATACATTAACAAAAGGGATTTAGTCTTCTTTAGATATCTCAGCACCTTCTTGGCTAAAACACAATATGGTTCACCAGGATTTGCTTGAAACCTTCCTAATACACTAAGTGCAAATGACAAGTTTGGCCTAGTACAAACTTGGGCATACATCAAGCTACCCACAAGAGATGCATATGGTTTATTCTTCATGTTTGCCTGCTCTTGTTCAATCATAGGATATTGGTCCCTTGAAGGCCTATCACCTTTGCCAATAAGAAGATCTCTAGGAGAACAAGCCTCCATATTAAATCTTTTAAGTACCTTGTTGATGTAATTATGTTGAGACAACCCCGAAAGCTTTCTTCATATGTTTCTCATAATTTCAATGTCCCACACAAAACGAGCCTCACCCAAATCTTCATATCAAAACTATTAGATAACATAGTTTTTGTCTCAAGTAGTAACTGAAAATCAGAACTTGCGAGCAAAATATCATCAACATATAAAACCAGAAAAATGAACTTGGATTTGTCGACTTTGAGGTAGATGCAATCATCAAGTCTATTATCTATAAAACCAAACGATGTTACCAATTCATCAAACTTGATATACCACTACCTTGAAGCCTGTTTAAGACCATAAATGGATTTGTTCAACTTGCACACACAATGCTCTTTCCCCCTTTCAAAAAATCCTGGAGCTTGCTGCATAAAAATATCCTCCTTAAGATCCCCATTTAAAAAAGCAGTCTTGACATCCATTTGATGCAATTCAAGATCAAAATGGGCTGTCAAGGCTATAATGATACGTAGAGAATCCTTGGAGGACACTGGGGAAAAAGTGTCAATGTAATCAAAACCTTCTCTCTATGTGAATCCTTTAACAACCAGTCGTGCCTTTAGCCTTTCTACTCTTCCTTGTGAGTCCCTTTTGGTTTTAAAAACTCATTTGCATCCTATGGGTTTTCTGGAAGAAGTGGAATCTGTCAAGGTCCATACACCATTTTTTGCCATTGAATTTAGCTCTTCCAACATTGCATTATGCCATAAAGAAGCTTGAGCACTCTTCATAGCCTGATCAAAAGACTTAGGATCATCTTCATCACCAATATCAAACTCTACTTCCTGCAAATAAACCATCTAATTTGCTAGTATTGCAGATTTTGTTGCCCTTTGAGATCTTCTTACTGGAGGTTCATCATGCTGCTCAAGTTGTGCAGTAGGTTGCTCATCCTGAAAAAGATTGTCAATTTGCTGTATAATATTTTGCGGAGCAATATCTTGTGGTTGAGGAGTATCGGCAGAAACTGGTGCAATGTTTTCACCGACTTTGAAAGGGACAAAAGGAATGGGCAGCATAAGGGTGTGATCATTTGATGTAGAGGCATGTGTAGATGACTCTGTCTCTTCAAAGTTGTAGTTCTTCTAAGAATTAGTATGTCATGCAACTGAATGCTTAATGAACTTTGCATTATGACTCTCTGCAATTCTAGTATGAGAGTGCAGACAATAAAATTTATAACCCTTAGACTTTTCAGAATATCCAATGAAATAGGAGCTAGTTGTTCTTGAATCTAGTTTCTTTTCTACTAGATTGTAGATTCTAGCTTCAAATGGACAACCCCAAACATGTAATTGAGCAAGACTAGGTTTTCCTCCAGTCCACATTTCAAAAGGTCTATTAGGCACTGATATTCTAGGAACTCTATTCAAAATATAATTTGTCGTTTTTAGTGCCTCTCCCCATATAAAATTAGGTAGTTGTGAACTAGTAAGCATACTTCTTACCATGTCTTTAGGAGCCATGTTCCTCCTTTTAGCCATGCCATTTTTTTGTGGTGTTCTAGTTGTGTATTGAGCTACTATTCCATTTTCCTGCAAGTAGATAGCAAATGGTCCTTTCTGTTGTCCAGCCTTTGTGTACCTGCCAAAATACTCTCCTCCACGATCTGACCTTACAATTTTAATGTGTTTGTCCAATTGCTTTTCAACTTCAAGTTTAAAATTTTTTGAAACAGTTTAAGACTTGTGACTTTTCAGAAATTAAGTACAAATAGGTATATCGAGAGAGGTCATCTATAAATGTAACAAAGTAAGAGTTGCCACAAACGGTTCTTGTTGGAAATGGACCACACACATTTGTGTGAATGATTTCTAAAAAGTCATTGCTTCTGGTTGCACCAATTTTTCTTGTATTAGTAGTTTTACCCTTGAAACAGTTTATGCAAATTTCAAAATCCTTTAAATCCAAGTTTGGTAAAATGTTTTGTTTTATTAATCTAGTCATTCTATCCTTTGAGATGTGCCCCAATCTTCTATGCCAAAGCATAGAAGAATTTTCATTAGTGAGCATTCTCTTGGGTGCAGAATATTCAATGTTGAAACATTCTTGAACTTCAGTGCATTGAATTTGCCATAAATCACCACTCAGGAAAGCATAACCAAGCAAATCATTTAATTTATTATTTCGAAAAAGTTTTAAACTTTCAGAGTCACCAGTGAAAGCAAAACCATCTTTTACATGACTAGACGCTAACACTAGGTTCCTTCTCATCGAAGGTACATAGAGTACTTTATTCAAAAACAAAAGAAAACCAGAAGACAACTTTAACTCAATACTACCAACTGACTCAACTTCTAATCTAGATCCATTTCCAACAAAAACTCTATAATTCTCTTTACTTTGCAATATCTCCCTTCTAAATCCTTGTAAAGAATTTGTAATATGTGTTGTACAACCAATGTCAAACCACCAAGAATTTTGAGGAATAAAAACAAGATTTGACTCAACACATACATTAATAAAATCATTGTTAAAAATAGTATTCTTACCTTTCTTCACCAACCATATCATTTGGCAATCTTTTTGTTCACTTTCAAGTTTTCAAAAGTAGGAGGATTTTGATCATTTTTAGCAGGTACAACAGAGTCATTGGAAAATTTCTTACCAAAGGTTGATCCACCTTTTGATCCTCCAAATTTTTTATTTCCATACTCCTTTGGACCACCAGCTTTCTTGCTATTGAATGTATCAACCAAACTAACAACCATTGTCTTACCCTTTTTGAGCCTATCTTCTTGCTCACAGCAAATTGAGATTAGCTCATTGACTGACCATTTGTCCTTCTTAGTATGATAGGAGACTTTAATTTGTTCATACTCAGGAGTCAAGGAGTTGAGTGCCATATGAACTATAAACTCATCATTAATAGGTATCTGCAGGCTAGTTAACTTGTTGGCCACATCAACCATCTTCAAAAGGTGTTCACGAACACTTCCAGTACCACCATGCTTCATGGTGGTAAATGTTGACAAAAAATTTCCAGTTTCTACCTTTTGGGATTTCTGATACTTCTCACTTATCGCAGCCAAATATTCTTTTGCAGTGTCACACTTCTTGATTCCACCTCTTACATGTTCCTCCATGGGATTCTGAATGATCAGCAGTGACAACCTGTTGGTCTTTTCCCAATTGGCAAAATGACTTTTCTCTGCTTCAGTGCTTTCTATAGTCAGATCAGCTGGCTTCTCTTCTCTTAAAGCTACATCATATTCCAACAGTCCTAGCAAAATGTCAATCTCCTGTTTCCATTCCTTGTAGTTGCTTCCATTTAGTTTCAAAATGTTGGTGAAGTTCAGGGGATTGACACCTAGCATTGATAACTCATTAGACTTGAATATATATATATATATATATTATTACAACAAAAAACTAGAACAAAAGATTTTCTGTTATAATAAAAAAATAGAATCAGCTTCACCTTTAGGCAAGAAACTTTCTATCAAAATGTGTTTGCATAGCCAAGCATAAATCAACGAGAATAAAAAATTATAAATTCCAACACCTTAGGCAAGATGAAATACATAATGTTCAAGTTCTTCATGACTCGCCATACATTAGTTTACAGTAGAACCTAGGAGACAATTTCTTTGGAAATTAGCCTACCAGTCATAACCCATAATGTCACGCCCCGGACCTGGGGGTAGGTGGAAACCCCGCACCCGGCGTGTGAGAAAATAAAAAGTAAAATAAAATAAAAAGAAGTCGAAACATGGGTTTAAAATAAACTTCTTTTATAAAAATAGTTCCCAAAATCTTACAAGTTTACAATTAATAAATAAAGCTCTATCACTCTCATCTAATTTAGCATCAACTGGTTTATTCCTTTTCTTGCCCACTAATTCATCTGAAAAATTAAACAGGGTGAGGGGTGAGCAACCACAGCTCAGTAGGGACATGAGACCTTACCACAGTAGATTGATATAACTAAATTAAGTGACATGCAATCACACAACCAAAATATCACAATATTAATAATAATGCATGAATGAATGCTCTTTATCTATTCCCGTTAATTCATATAACTAGACAAGCAGACCTGCACGTCCCATACCATGCTTATACCACTTGGTCCTGAATGCCCATTTATATGAACTAACACCCATTTTAATTATCTCATAATTCCCCTTTTGTTAGTCATCTTCTTTAACTCCCTTTCGTCAGTCCCGAATCACCCAATAAAAATTATGTGCACTGTGGGATCCCTGAGACCTGGTACTTGCCAAGAGTTAGACTCAACTACACAAAAGACTATTTTCATTACCCTCTTTTCCATCATTATCTTCTCCACCCAACAACTCCAACCAATTTCCATGACATGATATCAACATTATTCAAATAGTTCACAATACATAAATATCCTATATCAAGAACACTACACAATATCAAGAACACCCATTATAATAGCACACATAATATAGAGCTCACAAAATTTAATTAAATCAATCTTCTATAAAGATCACCAAGAAATCCCTACCTTGTTTCCAAAACTAGCTCCAAATTAAGAAAACACAAGCTAAGTCCTATACCTCCTCCAAGAATTTCATCATTTCTCTCTTTCTTTCTTGATTCATTTGCTATGCACATAATGTCCTATATATAAGGAAATAAGTCGGCAGTAAAACACCTTCTATTGGATGGTGTAATGGCGGTTGATTTATACTTTCTAACCAAGTAATATACATATATAGCAGATAAAGGAAGAATGTCTTTGTGATTCTTCCAACTCCTCCAATCATATCCTTTTCTCTTTGGTGAGTTGGCTAACCTTGCTACTTAACATGATTTTCACTTTGACACGTACAAGGTCTATGAATTAACAAAACTAACTAACAAGGTCTATTAATACATATCCACACACACACACACACACACACATATATATATATAATAGAATAAGATATTTATGTAATACACACATATATAATAAGATATATGTATATATATATAATAGAATAATATACGTAATAAGATATAAACATATAAGTATTATATAATAATATATAATAATATAAAAAGTATAACAACAATATTTACATATACGTACCAAGATAATTACACATACTAATATATATTTAACCAAAATAATCATATATTAAAAATACAGGGTTTCACACATAAACTAGGAATATGAGTTTTCTAAATAATTATTTCATAATAACATCAAATAAGCCACTTTGGTAGATTATTCAATTGGTCCAAAAGAATTTTAAAACATATCAAGTTTGTGTATAACAGACATAATTTCCTTTAATAATTTAAAAGAACATAAAACCACTAGCTAAAACAATCGAATTCTAGTGTTTGTTAATGTATTGAAAAACACAGTAATCATCACTTAATTGAATTGAACTCAAGAAACAATTTGGTGATGATTTAGACAACAACTGTATTTTTCAATAATAAACAATATAAAAAATCTTCAAAATAGCTCTTGACCTGTTGCATTGGGTTCGCAGCATGACAATTATGCGGAACATAAGATTGGAAAACAGAATTCACGCCCTTCAATATTATTTCTCATTAAAAACAATCAGTTTCCAAGCAGCAGGTTAGACAAAATTAAGCATGTGAAATCATGGTTTTAATTGTTAGGCTCTGATACCACATGTAAGTAAAACTGAAATTAAATACAATAAACACATGAATTACAACATGAATAAAGCATACTTATCGATTGATTCATGCTCAATGAAGAAAACAAGACAGCTATGGGAATGATCTTCTTCTCTCTGCAACACCATAATGTTCTTGCTATCAATTGGTTAAGCACGCCACAAAACTCGTGTATTATGAGAGGCGGGACCGATTCTTTTATATTGAAGAAACCTTAACACTATCTCTCATATTATAGATAGAGTAAGAGTTTAATCAAAACTATTATACTTAAGTGATTGAGTCCTAATCAATATAAACATAAGTAACCAAAGTCTGTCAAAACTGAAAGTCTAACAATAACTGATAAACAAAAATCTCATTATCTCATTCTAATATGATAATCATAACACGTGATCAGGCTAACTCACATAAGTCATCTTACAATTTCTACTTGGGTGTGTTGGGGTTGGTACAGGCTGGGGAGGGGAAGCTGCATTTCAGTTTTTTATTTTATTTTAAAGATTATGTGACTTTTTAATCTTATTTTTTAGTTTTAAATTGAATTTTCCAATATTTGAAGTCATTAAATTTTTTAATTAATTTTCTCAAGGTTTGATGGTGTGTCTTGTTTTAAGCGGTTAGATTATTAGGATGGTCAAGATTTTGCGAAATATGAGTAAATGTGTAAACTCTAAATGTAGAGGCTCGAGATCCGTAGTTAAAATAGCCACTAACTAATTTAGTATACTAAATTTTTGAACCCCAATTTCTTTTTGTCCTTATTTAAAAAAAATATATATTATATTTATTCTTTTAACTAAGGCATGTACACGGTTTATGATGATGTAAACATTTTTTTTAACAATTTAATGTTAGGAATTTCAAAAAAATCAAAATATCATTTCTCTTAAACTTTTCTTGATTTACAAATGAAAACTCAAGTATGATATATCTAAAACCTAGATGATGGCTACCAAGATTAGAGAAGCAATGGAGCTAAATTATGTGGATATATACGAAGGGTTCTTATATATTTCATAAGGGATTGAGAACCACACAAAGTGTGCAAGATGAGAATGCAAAGCAAATCATCACAGTGGTCCTCTCCATGGTGGTGTGAACTGGATTATAGAGAAACATGGTACTGCTACAGCATGGCATAGCAATGAGCAGCTTGGTTTGGTCTGGTCCCCATCTTTCAATTATACACCCAGATTGGAACAAGTAACGTGGTCCAAACTACTATAAATATGAACACTGCGACTTTCTTCAATGAAAATGAGACTATACCATACTGAAGCTGTCCCCAATTTTATTTTATTTCAGTACAATCGTTTTCTCTCTATTATTTCCAATTAATAATACAAATTAAATCTTAAAATAATAATAATAATAAGACAAATTAGATTTGAGCAAGTTGTTATCGAAACCCACTATCATAGTTCACTAATTGGGCGTAAATCAAATGTCTCATATTATTGCCAACGAGGTTTAGCTTATTGAAAAATGACCTTATAATTTATAGACCAGTGATATCAAGTTCGACCCACCATGACACCTTGACAGTAACAAGCCTTGAGCCTTGAGCCTAGTTAGTTCTGATAAAGTGTAATGATGGTTTATAAAATACTAGCATTGTAAAGGCTCCTTCAAATTTGATCAACAAACAAAAAAAAAAAAAAAAAACAAAAAAAAAAAAAAAAAACATCAATTCCTTCAGTTATTAAAGGCTTGCTTAGCACATTTCTTTTCCTTCAAAATTTAAAATTGCTTGTTTTTTTTTAGAAAAATTTAAAATTGTTTTGTAATTAAAGAGAAAAGAGGTAATCTATCTATATATAAAGCAAAAGGCAGAGAATGGTGAAACATTCAAAATACTAAAACATGCCATTGGTTAATTCAAACATTAAGAATTTGAAATTATTAATTAAATGAGGATAATATAGTAAATTCACATTTTTCATATTTAAAAAAATTAAAATTAAAAACAAAATCAGATAAAAGGTCATACTTTTATGGAACATAACTACCCATGTTATTTTTTCTTAATTCTAAAAATAAAAGAAAAAAGAAAAAAGAAAACCAATTGGCACATGAGTGAGCATGTGCCAATGAGCTAGTATGAAAGAATAAGAGAGGTGATAAAACAAAAATAAAAGTGATACTTAAAAACAATATGAACCTATCAATGGTACGAGGATAATTTTATTAATTTTATCAGTAGAAAAACCTCATTCTAGCGTCCTAGTGAAAAACTCTTCGCTCCATAGAAATTTCGAGAGAACCTATTCACTTGTGAAAATAGACTTAAAGGTTCAGCCCACTGCATTTTCAAATTCTGAATCGTCTAAGTTAACGTTCCTCTTACTCACTCTTACGACATGATGGTAAAACTCATTGCAATAAGAGAACGAATAGAACGCAAACTAAACTATTTAGGGCCTGTTTAGTGGGCTGGACTGGACAAGACTTTTTCAATTAAAATGGGTTACAATCCTGTCCGTCGTTTGGTGAGCTTAAATGCACAACGGGACTGGGTAGGACTTATATTTCCTATTGGATAACAATCCAGCAAACCCAAGTATTGTAAACCTTAGGGTAACCACGGGTTTAGAACGACATCACCTACTTTCTCCTTTCTCCTTTCTCCTTCGATCGTCTACGGCCTACGCTTCCTCCCTCCGTTCTTCTACGCCCCTGCCTCCGCCTCTGCTCTTTCGATTGTCTACTCCTCCTCCTTGGCTTTTCTCCTCGGCTATCGGCTATTTCATACCCAGAAGTGTTGGATCCTGAGCAAGCAGTGGAAGAGCTATCTGGTAATCTAATGACTAATACTATTAGTTGGATATGCTGTGTATGTTTTCTCTTCAAAATTCCAGATTTAGTAGGATTGGCATACACTATCATGGCCTGATATATTTTCAGAGTGTTTTAATTACTGGCTAATAGGGTGTGGTTTGAAAATTTGACTGATGGGTAAGGGAGCTTGGACTTGGAGTTTTCTTGTTTTTGTGAAATAGGTTTTGGATGATTAGGGTTTTTAGGGGAGTGTGTGAGTTTGCTGTTTTGGTGGAAGATATATGCAGAAGAGTTTGCTGTTTTGGGGTTTTCTTGTTTTTGTTAATTCTTTTGTTTGTTGGAAGAAGAATGAGATATTGTGGATAGTTGGGGTTTTGCAGGGTGGGTTTTGAGAAATATCTGGTGTAGAATTTATGATTGTTTGTTTGTGTCCACAAATCTTCTAGGGTTCAGTGTTGGACCAACAAGTCTAAATTTTGGGTTCATACTTGCATTTTGAATGTGCCAGCAAAGATTGTATGTTAGCTATTTTTTTGGGTGATTAATTGGAGATTATGAACATCAGTTTCAAGTGCTGGTCCTTATTGCTATCAGTTTAAAATATTTTTTCAAGTCTTATGAGTGAGTTGGGTTCGAAAGCAATTTTCTAAAGTCATATTTTTTTTTTAAAATTATGAAAAGTTTTTGTGTCAGTTGCTTGATCTGCTGTTTTATGTAGTTTTTCAAAGGCATATAGTTCTTTGGCCAGTTCATAAACCCTTTCAACCAGAGAAAGCTTAGTTAAAAAAGGCATAAAGAAAGATAGAATTAGCAGGTTTTATTTGAAGTTCCTGTTAGTAAAGCTATAAAGAACAGAATGGCATTTCTTTTATTATTTGCTCTTTATTACATGCTTCAATGTAACATTCAGGTTAGGTTATTTTGTGCTTAGCCTTATGCTCAAATTGATTTGTTAGCTTGATTTATGAGACGTGTTTAGCCTTATATGTGCTAACCTACTAGCCTGTCTGTGAAGCTTAATGGAATTCTGAACTTGTCTTGTTTACCTGGATTGGAAGAATCTGAATGCAAATATTGCACCTTGGCATGAACATAGTAATTGCAGGCTTATTCTTATAGACATCTGTATTAGTTTTCTAGACAAATCTTTGACTATAACCCTTTATTGATCCTGCCTGCATGCCAAAAACTTTCACTGCTTGGAAAACTATGCTGACATTCAGTTAACTAGAGCATTGGCTTTCTAAGTTGATCTCATCTTTTGTTAATGTTGCATTACTGAAATAAGTGTATGAACACAGGCTGCTCATGTCAGGCAATGACAAATCTAGTCTTTGTTAAGACATTTGATGAGCAATAGTGCTTATTTCCAATTGTACTGTCTTTAAAAGAAAAATTGAAAATCTGTAAAAAAACAATAGTGCTTGTGGCTGGAATTCATGCATGTGCTGCAGATACAAAGTGTTTGTGTGTTTGGTTTTTGTATGATAAGGCCATGCCAAGAGAGGGCAATGCCTTGTCAATGCCGTAAACTGTAAACTAGATTTTTTTTTCTCTCTGTTCTCTCTCTCTCTCTCTCTCTCTTCTCTCTCTGTGCTGGTTTTTCTTTCTCCTACCTTACGAGTCAAACGACTGTCCCACTCATATTTCTTATGTTTTAATTTTCTCTTACTCAATCTTTCTTGTTTTAGTCACCTTCTGAATTTGATCGTTTTCTTTTTTTAAACTTGTAACTACCTTCCCTAATCTAACATGATCTAGACATCTTATCTGCTTCTAAGGTTGCTTTAGTTCAGCTGATATCTGTGTGATTAATGCAATATTTTTCTAGACAAGCATATGTCTGAGACTGTTGGTGCTGATGAACTTATTTCTATTAGGCCTGTTCCTCTTGCCTTGAACTTACATTGCCTAGTAAGAACATGCCTACCTAATCTCCCTATGTTTGAGTCTCTTAGTTTATGTTTGAGTATAAAAAAGAAAGTCACAGATTATGATTTTGTTCTTGCCAATATTGTTAATGGCAGGGTAGACATGGATCGAAAGAGAAAGAGGAAGATTGTGACAACTCTAGTTACAGTAGAGTTAGAGAAACAACGTTTGTGTGCATCCATGATGTTAGTAACTGTCATATATGCTCTGACAGCATGGTACTATGAAAAGCACTATCTTAAGAACCGAACCTTTGTTAGGCATGAGACTTGTTCGAGTGTTCTAGACAGATTTATAGGACATAGTGATATAACGTGTGTGAATGAACTTCGAATGGATAGAAAAACATTTGGTACGTGAAATAGAGCAACATAATATAAGTATTTGTTGATCATTTGAATGTACTTAAAAGAATTTTCGTGTTATTATTAATTTTGTGAATTTTTGGACTATTTTTATGGTTTCTTCATGTGATTTCTTATTTTTAATTTTGTGTGCAAGTTTTTTTTATATTAAATTTAATTATTTCTGATATTAAATAATTTTAATAAACATTAAAATAAATTTTATTCGAAGTCCAATGCTGTCCAGTCCATACTTGTACCAAACAATAGACTAGACTAGACTTTAGTCCAGTGCAGTCTAATCCAACTTAATGTGCCAAACAACTTATTAAAGTCCAACCTAATCCAAGCCAAACCAGTCCAACGCTCAAAGTCCAATCTTAATCAGTTCAGTCTAGCCCACCAAACAGGGCCTTAGGTAACTACTAACCATCGTTTATATAAGATACAAATTCAATATATCTCATCAATAATGCCAAAAAATTGGGAATTGGGCCTTCATAAATAAATAAACTAATGAAAGTTCAACCAGCCCAAAACTGAAAATCATAATAAACTATCATAATCTTTCTTCGACATTCAAAATTCCCATAAACATATTAAAATTGATATTTTGGGTTTAGGGTTTAAGATTTTGGAGACTCACAAGTTTGAGATTGCACGCCCAGTTTATTCACTTTTTTTTTAAAAATAAAATTTAGTTCTCTCACTCGCTCTAGCTCTCTCTCTCTCTCTCTCTCTCTCTCTCTCGATTATCTCATCGCCTCCTCAGTCCTCTCTCTCACTCATATCCTCCTGTCTCTCTCTCTCAGATCTCACTGCCTGGGCTTTCATCGAAGGTATGAAAATTTGACTTGGACTGTTTGGGTGTTTCTGATTTGGTGTTTTTGAACAGTTTTAATTTGTGGGTATTTGATATTTGGATTTGTTGCTGTGTTTTTGGGTTTTGGTGTTACTGTATTTTTTATGTGCTTCGTCATAACTGAAGGTATTGAATCCCCTAGTTGTAAGGGCTGAACAAATTGCATGCTAGATTGAAAAGCAAAGAAAATACTGAGAGAATGTAAAGGGTTTGCTAATTTTGTTCTTCAAATTGCACTTCGTTGTGTAAGGTGTTCAAAACTGGGGTGGGAGGTAGTTCCCTTATGTAACAAAATTCTGGTTTTCTGCTCCTATTTGTATTGGAGAAGATTTCAGCTAGTAGCCACTAGAAAACACAGAACAGTTGCAGTCTCTAGATAATTGTTATAAACATTTGAATAATGATTTATGGAAATTAGTTCTTCATCATCAGAAAAATAATTATTTACATATGTTGTAGCAGTATCTAGGCATCATTGTTTACAATTTCCTCTTCAACTTATTACTCCAGTAATGTTGGTTATATAATGATTTGGTCTTTTTAGTAGCTGCTGCTCATTTGTTTGTTGAATCTGCTGTTTGGCTTGTGGTAATATGAATGAAATTATCAGATATGAATTTGATTTGGTAGACCTTTTTAAGAATGGAACATGGACAAATTAAGTGCCACAACTAGCTATTTGATGAAATGCTCAACATAACTCGTGCATTTTCTTGGAAAAATCTCATTCTCAATGCACCTCTCTAGACATGTTTGGATATTACTTTGTTAATCCTTAAGGGTCTACGTGCAGGTTCATCAACAATAGTGAACGGTTCATAGGAGAGGCATTTCATGGCATATTCTGAAGGGCGTGATTTCATGTTCTGCGACTTGTGTGGGACTATGCGAACATTGAGTTCAACTAAGCATGCTCAATGCCCCTTGTGCAAGCGTAAGATAAGCGCGAAAGGTAGAGGAAACTTGAGCTTTCAGCCTTTCACGTTGACTTGCATGTTTAATCTATTTTCAAGTTTTAAATTTCATTTCAGATGATTGATGGATAAATAAATCCTCTCTGTATGCAGCAATGCATGTGAATGCACACATGTCAACACATGTGTATTACTATATTTTAATCATATATACTAATTTCAAATTGAATTTATTTTTTGGAATTTTTTTATATTCTAAATGTTATAGATGTTAATCATGTATTGGTATTGGGCTTTGTATTCTTCTGAGCTGTACCATTTGTGCTGCAAGTATTACTTCATAGTTTACAAACTTGTGTGGTACCACATTTACCAAATTCATGGTGTTTGGACAGTTTGTTATGTATGGCATAAATACTATTTTCGTAGGTTTATAAATGACATTAAAATATTAACCCTTAACTTAATATTTCCTCTCCTTACTTTTGTATATTCCTAAAATGATTACCATTGTCTTCAGAGATCTCTGGAAGACAAATATCTTATACAGCCACTGCTGAGGTATGCCCAAAACTAATCTTTTGATGCCCATCTTTCGTGACAAGTTCTTATGTCTTTCATAACGGTTGCATTTGGTCAATACTATTATTAATTATGTACTAATGCAAAAGCTACCCTACTACACACACACACACACACAGAAACATATATACATCTTACTGCCTAAGAAGAAAGTTCATAATCATTTTAATCTTAATCCATGTGTGCTTTTGTGTGTGTACTGGCACACTATTCCTTTTTTCTTTTTCTTTTTTCCTTTTCGGGGTGGGGAGAGATAGTGATGCTTGAATTGAGCTGTTTGTATCACCAAACCAAGGGATTACTCTATATGTGTTCTTGTTGCAGGATATTAGAAGGGAGCTAGGCATATCAATAATTCGTGAAGAAAAAGTGCAATTGCAAAAGGTAGCTATGCTTTTCAATTTACATTTAAGGTGTGGTATTTGTTTGGGAATCTGCTTTTCATTTTTCTATACTATTTTTCCTCTTAACAGACAGATGCTAAAACATGTGAAAAATGTGGCCACAATGAGCATACATATTATTCTAGACAGGTATTCTACAAACGCCCAATCATCTAATTGTCTTCTTTTTCTGCTTCTTATTTTTCCTTGTCATCTAATTGTCTTCTATGTTGCCTTCTTTTCTTTCTTTAATATCTTTTTGTATAGATGCGATCAGCAGATGAAGGAGCAACTACTTTCTACGTGTGCACCAATTGCCAGCACCAGTTTACAGAGAATTGATATGTCAGAGGTTATATAAGCGACTACGGGGATCAAAATGTATGCGTTGATGCAAGTCACTAACAGAGTGTGTTCGTAATTGAGTGTGGTGTAGACATGTAGGATATTTAAGATTTCTCTGATATCAAATTTTGAAGTTGTACCATACATAGTATTAGAGTAGAGTGAGTCGAGAATCTTTATATCCTATTTTTGCAACATTATGCACCAAATGTTAATTGCAAGTTGTTCTTGTGTGCTTTCCCTTCTGCCATGAAAGGAACGAGCTTGCCAAAGTGAAAAGAACTTGTTTGCAGCATGATATGCTAACATACTAAGCAAAGTGATGGAATGTTTGTTATCATGTTGCTGCCAACCAATTATACTGCACAGGAATGTGCTGCAAGCCTTTTTGTATTTCCTTGGGAACAATTACAACCAATTAACCCAATTACAACAACTAAAATCCATGACTTGCTACATATTTTTCATTTTATAGCAACTATCCTAAAATTCAACATGTCAACAAACTTTAAAGTTTAATTACTAATACGGTTTCAACCCAAAGATCAAAAACTTCGAAATTTCATCAAACTTCAAAATGCATCTTTATCTAGATTCGTTTTAGGCTAATTTACAAAAACTCAAAACAATAAAACCGAACCAAATCGGTCAATACAGTTTAAATCGGACCCCTACCGAACCGACGTTAGAGAAGAAATCGGGCTTCCTCATGTGGATATTTAGGGTGACTTCTTATATTTCATATGAAGGGATTGAGAACCACACGAAGTGTGCAAGATGGGAATGCAAAGAAAAGCATGACAGTGGTCCTGGCGTCAACACAATCAACAGGTGGGGTCTGGTCTGGTTTCTATCTTTTAATTATACACCTAGATAGGAACGGCAAGTAACGTGGTCCAACTTACTATAAATATAAATACTGCGATTTTCTTCAATGAAATGTAAGTATACCAATGTTGTCTCCCAATATGGCACCACAGTAGAAAAGTGGGTCAAATTCTCCCCATTCTCCCCAAGTGCACCCAAGTTCGATTTATGTAGAAGACAATCTTGAGGCGACCCAATATAATACTTCCTCATCCCCCTCTCTATAGAATGACAAAAAAAATATAGTTCCCTTCTATTGAGGGATTTCTTAAATAATTTTATTTGAGAGACACCCTTAAGGGTCTCCTACAATTTTTTTTTCAATGATCTAAACCTTAAGTCTACATTCATGGATCATCTTTACAAAAAATTAGACAAATCGAAAACCGTTTCGACATCCAATTGTCTTACAAAATCATAAACACGGTACTTCAAGAATACAAAGAGAACATTTGATGCCACACCACTTTCTTCAACGTCCTCCCTCTTTGAGGTTGGTTTTAGAAAAAGATGGATTACCTGTGGATTGATATATGGAATTACAGTTTATGAATTGTTTTTTTCTTTCTTCAAGCTGTTGTCTTTGCTGGGCTGTCCAAAATGAGTGTTTCTTCAAATGGCCTCAATATATATATATATATATATATATATATATAGAGAGGGAGAGGAGAGAGAGAGAGAGAGAGAGAGGTGTGGGAATGTGGGATTGTAGTTTGGGTATTTAGTTTTTGGTGAGATTCTTTATTTATTAGACCTTAATAAATATTTGAGATTAAAGAGGCAAGAGAGATTACGTCTTCCAACAAAAAGGTTGGAGAGAGAACATTTCTTTTATTTTTATGAGAGAATAAAATTAATGATTGTCTATTTTTAAAAAATTAAAACTATTTGTCATGTAATATTTAAACTCAACCATTGAAAGTGGAGTAATCTAATAGCTCAAAAATTGTGTCAAAACTTGTGTCAAAAACGTAGTGTCATGGATCTGCCCCCATATATATATATATATATATATATATTGTACAATCATGTTCTCTTTCTTTTCTTCTATACTTTCAAATTGTTTTTTAATTAAAGAAAAAAGAGGGAATATGAAAGAATAAGAGAGATGAAAAACAAAACCAAAAAAAAAAAAAAAAAAAAAAAAAAATTAAAATTTTTTTATTTTAGCTTTTAATTTTTTATTGTATATATTTTCTCCTCTCACCTTCACATCTATCATCTCCATTTTCTCATTCCCATTTTTTGTCATCTTTAGACAACAGAAAAGCAAACAAATTTGAGTGGTGAAAAAGGCTAGCATCAGAACATCCCATGCCACTTTATGGCACATATAGTAACAGAAATTAGACAAGATGCAGCATTCTAGTAAACAAAATCAGCTTTCGCTAAATTATAGATGAAAAAGATTACAATAAATTTCATTAGATATCAGGGCTCAGACGGTTGTCCAAACCAAACCCTATTTCATCACCAACCAATAAAAAAATACACCAGAAAAATTATAATAAAGACTGGAGAGGAAGTTCCATATCACCAAAGGGAAGAAGTACACACGACCCCAAGGTCATTGGCAGTACCGCACCCAGCAGATCATATTTACATGATGAATGAGAAAGAAGCCAAGCTCAAAAGCTAAAAATATTACTGAGCGTTGAAAAATAAATATCGCCAAAAAGCTAATTCAAAGTTACAAATTAATGAATTGCCCATCAAATGTCTAATCCCAGTAAAAAAAAAAATACACTTTCATAGAGCAGATCACTTTAGAAATCTCTCTAATCCAGGGAGTTCAATCTCTTCATCAAATGGTTATAACTCTCTATAGTATCCTAGGTCCCTCTTTTTGTCATTTGTCACTATGTTACAATCCTCTAAGCGCCTCCTCTATATAGGTCGGTACCGTCACTCTTTCTGAATTTCCCCCATTTTCATTCACGACGGAAACTCTCAATCCGAAATAAAGAATGCTGAAGACTAAAAGAATAAAACTTTGGGGTTACAGTCCTAGGACTGATGTGAAAAATTCACTCACCACGATAAAAGGGCTTCCAAAGATGCATCTCAACTCTGATGTCACACTTCTATTACTCTTCTGTAGAAAAGAACATAAGCAGCTGAAGACTTTATCTTATCCTGGCTGATAGGGTTAACATGGCTATCATCAAAGTCATACCACCGATCAGCCCCATGCTACACCAGTGAAAAAAAAAACAGTTGAACTTCAGTGTGAAGCAACATAAGTTAACCTATGCATCAAATCATACCAAATTACAAGAAAAGGGAAAATAAGCCTCCAATTTTACAGATATTAGATTAACTAGATCAAGTTCTCTTGTATGACTTGCAGTGCCTTGATGGTATGAGGACAATTTTAGTAATTTATCACTAAGTATGAGAGACATTAAATGAACCCCCACAGTGAAATTTTGCAACAAAGTGCAAAGCCTCTCAGGTTAGACGTCGAAGAGATTTAAAAACAAAAAGGAATAACTAGGTAACTATAATTAATTCAATTTCTTCAAGCATCCGGTCAAATCTTGATACTACCAGATTAAGTTGCAAAGTTATAAGAATCTATGCCTCAGCTGTAATGTCTAGTTACCAACCATATCGTGTAGAAATTAGTATTGCATGTTTTCACATGATGTATATAACATATGGAGATTCCAATGCAATACTCTTCGAGAAAGTGGAGATGATAGAGGTTACAAAGGTTTGAACCGAAATGTATTAGCTCTGAGCCTATAATGTTTGAAATGTGAACATATTATATAATTCAAAACAAGTGAACAGAAAGTTGATGAAATTCTTCATCCAGATATAGGAAAAAAGGCAAAAACTAAATGAAAGAAACATTGAGCAAGAAGCACCACTTACGTGGACAAATGCAGTATAATGACCACCCCCCATGCTTCCATAGTGATTACTAACTGCATAGAGCATGTAACGATTACATAACTGGTCGCTCCTGTAGGCAATGTATGTTGACAAATCAAGATTATCATCAGGGAAGTCAACATATGTCTCTAGCTTGTTCTTAAAACATCGGCTATATGAGAACCGCTTCAAATGAATCACCAAGATCTCTGGCAGTCTCCAAAGATCCAACTTCTTACTGGCTTGACAATGTTTTTTGCAGCCGGGGCAATACCTAAAATAGCAATAATGGTAGCAGAAATTATAAATACCTACTCACAAAGTAATAAAAGTTTGAGACCTTGTACTAAACTCTAAATACCTTGTCTTAATTTATACCACGAGAATATAACATTATCACCCTTTGTGTGTTAGTCCTAAGTATCAAACTAAGCAATAAAAACGAGTAATACTTGACAGACCACTATTTTGAGCATTACAAGATCATTTACCAATAGTGGATGGGGATGCTGTTTAGATGAGGGTGTTGTGAAAATATAGTCAGATAGTGAGAGGTAAATTGATATAAATAAATAAAAATTCATGATTTAACAGATATTACAGAAGAAATTTTTTTGATTATGTAATTTGTTCGAACAAAAGCTATCCAGCACAAGTGAGAAGTTATAAGTTTGGAGCTAATGTCAATGGCATCACAAGAAACCTGCAATTATGTATTTTGCATAAGCAATAAAATAAAGACGCAACCAGAAAGGCTTTAATATCTTAATCCAAACAGAGAAATCTATAGATGACTGGAAAAAGATTTCATTCCAAAATTGATATCAAAAGTACTGCAATGAGTAAATAAAATAACAACAATTTCACATAACCTACCCAACTGTCCTTGACTCTACGAAAAAAACCAAGTGAACAAACCATTACATTCAGTGATCAAGATATTTCAGCTCTTCCAAATCATAGGTGTATACAACACAAAATACTTCAAAGCTAAATTTAAAAGGATCAAGATGCACCCACTCACCACATGTCTTCTGGTCCAAGAGGCTCCTCCTTCAAGAACGCTTCAAGGCACTTATACAGAGAAACAGACTCCTGAGGCTTTTTCGCAAAAAGGCTAGACTTGAAAACCTCTGCCAATGAGCTAAGAAGGCGAGTATCATATTCTGCAATGTACTTTTTTGGCCAACATACAAGCACATTTAATTGCTTGGACTCCTCTTTCTCTACTATCTCATTCATTACTATCTTTTTATCCTTGGAAGTTCCCTTTTCATCTGTTATGTAAAACTGAAAACCAAAATCCACAGGTGAGTCAGCCCCATTTCCATAGCAGGAGTTCACACCCCCACCTAAAACAGGAGGTGTTGTATCCTGTGTTCCACTGACTTCTTCAAGAGTGGCGCTCTCCGAACTATCAAGACATTCTTGGGAATCATTTCTAGGTGTTTGAAATGGCTTAAGTAATTTCAAGTACAAATTGCAGATATCTGATCCACTAGCAGAATTACAAAGTCTTGATACAAGAGGAATTCCAAAGCTTGATGTCATTTTTCCATGCATGTACTGCCTGACAATATAGAACAAATAAGAGGGTTAAGAGTGGGCACGTACTGCCTGTCAGAATAAGCAAATTGTACACAGGACCCAGTATGTCAATGAAGAACTAACTTATCAGAGAGCATATTCCTTAGTCTTGAAAATTACGACTACTAGGAGATCAAAATGCTAGGTGTAAATTATGAAAAATACCCATATTGCGTTTTCTTAAAGACAAAAGTCTTTCCTTTTTTTCCGACCAAAAAAAAAGAATTCATATAATTACAATCAGCCAGTCACTATATTCTCTGCTATTCCCAGATTGGACACTCTTTTATGTACATTCAGCTTCAACATACACATGGCCACACATTTAAATGCATCTCCAAAAGTACAAGAAACTATCATTTTTAGTTAATAATGAACTTTCACTTTCAGAAGGTTATATACAATAAAACCCTTCACACGGAAAAAATAAAAAATAAAGGAAAACATTATAGCATTCAGTGACTTATTTCAACAAGAACAAAGTAAAATTAGTTTTGTTGGTGGATACTAGCAGGTAGGGCTGTTCAGCTGAGGAAACTGCAACCTTATCTGATCCAATGTTTTTCCTGGGTTTCCTTTTGATTCAATCTTGAGGAACCCGATGAGTTTGCTTCAGCCTTGGGTTTGGATTTTCATAACCACTAGAAACCAATCCAAACAACTAAACATATTTTACGTAATATTGATATACCAGGAGGCTACAGTCTTTTGGCTGTTGTTTTCAACTATCAAAAGCCTGTAACAGTTTACCAACCAAAAGGACAAAGCTAATCAAGCTCTAATCTCTCCAGCAGCCTCTTTTGAATATCCTCTCCAATTTATCTGCCACCTCAATTCTATTCCAATGCCACGTTCAAGAACCAAAGTGGCATCACCCACTCTCATGGTCAAAGACTCACAACCCCCTCTCAATTTAACCTCTATTCTCCTTCCTTTTTCATCTCCACTAAGCCTCCAACTCACAAGTACCCTTTCTGATCTGTTCTAAACTACTGCTACCATACAGATCTCAGAATGGGTGGGTTCAGTTTTCATGTGGGCATGGCATTGGGCCACAGACCTTGTAACCTAAAGAGCTCAATCCATTAGAATCTGAGCATCCAACACAAAACCAAATGGCAATGGGTGGAGAGGCCCAAGATCATTTAACCCACTGAAGCAAGGCTTCTATTTCTAATGTGGGATAATACGCTCCACACGCCACCTCACATGTCACTCTTGTAAGCGTGACAGGGGACCACATGTTAGGCCCAATGTAGATAACCTGGCTCTGATACCATATTAAAATGCATGCATCCAATCCAAAACCAATTAGCAATGGGTGGAGACTGGAGAGGCACAAGATCATTTCAACCACTAGGGCAGGGCTTCTACTTCCAATATAGGATAATACTCTCAACACAGTTTGAGTTGTACAACAAAACTAAACCAACCCATGAACAACCCTACTGGCTACATCCGAACAAAACCCAAATTCAGGTCTCCTAAGTCAACAAAAATATGAGATCACAAGAAAAGACCGAATGAGCTTCAGATTGTCATAGCACGCCATTGCATATATCAAGAAAACTCTGTTGTTTTGATAACCTTACCTGATGTTACATTTGTTTTCATATCCAAAAGAAAATCTTAAAAGTTGAATCACCTTCTGAGACCAATAATTCTAGCCTCATTGGCATAAAGTAAACCGCTACATACACATCTCAACAAAAGTCTTTCATAGAACTAAACTGTTTTCGATAACACCCTTTTCTTTCACAATAACAGTAAGGAGCACCCACTACAGTAAAAACCATTCACATCCATGCAATGAATGTAGTGTTGTTGACAAATACCTTGAAGTTGCTTTAACATAACAAATATTGTGATTCTAAAAGAAATCATGTGTGTTACGTGTGCGCGCATGAGCTTAATAGGCAACTAAGATTCACTTACTTTCTGCTCTGAACTAATTTTCACTTCATAACTATTCAGAATATAAAACATTGCTACTGAGATTTTCAATTTAAATTTATTTACGCAGGTTACACCTATTTCCATTGAGCTATAGTATTCTACATATAAAAAGGCAAAAAAGAATACAACTCCTACATAGCGTCCCTTCTTACACCCTAACTCTGTGCAACTTGCATACACAAATTACAATCAAATAAGAATGGAAATTGCCCACTATCAATAGATTGGAAAAAGAAGATAATACTTACTCCTCCATCAGCTGATGCATGAACACGACCAAAGGGAATTGCTCAACATCTTTTATAAACCGATAAGCAACTAGCTGGTCTTGATCTCTAATTAAAGATAATGAATCAGATGGTTCCTCAAGATAACGTAAAATGCAATTGTTGTATATCTGCACAGAACTATACATCTTCAGAGATCAACCAGATAGGAACACAAAGACACACATGTATATATGTGTGTGTGTGTGTGTGTGTGTAACACACATATCATCCAATAGCACTGGCATGCAAGGAACTCATATCAGATACTCTAGCACTGAAAAATACCTCAGCCACCAAAAAGGTTTCATTAACCCCCAATGAACATGCAACACTTAAACCCTGGATGAGATCTTCAAATTTTCCATGCTTGGGCACAGTAATGGTATATTGAGATGGCTGAGAATTTCCATCAGTATTGACAACTGTTAACGTCATTGTCCGCATCATTGTTGAAGGTAAAGGTAGCGAGAGGTACATAAATGGATCAAATGTAACAGACACCTTTTTGCAAACAGGACAAACTAATGTTGATTTATATTGACCCTGCAATGTATAAAAATAAAAAAGGGTGATTCATTTGGTCAATAGAGCTGATAAACTTATCTTTTAAAATAAGAAAAATTCACCTTATATTAAACTCTCAAAAAGGAAGAAAAAAAGGGAATGGGGATCCAATTCGATGAGCTATTTTCTTATCTGAGTAATATTTTGCTAATAAAACCTTAATTAAGAACTCTAGACCCTGTAGGTTCATCATCAAGTGCATCTCAAAAGTAATTAATGCACATCGCTATCCATATTTTAGTACAGCAAGTAAAGTATCGAACCAAAAGGCAAATCTAAGGAAGATGCTCACTTGACACACATCAACAATGATAGAGTCATTGCGGGCTAAATGATTTCGCCAATACTCATCAGCTACCTCTTTATCTGATCGACCATCACCATCCTTAACTTCTACATAAGGCTTGCATTTAACACGATTAAGATCTTCATGAAGTCCATCCAATAAAAAAGCCAGGAGCTCCTATGACAATAATACAGTATGATACATGAACATCCCAACCCTTATAAACCTTGAACCCGAAAGAGAGAAATTCCAAAAAGAAGTTCACTAACTTGGGAATCATGTTGATTAAAGCCATTAAACTGCGGAGCAAATCGAGAAAGTTTTGACTTAAACGTCCGTGGAGCCACTGGAGTTGCTCCAGGAGCCCATAACTTCCTTAACAGATCTCCAAATGCTAAAGCAATCTCCCCCTGACAGAGAAGGGCATAAAATTAAATAAATTAACACTGTAAACAGATGATAGACTCAGCAACATGTTCTTCATTCATACCAAGTAATGTATTAAGAAATAAGTTTATGAAGAGAGCAAAAAAGGATGACATACATCCATGCCCAACGGATTGTCCGGATTTATTTCTCTACCAAAATCTCCAAGAAAGTAGTCAACAAGCTTTGGGGTGTGGGCTAAGCACTGGATGGAACTATTCATGAAACAAGTATTTCCAAGGTTCTGTAGTCCTGTCAATCCTAAGGAACCAGCTTCGCAAGAGCTTCCCCAGAATGAACGAATGAAATTAGAATTTGTGATTCCACCAGAACCATTCATCATAACTGAAGAACCACAACAGGAATTTGCGATGGTAGAATGTTGTGCAGGCCCTCTCATCTTTTTTCCCTTCCCTGCACTTAAAGGAATCTGACAACCCATATACTTGCAACTCCAATGGGATCTGCACAAAATCATACAAAAACTTACAACTATTAGAGCTTGTGAATCAAAACGACATAAATCACAAAAATGGCAGCCAATAATTTACTTTCCATATAAGAGCAATATGAATACATCCAGCGGACAATTTAGCAACTTAAAATTGGCATTAACTCTAAACAAGATACAGTGGTGCCACTAACATACCTAAAAGAAAGAAAGCATCAATTATATACGGCCAACCTAACAAGTCAGTATATGTGTTCCATAAGACTAAATTGAAGCCCAGGAAAAATGTGCAAAGAACTTGGCAATAGCTTTAGACTTTTTCTTGCCCAAAATACCATAGCTTTTGACTCATACAATTTTGAAGAGTTACGACATTAAGGCAGTTGAAGAGAACAGTCTACAAGACCACTGGTACAAATATCAGGTCAATAAATCGACAAGATGGAAGATATATTTATATATACACACATATATATGTATACTCTTAAGAAAGAAAATTCATATGCCACCTAGTGGACAGGAACAACACTAAGACTTGCCACAGACAAGCTCCAATTAGTATCGTTTTTAAACCAATATACCCATTCAAGCTGGCATTTAAGGGCATTTATCAACGCATCCCACATAAACACCAGGGAATTAAACACATTTAGGCTGTCCCATACCAGAAATGAAGCACAATGGACATGCCTCAAACACATGAACTGTGTATGAACCCAACCATTTGTGAGAAACTCAAAACTGGACTCAACAATTTGTGCTTGACTGTAAGGATTTAGTTCAGTTACTTTTCATGCAGATAAAGGGTTTATTGATTTTGGGAAGTATTTTATGCTAAGTTTTGGACAATCCATTTTGGTGCAATTTGATTTGGTTGCCATTATTTTAGGAATTTTATAGTCAAACCTCTTTCCACTACTAGGCCCATGAATAAATTGAGAGATCACCGTGATTTGGCCTCCCTCTTGGTCTTCTTCTCGCCTCCCTTTTTTTCTCTCTATCTCTCCCTATAATTTCCCTTTGGGTCCTACATCAAAGACTCTAACAGGCTCCAATTCCATACAATAAGATGTTGAGGCATTAAAGTTCAATTAAACTTATTACCATTAAAACCATATATAAGCAAGGAAAAAAAAAACATTTCATTTGTTTAATCGAACCTAGCTGGAGCTGATCTTGAGCACATATAGATTTTTCAACCCAATCTAAAGCATGAGTTTTTAGCTCATCATACAAGAGTTTACCAAACTACCAAGCTATCAAACTAAAGTTTACCAAGCTATCAAGCCAAAGCATGAGATATGGCAGTGGGTAGATCATGAGTATAGCTTACTTAATATCAGATGGAAGATAGCAAGAATAGTAATCCAACTGAGAACACGAAACAAATTCTGGAGTATGCAGAGTAGCAGAATGGTTGATGACAATGAATTAACAAGTGTCCATATCAACCTATCACTTACCCCTTCTGACTGCCGTTGATAACTTGGAAACTTACTTTTCTCATTTGTAAAAAATAAGCTTGTCTGCCCAGAAAAGTCCCAGATGCGCAACTGGTGCAATAACAGAAGTTAAAAATCCAACCACTTTATCCTGATAAAATAAAATACTCAAGTAAAGAGCTTAATTACCATCTCAGACTCCACACTGAAGATTTTGCAGGCTCTCTTGAAGAACTCGACTGCATTATCCTAACAGAGAAATACAAAAATGAGAAAATAGAACATCATATTAATATAGGGAAGACAAAGAAATCCCGCAACAAGCAGAATCACCAGAACCAATTTTCCGTGGGTGGAGTGGCCGAGGACATTATATACTACTATGCAAGGCTTTACATTCCCAATGTGGGATTCTCTCAACACGCCCCCTCACATGTGGTGTGACTTAAGCCAAGCACATGGATAACTTCTATTGGGTGACGTGAGGAGCACATGCAGCCATTGGGCATATAGCATGCTCTGATTCCACAAAAGAAATAAAGCATCCAACTCAAAAACAAGTGGCAATGGGTGGAGAGGCTCACAACATTATACACTACTATGCACAGCTTTAAATTCCCTGTGTGGGATTCTCTCAACAATTAGGTTTTTCATCAAAAGAATAAAAAGAAAAAGTGCACTCCGACGAACATGTCAATAAAGCAAACAGTTACGGATCCATCCTTTACTTTTAGTTCCATTTTAAGACTTAAGTATATTATCAGTGAATAACTGACTGGAACACATTGTTGGACAAATGTTTAAAAACATGTCTGACCATAAATTCTGAAATAAATCACTTACTAAACGTGTGATCACGAGCTCAGTCTCATTAAGCAAGTTCCACTAGGAATCTTGCAAAATTCAAATTGTATCCTCTAAATCAGCTTTTCCCTTTCTCTTATATTATCTTACTACCTCCATGGCATATTGTTTCCACCAATGGTATGCAGAAATTAAGTTTCAAAATAAAACCCCTACCCAAGTCACTGAAAAGGAATTTAAGGGATTAAAAAAGAAAAAGGGAAAAAAGGGAAGTTCTATTACCACCCACCAATTTAATCACCATATCTACCAACTTTTCTCACCTTCATTAAAAATATGAAAAACTACTGATGCAGGATGCGTAGGACCTAAATTGATTAGTTTCCTAATTTATTTGTTAGTTTCCTATGTTCTCTAGTTTTCCAAAATCTAGTAGGATTTCTTTTCCGGATTTCTAAGATTTCTAAGTTTCCTATTTTATTTGGGTTAGGATTTCTGTTTTAACAAGGGATTTTTATCCTATTATCTCTAGGTTTTAGTTTGCTATAAATACTCCATGTAGTTGTTTAAAATTCAGATTTGAATGTTGAGTGAACCTTTTCCTAGAACTCTACTGTTTCTGCCCTTTCTTTCAACTTTTCGATCTATAACTTCTTCATCTCTTATAATCTTCTCTGTTCTATTGTTTAAGTGCTTAATCTAATACCGGCAGGCTGTACTACATTACTCAACCACCACTGCAGAATCCAGCCATCACCTTATATATAGGTAATCAAATGCCAAAGAGAATTATAAAAACCTCCGATTACTGCCTTAGAAGGGCCCTACTTATAGAAATCAAATTTCCAACCCCCAAAACCCATTTGACAGGAGGATGAGACACTACCTCCCATCTCACTAGATGATCTTTCTTCCCCTCACCATGATCACGCATGAGCTTCTTAATCCTTTTTGCGACCTTACTAAGTAAATCAAACAATTAGAAAATAGATAGTACCGAACAAAACGCACCAAGTTAAGTATCCTGCTCCTAGACAAAAGACAACTTTCCAACTTCTTTCAACGGCCTTAGCCATGGGAGACCACAGGATTGCTCTAGGTTTCCCTCCCTAGAGGAAGCCCCCACACTTCATCGACCACTACACCAAGGTCTACTTTATAGCAATCCGAGATAATCAATGCCCAAAATAATCCAATTCTACAATGGCATCCCTAAATTTGGAATATAAGTCCCTCATCATTATTCCTCCCCCGACAGCGGGCTTATCCCCCCGCGCCTCCCCGTTCCAATCTTTGCACCTGTTCGCATTCACACTTACTGTCCATCTACTATCTCTCTCTTCTCTCTCTCTTCTCCCCTCATCTCTTCTGGGTCCCCCTCCTCTTCGTGTCGTTCGTTTTTACCCGCCGCCCGCCCCTTTGTGTCCTTGTTCCGCCCGCGCCCCGTGCCCCGTCCTCGTGGTCCGGCCCCGGTTGCGCGGCTCGCTCCTGCCGTTTCTTTAACATCCTCCCTCAGAACACACATTACCCCTCTTGCATAAGTCTGAACACCTCGCCCTTTCCCCACACCTGCCCCCGCGGCGTGTCCGTGTTCCTCCTCCTCCCCCCCCCTCCTTTTCGGCCTTCCCCTGGCCCGGCCCTCCTCGGTCCTAGACCCGCACCCCCACCACCCTCTACCACAGACAGAGACCGTGACTAGAACGCCGAAAGTGCCACCCAGCGCCGCTCCCTGCCTACCACAAGATTATCAAGTCTCTCAGTACTGATTTTAGCCTGAAACACAACAACAAAAATTCCCTTCTGCATTCCTCAAAAACCGACCTCTAAAGACATGACCTGCAGGAGAGTCTTAGCCGCAGAGAATGTGAATACTTTCGGAGAGCGGACTGTGCCACCAAAATACTTCCAGCCCAGCTTCGGGGATAACCAATGGGCCGTAAAGAAATGGGCACAAAAGAACACCGAAAAAAAGAAAAAAAAACCCATAAAGAAAAACAAAACAAGGGGACAAGCAGAAAGTCTGAGTTGTAGAGGATAGACATCGGTCATGTCATCTTCCGCAGCTGAAAAACATTTACCATCCTTCACTGCAGCCTTAGAATCACTATGCCTACATGTATACAACAATCATACCATGGATGAGAAACTTGGCAAACTATAAGTAACAAGTAAATGAGTTAAAAGTATTCCATGAGTTGCAATGGGAGGAAAATGCATCATCTTCAGCAAAGTTCCTAATTGAACATATTAATTACAAGAAATACTTTTAAACTATTATGACTGCCTGCACGTCTGGAAACATTAAGGGATTTTTTTTTCCTTTGAAACATGCAAAACCCCATTATACATACCTCAGGTGGGTTCAAAAGGTTGCTCTTCTGAGTGTTAATGCTAGAACAAGCTTTAATTGTTCTCAAATTATTAACAGACGGGGCAGTATTCTCAAACTGCAGAATTTCAATGACGATATTGTTAAATGAATGAAATAACTTCAGTCTTGTCAAAGAATTATGAATCACTTTAATTTTCTTCTCTTTTAGAGGCTTAAGATCTGCAAAGGTTCTAGCATTGTTCAGGGAGTGGGACACAATCAAGCAACCCCAAGAAGGCAAATCCGAAATGGCTTAAGCACATCAAACTTTAGTGACTTCTGCAAGGTGAAAATTATACTAAATAATGTTCCTAATTTAAAGGCTTTGAGAGGAATTACTTTACCCCAATCTTAATGTGAAAAATAAATTAGTGGCTCAGGCTCAATTTGCTCACAGGCTGCAGGTTTAAAGTAGAGATGGTGGAGCTCCCCAAAATTCATTGTACCTTAGTTTTTTCGACAGGAAAAAGAAAATCAATGTGCCCTAGTGTTATATAATAAATGCTACTGTGTTAGACCAATTCAAAGCTCAACTAAAAGGAAAATGTAGGGAGCCAAAGTAATTACAAGTAATTGCTTACGCAGTCAGTCCATTTTCACAACTTAAAAGAATAAAACTATAGTTGTGCAATGCAACAAATATATATAGATATTAACTGACAGGCATCAGAGGCATACACTCTGCCCTGGAATGTATCTAACTTCCCAAAATCATGACCAAATATATCAAAGAAGTCATAGAGACCCATGCAGATCATTGAGACTTTTAGAGCACAAGTGGAATCAAACGCACAATATCTCACACCAAGGCACCAATTAATATCCAAAGAAGCACAATATCTCACATCAAGGCACCAATTAATATCCAAAGAAGCACAATATCTCACATCAAGGAACCAATTAAAATCCAAAGAAGCACAACATCTGATTCTAATCAAACAAATATTAGCAAGAATCTTAGAATCCATCAGTCATTTAATCAAATAGTGGAAATGTAACTGCCCAATCTAGAAAGCAATGAAGCAAGGGTGAATAACCAAACAGTTAGAAGCTTGCAAAACATTCCCTGCAATATTCATGGGCATAGAAACAACTCACTTCAATCCACTTCCATATAAAACAACAAAGCGTCATTTAAATGTGAGATACCATTACGGCCCTACAAAAGCATGTCAAACGTATCGTATAATGTACAACAAAGTATCAAGTTCTAAAACACCAGAAGGACCTAGAGCCAGCTATTCATATCACTAAACACCACCTAAACCGCAAGTGGCAGCATCAAGCACTGATCACTCTTGGCGCAAATTATATCAAATCCGAATTGTTTTTCAGTAGCACCTTTCTCTTTTTTCATTGGAAACACATTCAAAAGACCCCATGTCATAAAAAATGGCCCAAATCGAATCAAAACCACTCACCATCTGAGTGCCTGAACCCACATTTCTGCGGGGACCAATGCATAGTCTCGGCCTGAGACACCCACTTCGCCATTTTCACCACTGTGCACAGTATCCTCCCGCTTGAGATTAAATACAAGATCTGAGTTGAAAATGTTGTTGATAATCTTCATAGGTCCAGCATACGAGGAAGCTTGCGAGGTCACATACAAAATCCCTCTCTTTCCATCCGAATCGCCCAAAACTGAGTCTTGTGCATCTCTCCACCAACTGAAAACGCAATTTACATATGAACATGAGATACATGAATTCAATCAAAACCCTATGATTCAGACACTCCCAAATCTAATACTTTGAAAAATAACAATACAAGAAGAGAGACTAAGAACCTTATTTCTAATTATATAGTTAAGCCCAAGTGACACTTCTCTCTAATTTCCTTTGCTCATTTCTAATTCCGGAAAATTCACAGAAACTAAAATGCATAGAAAATTTGATGAAGAAACTTCATTGTGGAATGGTGAAAGTTGTGCAGCTGTGGAAACTGGAAAAAAACGAACCAAATCGAGAAGTGAATGAGTTAGACCTGTAGGGAATGAAGTAAATTTGCTGTTTGCTGTCTGAGTCGGAACGCTGAGTGGAATCGGACAGATCTTCAGAGAGAGCAACAGCCTCCATTCTCTTCTTCGATTGTGTGTATATTACATATAAAGAATGAGAGAAAGAGCGAGTGAAGAAAGAGTGAGAAAATGGGTTCGGAAAATGCAGATCATCAGAGAGAGAGAGAGAGAGAGTGAGTGAGTGAGATGGAGATGGAGATGGCGGATTTGCAGAGAAACAAATGGAGCTTTTTCTGTGAAGAGGATTCAATAAGGAGGGAAAATATATATATTAATACGAGTTTTTAATATTTATTGGTGTTCTTACGTGGAAAATGAATATTGGGCTTTGAGCAGCTGAGAAACATCTGCGGAGAGCGAATCTCATGTAAGAATTAGAAGAAGAAGATCACAGGAGGAGTGAATCTCCAATCCGAATATCCGATTATCAAACGGGTCGAATGACACGACTCATGTAAGTCGTCTATTTATTGGAGTAGATTGAATTTTATTTTAGCTTAATTTATTTAAAAATTCTGCTCTTCATTTCATGTATCAGTCAATCAGTTTTCTTTTTGTTTTTGTTTTTTTAAACGAACGAAAATGGCACTACTATAGAGATATATAAAAACCCAAAACAAAAGCCAGAAAATAAAAAACAAGAGCTCAATCAAACAAAATAAAAGCTCAATCCAAAATACAAATAATTTAGGCACAAAACACAAAAACCTATAATTAAATCCTAGAAACAACAAGCAATCGCCGCCACCTAAGAGCATTTCCATCGACCAGCCTTGGCCCAGACAGGAGGGGGCCCAAGCCCTAGTTGGATGTTTCAGCAGCCCGAGCAGCACTTAGGTCCCAATAAATTGGGCCAACCCAAAGGCAAAACGAGCCCATGCTCTAGCTTGAGGGCTACTGACATCAGAGATGATGACTGCCTGACGTCAGCACCAGGGTTTAAAAATTTTTTACCGTTGACAAGTGCGCTGACGCCAGGCTGGCGTCATCCTTGATATCCGCCAACAACTAGAAGCCACATGGCAAGTTCTAGGTTGTCCGATCCTTTTTTGTCCTCCAATCCAATGGCTGCCCTTTTTTTGTGTGATTCGAAAAAAAAATTTATTTATTTTTTAAAAATTACCAAAATATTCTGAACTTTTTTTCCTATAAATACTTACCAATATTCTTCACTTTCAACACCAAATCTTCATACATTTTCTTCTCCTTCTAATATTATTCACTTTCTACACAAAAAAAATTTCACTTTCAAATTGTTTTTTTATTCATCATCTTATGCATCTTCTATCGAAGTCAGATGTGCGTGGACAACCATGGAAGATGTTATGTTGTGTGAGTGTTGAGTCCAAGTTGGTCATTGTCCGATCACGGGCAATGAGATAAAGTTCTCTCATATGTGGAGAAAAATTCATGCCGAATTTTATGAAAGATCGGGTTCAGCTCGTACGAAAATGGCCTTGGCTAGTAGGTGGAAAATTTTGAATAAAGAGTTGGGGAAATAGAGAGATGCGTTGGCAGAAGTGAGGGACAACCATCGAAGTGGCGAAAATCTTGGCAATGAGGTAAATTATTTGTAATTTCCATTTTATTAAATCTAATGTCCTAATTTTTTAAATGTTTCTTGCATCTCCAATATTTTTTTTTAATAGATTACGCAAGCATAAATGTGGTTCGGTGCTATTGGCTAAGGTAGAAAATCTTTCAACTATCACCAATGTTGGGAGGTAGTGAAAAATTGTTTGAGATTCAATATTATTCCCACGAGTCCGACCATTGTGTTGAACAAGATGGCGCTCCATGATTCAACGGCATCGGATTCTCCTTTGGATTCCCTGATGAGTCAAGACTCACCAATCCAAAAGGAGCCGAGGCCTATTGGGAGAAAGGCGGCGAAGGCTAAGAGAGGGAGTACTTCCACCAATGATACTACAAAATTTTTGGAGTAAATTGCTCTGAACGGCACCATGAGAATTGAAAGAGACATGAAAAAGATGCGGATGAGAAGGCAATGAATGAAGAATATGCAAGAGAAATGGAGTATATAAGCAAACAAGACACGGAGAAGAAGGATCGAGAAACCATGGCCATGGATACAAGCCATATGTCCCCTTAAACAAAGTCATTTTATAAGCTAGAATGAAGGGATGTTATGAGAAGAAGACTTTTCCGTGACGATGGACCTAGCAACACCAATTGGTTAAATGATCAAAACCATTAGATTATATTGCTTGTTTTTTATTGAATAAGTTGTATTTCTTGTCTTTTATTTACTTAGTTGTATTCTTAATTAGTTGCATTGCTTTTCTTTTAGTGAATAAAGAAATCATTCAATAAAATACATTTTTATTCAACACATTGCATACATCAAACTAAAGCAGAATTAAAAAAACACACAACCAAAGCATAATTCAAAACAAAACACAAACAAAGCATAATTCAAACAACGCATACATCAACACAAAGTATAATTAAAAACAAAGCATCTTTGCTTGACTTCATTCACTGTATTATCCTAAATTTACAATTTATATACGACGAGTCGGGCCCATTTTTGGAGGCCTACTTGCACCCAAGTTCAAATCCACCTCCCTATAAGTTAGATTAATTGAGTACACTCTCTTTTTTTTTGTAAGGAGGAGGGGGTGGGGTGGTGTGGTGTGGTGCCTAAAAGGCCAAACCAAACAAACTACAGAAGAAAAGAATGTGGCCTCACAGCACCCCTAGCATCTTCAAGGAAGTCAGGAACCTCATCATAGACATGGAGACCAGGGCCAAGATTATAACTTCTGGTAGCCAAAGCATCAACAGCTACATTTTGTTCACTGTAGATCTTAATTGCACAACACCAGGATTCATGGATCTTCATTTTACAGCAGGAAATGATGCTGTAGAGAGGGTGAGTTGGAACAGTAGGAGAAGAAGATTCGAGTTACAGCAGCACTGGAGTGGCATTCAATCTCCACATCGCTGTAGCCAGCGTCCCAGTATATATATAATTATTGATCTATCAAGTATTGGATTTCATATTGTGATGTAGAACTTACATACTTCTTGATTTTGTATGTGGTTAGTAAACACGTAAGACATTTTGCACTACTCATGCGTTAATAAACACCAGGGGAAAATTAGAAATCGAAATCATTCCAATACTCCTTCCATGTAAATTACTCATGGGTTAATAAACACCTGGGGAAAATTAGAAATCGAAATCATTCCAATTGGGGAAAATTAGAAATCGAAATCATTCCAATACCCCTTCCATGTAAGTAAATGTATCGTTATGGGAAGGGTAGGCAATTGGTTTATTTTGGAACTCTTTTCATGCACATATGAGGATGAATGCTCTACCATTAAAAGCCCCAACTAGACTAAGTGATGGTTATTTCTTTGCAAAACTTTCATGCACATAAGAGAAGAATAAGTGCTCCTCCAAAACTCCAAGGGAGCGCAATGCAGGTGCCAGGAGCATTAAAAGCACGCAAGAGATGTCCTAGAACTAGCATGTCAATGGCGACATTCATTATGCACTTCTTAAAACATGTAAGATTTTATACTAATTAACCAGAAGCAATACACCAAAGCACACTGCATAATTTATCATTAAAACACAAATGACAGTAATATGTTTACTATAATAAGGTTAGATAAACCTGGTGAAGAAAAACTAGGGCAAGGTTAACAAACAATGCTAACTTAGTAATAGCGCGAGCCGGTATCATAAACTCGGCCTCCTGGATATGGACCTCTAGGCTCAAACCCATGATCACGAGAACCTCCAAGAAATCGAGCCCGCTCTCTGTAGGACTCATATTGATCAGTATTATAGGCTCGGTGCCCTTCGCCACCAGCAGCTGAGGCTGCAACTCCACCGTACCCACGAAGTTCAGAGGGGCCCATGCTGCTGTTAGGGTAACAATCCATTACTGATTGCTGGTACTGATGCTGCCGGGCATTTGATTCCCTACGAAGCAATTCGTCTCTACGACTTGCTTGCCGCGCCCGAAGTGCTACTAGTTGTTCTTCATACTGAGCATTTATCGCACCAATTTTCTGAGAAACAGATGAATCACAAATGCGTAAGGTGGAAGACAAATGAACATCTTAAATTATTTACAAAAAAAGAAGCATGAAACAAATCCTCATCCCCACTTATAGATGGGATGTGAGAAAAAGAGAACAGAACACAAGAGAAAAAGAAAATGTGAAACAGGGAACCTTTTAGTTAATTTAAGCAAACTAAAGAAAAAGAAACCTAAATTTAGATCCCGTTTGGGAGTGATTATGGGAGGGCCAAAATCACTTCCAAAGGGATAGAATCACTCTTGTTTAAGAAATGAAGTTTTTGGCAAAAAAAAGTGCTTTAAATGCGTATACTTCAAGTGATTTAATGGAGAAGCACATGGGAGCTGCGTCCCCTTAGAAGTGATTTTTTGTTAAACACGGAAATCACTTGGGGGCTTTAATGAAACTTTTAAAATTCCCATATTATCCTTATTATTTTTACTAAATGCCCAAATAGCCTATGCTCCCAGAAACACAAACTGAGCAGCAGAGGGCTGAAATCAACAGAAGCCGTGAGCTTACAACCAGTAGTGTCACTGATGCCAAGAAACTGAACCCCATCAAGCATACAAATGGACCTTCAACTGCCAAGCCACTCAGGGCTGCCAATAGCACCATAGCGCCTGAGGCCTGTTGTCCTCTATTGTGTTTTGCAGAGTTCTCTCTTTTCTGCAATCTCTTTGGCTATGTAGTAGAGGAAGGTATTGCTATATTCTCTCTTGTTTTTTTTTTTTTTTTTTTTTTTTTTTTTTTTTTCCTTTTGTTGTTGCTGAGTTTTCTGTTTTCTAACTTTCTAATTTTACAGTCTATGCTGCTCTTGCAGCTTTATTTGGATTGGAAAAAAAATTACATTCGTACCAGAACAAACACCTCAGTCTTAGACCCCCACCTTTGCCTTATGTTTGCATATGGCTTCTGTGCAGCCAAGTCATTTTTAGATCCCCACCTCTACGTTTAAGTAGCCATACTAGTTTTGCTAGCTACCCCTGCTGTTAGTATTAGTGGTACTATTATCCCTCCTCATGCTGCCGCCCCTTATCTTTTTTGAACTGAAATAATGCCTTCATTTCCCTTTTGTTTATTTCTTTTCACACTTTCCTTGTACTAGTTTTACGTATGATTTAAGGTGTTATTCAGTTTTATTATGTTCCATGATGAAAATTGACAAAAAGAAAAAGAAAAAGTAAAAGCACTTTTTTCTTTAGGTAGCCAAACGCTATCAATAACATCAAAAGCACTTATGTACAGTATAAAAACACTTTTATGTTGGTAGCCAAACAAAAACTGTGGGCGGGGGAGATGTAAGAAAAATTACCAACTTGACCCTTAGCCCAAGTATTGTATTTGATTATTTACTAAAATCCCCCTTTGGCGGAGAGGGGTGGATCGTTAGTGTGGACGATGTTCTATGTAAAAGCACTACTAGCATAAACTGATTATGCTAAAATCACTAATGAGTAAAAAATCAGTTCTACATAAACGCTCCCAAACGAGCCTTAAATGTGTATTGCGAAAAAAGTATTTTATTGTAGATTTTGGGTTCTACTTCATTATGCATATCTGGCTGTTCACAATGAGCTTACAAGTCAAGCATAAAGGAAAGCCTATCTAAGAGAAAATGCACTTCTACTTTTCTGATAAATTAATACTATTCTTTGTTTTCAGAAAACAAAAAGAAAAAGGTGAGGCACAAGTGTAATTCATATGACCACAAAGCCCCAAAGAATCCACTTAGCCCATAAGAAAATTGGGAATCCAACAGAATAACAAGCATAAATATAAAAGAAGAAAATACATTTTCAAATATAAACTAACCTCTTTGTGTCTAGCATTTTCTGCATCCTCAGCATCATTCTGTTCCTTGGTTAGTTTCCTAATGTCGTCAAGGAATTTCTGCTCAAGTTCCTCAAAAGTCTGCGAGGAAGGCTTGTCCTCATACCCAAGGTCCATATCTTCATTATGAGATTGAGATCGGGAGTCATTATTGTTTTGTTTCTCCATAGCAAGTTTTGGATCAGGCCTTTGACCCTGGAAATAGGATCTTGATGTATCACCCCCTTGACCTGCAAAACAAGCATGCGACCCTAAGCATACACATTTCAAAATTTAAACAAGAAAAGAACTTAAGGCATGTCATAACCTAGAGGCCCTCACCTGAGCGACTAATCCAACACCGCCGTTGGATTCCAATGGCCCGCTCAGGTGAGCACTTCTATATCATAACCTTTGCTAGTGACAATAAAATCATAGGAATGTTATAACAAAAATATGACAGTGCCAAAAAAAAAAGTAACAAAAGATGGGGATCACACGGAAGGACTACAGCAAGCTAAAATGTTTTGTTAGTAGCAATAATGGTTTTGTCCGCATAAAAATTACAAAATGTCCTGGAAAGATGACAAAGGTTTCTAACTCAACTATGTCCCACTAATAAAACTCAACTTCTTTTGTTTGTTGAACATATGGAGGTACCCTAATGGGACCCTCTATAACTTTCTCCCGTGTTACCCTCATGAGTACATATAGAGGGCCTGGTATCTGTTAATATTTAGGGATTTACCTCAACTACCATTGACAATGAATAAATAATTCTTCCATAGTCATATGCCTCTCAAGCTTGTAGAATAATATAAAAATGTAAACCATAACAAGTACACCGCTAACCCGAATATAACATCAAACAATTTCACATCTACATAGTAATGTAAATAAAATGAGATCAACATATCATGCACTCTATGCTCCTATCATGACAACATTTAGCTCTTATGTATATTATTACAGATAAACTTTATTGGCAAAACGGCCAATACCAGATCATGCTTGGTTGAAGATTTGGCTAAAGAAAACACAGCAGATCTTAAAAGACAAATGATATAGCCCAGGAATTAAACAAAAAATAGCTATGTTTCAATCTTGCTGAATGCGAGGATGGGGGTGTACATGTCGGAATGTAAAATTAAGCCTGGGTAAAGCTAAAATGTGGACAATTTCTGCTGGCACGAATATTAAAAATTAGGCAAAGTAATGTGGCAATACCAGCTATTGGAGGCCAACTAGAAAAGGAGTTTATTTGGCCCCAACCAATCACCCTACCCTAGGAGCGTCACGTGAGAACAAATTGCTCTGGGCAAGATTGGAGAAGCAAAAGGAGCCCGTTGAATGGGTGGCGAGCTACAGGGAAGAGCAAAACCTAAGAAGAGAATGGAGTAACATTTGAGAGGATACAAAGGTATACTTAGCTTATCGTTGTGGCCTGACATTCGTCTCCGGCATCTCCATCTCTGTCTCCCCTTCGATTCGAGAATAACTGTCTATGCACAATGCCTAAAGGATCAACCAATCATCTCTCACTAACTACATCCAAATCCAAAAGAGTTTCAACCCCAAACTTCAAGATGTTCAATAATCAGTGGGAAAGTGGATCCTGTGGAGCATATTTATCACTTCCCAGAATAAAATGGCATTGGAAGGAGAAGAGAACACTCACCAGTGTCATGTATATCCACTCTGTCAGGACCAGCCCTCCTCAAGGTTAAGCATATGCCGCCGGACCTATCCCTAGCTTACAAAGCCGTGCGAATTGTTCATACCTTAGTACACTGGGAATTCTTGGCAACGAAGCACCGTACTTCCGTATTCACCATGAAGGTGGCAAACGGAGAGATGCTGATTAATTTCTGAACTCATCTAGATCCTTGAATGAACAGTCCTCCTCAAGAAATTAAGACTTATGCCTCGTTGTTACAAGAGTCCATGGCATAAACTGTCAGACTCTGAGTTGTTTGGCTATCGGTGCCAACTGTCAGCACACGGAAAGGAGTTGAATTAAATTTCCCCTCTCCCCCAATCAGGAGTAGAGAACAGTAGAACAAGTATAGGGGTGCAAAAGCAGGCCAGTCTAAAGTTGACGAGTGCTACTGGCACAAACACCCAAAAAGAGAAAAATTGACGTGGCAATATCAATAAGATCCTAACGGTATAGGATGCTGGGTAGGCCAACGGAGTTTGTTTAGCCCCAAGTGAACAGCCTTGAGACCCAAGACTATCCAGTAAAGGAAAGTCAATAACTATCTCTAATTAGTTCTGGAACTACGTCCAGCAAGGAAACAAGAACCAAAAATAAAAGATTCCTTTCTTTTCTTCATTACAAACTCAGGATTCATGACAATTATGGTACAACAGTATAAGTTATACTTCCACGTCCTGCTAGGAGAAGGTAAGAAATGTACAAATACAACATGATTTCTTCACAACAGGAATGACTGAATTCCTTTATTAAAACCCTACTACGACGCTTCTACTTTCCTAGATTGAGCCCCAGAGTGTCTTTTACAGGTGTACGACTCCATCAATTTTGTGAGACGAGTGAGAGGAGTAGCTAAAGTTATTAAAATTTGTGCTAGGAAATAAAATCAAATGCGTACAACCAACATCTTTTATAGAGTTCAGAAAGCCCTCAACACTCTTGATAATTACATTGGTTTAGGGACTTGAATGACCGACTAATTATTATAATAATCACTTTGCCCGAATTTTTTAGCCTTCAACAAACTAGAAATAAGAAAATATCTGATTATTTATTCAGAATTTAAGTTTTACTTGACTTATACCATAAACTAAAATTAAAAATAAAAATTAAACAAGAACTGCAGATTTAGCCATTCATATGACAACAAACCCAGACTCAGCATATACGTATATGAGCGAGAGTTGACAGCAACACTTGCCTTCATTGTACATATGAGATACCATTGGATTTGACCCTTTTGATCCATCTCTTTCCCATCTCCATTGGCCCTCTGATTTTGAAGATGCATATGGATTGTCCCTCTCTGGAGTGAAGGCTTCCAATCGTCCTTCAAAATGACTTGATTTGTGCTCCATCCTCTGGCCAGACATATGATGCATCGGAGCAGCAGCAGCATATGTGTTCACACCTGAATCACCATACTGCCCCTGCCGTCTCATCATAAACTCCACAAAAAAGTGTCACCTTCAAACTTCAAACTTCAAAGCTGGACCTAATACACAGACAACCAATTCAATCTTGTCAGTATATACTTCCTATACTGTACACACATTCGGACATTCTATCAAACACATGGCGTGCAAGCTCAACTCATACCAAACCAGTTGAATCAAAAGGCTAACAATTAAATTTGAAAAAGCATACAAAAACTTAAAATTGAAACCAAAAGAAGAGAAAGATTGAAAATTGTTAAAAGAAGAACATTCGTTGAGAGGAAAAAAACGATCTTTCTTACCAAAGTTTTGATTTTTCTTGATTTCTTTGTCGGCCTCTCCTGGTAGTTGAGGCCGAAAATCGAACCAGACTCCAGAAAACCGTTTGGGTCTTAAATGGGTTTTGTTATGGACCACAGCAACCATCCCCCCTTGGTGGGCTTTGGCTTTGTATTTCCAGTATTCTGTTTACTAGCAACAGTTGGCCCAGGTCGGTACCATCTCGGCACGTGTTTCGTGTTTGTTGTTTCTTTAAAAAACAGATAAGTAAGAAGACGTAAGTTAGGCAAGTTGGCCACGACACTGCGCCTATTCCTTCATATTCAAATTCGAATTCTCCTCTATGTAGATTAGATTTCTTTAGAATAAATTATCATTTGTATTATAATAAAAAAACATATGAATGGAAAAGGAAAAGATATTACTTTTTTTTTTTGGTACAAAAAAAAATACTTATGCTCGACTTTGATCTCATTTATTAACATTGTTTGATTACCTATGGACCTTTTAAAGCTTAGTTTTTTTTTTTAATAATTAAAAAAAAAGCAATGATAGAAGATTTTTTTAGATTCGAATGGTAGTGTTTACATAAGCTGCATGCACATTAAAGAATCATTCATGACCAACTCGATCCAAAGGATGATATTCTCCATGTCTAGAAACATAAGGGTCTGTTTAGTATTTTACTCTAAATATTAAACTCAAAAATTATAATTTATTTTAAAAATAAGAGTTTTTAAAGGGAGTTGATTTTCTCACTCTCCTTTTCTCCATTTACACTCTTTTTTTGCTTTTTAATATTTTTTTAATCAATCTTTTTCTTTTTTCTTTTTTCTCTTTCCTATTCTACTCTTGCCATACATTAATTTCTTTTTACTTTACTTTTTATATTTTTTCTTTTAAGTGTAAAAATGTTCTATGTGTTATCACGTTGGCCAATTTAGTTCATGTGTTTTCAATTTGGGCAATTTGATCTCTGTGTTTAAGATCGTTAGTCAATTTCGCCCGTTCCATTAAAATTGTTGCTAAATGAACATGATAATTTTTTTCCATTTTATTTTGAAAACCTATAAAGCCTTTTGAAGTCAATAAAAAGTTGAATTAATTTAAAAATTAATTAAACTAAAATATATCATTAGAAAAAAAAAATTGAAAAGAAAGGCGTAGTCTAGTCGAGAAGGGGAGGAGCTGCTTAATGGGTGGAGAAGTGGGAAGGACCACTATGGAGTGGTAAGGCTGCAAGGGCTTTTATTATACATATTAGAGCATCTCCACCCACAAGGGCTAAGTCTAAGGCAAGGGCAAGCAAGGGCTGCCACTATTCACGTGAATAGTGTCAGCCTTTGCATTTGTGGTTCCACCCATGATGGCAAAGTCTAGGGCAAGTCTAAGGCAATTACTATTCATTGTACTTTATTTCCTATTTGTTTATACTTTAAACTATTAATTTTGATAAGCTTTTTAGATTATATTTTTGGTTGTCATGTGTCACTATTTATTATAAAATTTTCATTTAAAATTTAAGATAACATTTTTCGAATAAAATTTTCAAATAAAATTTTTGGATAAAATTTTTCGAATAACATTTTTGGTTTTGCCTTGACTAATCTATTAAAAAAAAGAAATTGGAAATGCAAGAAATATATATATAAAAAAAGACATTAAATTGAATAAAAATTTTTTTTTTTTTTTTTTTTTTTTTTTTTTTTTTTTCCATGTTGATTTTAGATGTTGTGATTTGATGTGAAAAATAATTGGAAGGAGATGAAGTTTTTATGAAGATTTGGTGTAGAAAGTGAATAAAATGGTTAGGTATTTATAGGGAAAAAATACAGAATTTTTTGGTATTTAAAAAAAAAATTCAGAATTTTTCAGAATTTTTTCGAATTTTTTTTGAATTTTTTTAGAAAAAAAAAAAAAAAAAATAAAATAAATTTACTGTGCGCTGACGTCAGCGTGACGCCAGCGCTGACGTCAGCCAACTCGGGCTTCAGCCCGGGCAAGACTTGCCCTTGGGCTTGCTCGGGCACGTGGGACCCACCACCAAACCGGGCTACGGGCCCTGCGCTGGAGCTGTCTCGGGCTGCCTCTGGCAGCCTTTCCCCCCTAGCCTGGGCTGCGCTGGAGATGCTCTTAGACGTGGCTGGATTGGAGTTGGGGAGGTAAGTTTGCTTGGAGAGTTGGGGCCTTTGGGTGTTGGTGAGGTAAGGTTTTTAAATAAATAAATAAAAAATTATCATGCTCATTTAACAGCATAAAGAAAAAGAAATAATATAAAATTATAAAGAAAAAGAAAATGGAGCGCAAGTTGAAAAAATAAATATAAAGAAAAAGAAATAATATAAAAGTAAAGTAAAAAGAAATTAATATAGGATAATGATAGAATAGGAAAGAGAAAGTACAAAATTAATTAAAAAGCAAAAGGGAGTGTGAGTGGAGAAAATGGGAGTGGAAAAATCAACTCCCTTTTTAAATACTAAATTTAATATCTAAAAACTTGTTTGGTATTAAACTCTGAACTATTTTTAACATCTAAAAAAATTAAAATTAAAATAAAAAACCCTAAATTCCAAAATTGAAATTAACAGCAACAACAACAACAACAAAAAAGGAAAGGAGAGAGGGAGGAGAGAGAGGAGAGAGGGAGGGGAGAAAGGGAGGAGAGAGAGAGAGAGAGACAACAGAGGGTGCCAAATCATGTGACCAAAGGAAAGTCTTTGGCTGAACTAATTACCAATTGATTCATAGAAAGACAACGAGCACACAGAAATCCAGTAAGGAGAAGGGTACAATTTCCCGAATTGAAATCATTTGCTACCATATCAATCTACGAGAGAGAGAGAGAGAGGAGAGAGAGAGAGAGAGAGAGAGTGTGTGTGTGTGTGTGTGGGGAGAGGAGTGAGAGAGAAAAAAAAATTCTTCTTTTTTGGTTGGGGGGGGGTTTGTTTTGTGTTTTGAGTGAGTGAGTTTTTTTTTTTTTTTTTTTTTTTTTTTTTTTTGGTTAAATATCAAACAGAATTTTTGTGGCTTTGGATTTAAAATCTATTTTTGAGTTTATAAAATTAGATCCAAATAGGATACCAAACGGGCAATAAATTGCTAAATTGACTTGTTTGTGCCAAAAATCTGCACTTTTGGGATTGAATTTGTCAAGGGAAAAATTGTGCTTATATTGAGTTATTAAATGCAAGTGACGAGGTTTTAAATTATTTAATAAATGGGGGGCAATGATTTCATGATTTATTAAAGAATGTTGAAACATTAAAGAATATATTTCTTTTTTTAATTATTAAATAATGTTGATAAAATATAATAAAGTACATAGCATTCATAGTGCCAAATATGAGTACAACATCTCCAATGACCAAACACAAAAATAATTTGGTTTGATTTGGAGAGAATTACACTTAAACATAAAAAGGCTTAAAATTCTGATTTGGCACACAAAAACACATCTACTAAGACTTACAATACAAATCTACGGCATAACTGCAGAAACATAAAATCCATATAGAAAAGTCGAAAAGTAAAATACAAACTTCAGCAACTTCTAAAGATTTTTTGAGAATTATTAGACGAAAGAAACAAGAACACAACTCTACATCCTATTTGACAAACTGAAAAGACTTGTAGCGCTATGCCGGCTTAACTCATAGCGCCGCACTGGTTATACCCTATCCAACACTAACTGCAAACTTTCAATTTTACAGCTCCAAATTTAGAACTGGAGCAAAACCTTGTGTGCCTGGACCAAACATCAACTACATCATGGCAACTATGGTGATTTACAGTGACTTCTTCAACAACACAACAAAACAAAAGAAGCTAGGTTAGCAGCTACAACAACCCATTCATCCTAGCTATAGCAAAACCAGCAACACAATCAAGTAAAAGATCCATAAGCAATATAAAGCCAACAAGAACCTACAAAAAAAACACATAAAACGAATAAACAAATTCCAATATCCAGACAGATCTGGGCAAGTGGACCCAAGATCTAACTGCTTTGGACTCCAAAAGTCTCCCAAAAAGATGAGGGAGGGAAGGCTAGAGGAGGGTGAGGGACTTAGAGAGACGACAATGGAAAGAGAGGATAGAGGAAGAACTAGGAAAGAGAAGGGGAAGGGAGGAGGGCGAGAAAGAGGAGAGAAGAGGAGAGGGAAATGGGGTTGACATAAATCATGATGATATTGTATGAGCAAAATTCTCACACAAGAATATACTTGTGTGATTCTTCCACCGTTTGAGCTTCGTTCTTTCTTCTTCCTCAATTCCTGTAAAATAAATCTACGTCAACAGACTAGACTCGGGGGATGTTAGCCAAAGGCCCTCCAATGCCTAAGTCAGTTAAACGATCTCGAGAAAGATGCGGAGATAACAGAAAGGTTGGAGTTTTCTCTCACGGGGGAGCCGAGCAGCCTTAGCCATGTGTGGTGGCGCTTGGCCGTGTGATGAGAGAGAGAGAGAGAGAGAGAGAGAGTGAGTGAGTGATTTCTATGGGGTTTTAGAATTACCTCAAATGTGTTATGTATCCATCTATTTATAGACTCCTTGTAGGCTAGGGTTTGAAGAATAATTCTTATTTACTTAGGATTATTCACACCCAAAAAATATTATAGGAATTAATCAAAGAGATTTGGTGGAAAACAGATCCTTGATTTAGGGAGATATTCCTATCTTAAATCAAGGACAATTCCCTAATTAAATAGAATTTAATTACAATAATTAGTTAACCTAAGTAATATTCCTTTTTTCACGCGTCATCTTCTTATTGGTTGCCAAAATATATGTATCCATAAATGGCCCCTCTCTTCTGCATGGCACTATGTGGCAGGAAGGAGATGTGAAATTAGGGATGGCAATAATACTCGTTGGGTCTGGTCCCCGTCATATCCCCGACACTAACAGGGGAAGTTTTCGGTGGAAATTGGGGCCGAGTACGGGGATCCCTGAATTTGCAAAATCCTCGATTGGGGATGGGCTGGGAATGGGATTGTTATCCCCATCCTTGGACCCGGCCTGACAAGTAATATATTTATTTATAATTAATATATATTAATATAATATAATAAACAAAGTTACCCTAGAAAGTCGTTGTCTGTCTGTCGCTCCTTATTCCTTCCTCCTACACAGGCTGCTATCTTCTCAAATTCTTTGAGCAAGTGACTACAATTCAAATTTCGACTGCACATCAAGTTCGCTGTTAGCAAGGTTCTCTCTCTTTGATAATTTTATATCGTTTACTTTGTTGTCTCTAAAGCAATTAACACCACAAAGCACGGCATATGCATGTTTTGGTTTGATAAAAGCTATTCTTTGTTTGATATGCATGCTTTGTTCTGATAAAAGTTGTACCTTTTTTTATATGCATCCTTTATTCTTTTCCTTTTGAGAGAATAAAAAGCACCAACATGTTCATATATATTTTTTTTCAATATGACATAACAAAAGGAAATCTAACAATAATTAGTTCAATAAAAGCTATATCTTTTCGATCTATGGAAACCATGCAAAACCATTGTATGGAGTGCCCTTCAATACCATGCCAAGAGACAACCTTGCTGGGATTTTTTTTGTTTTTTGTTTTTTGTCATGACTAATTCTTTTCTTGTTGTTTAATATTGTACCTTCCAATTGATGTATCAGTCTTTATAATTTTTTTTTCCTAGATGGGTGACGACAATGAAGAGACTCAAGTTCTTGAAACCCGAATTGAGGAGGATAACAACCCTACACCAAATGAAAATGATAGCAGTCCTGCAATAACTGAAAATAACAACACGGAAGCCACAATTTCAACTCAAGCTGCTATGAATAAAAGGAAAGGTAGATCTCCTACTTGGGAACATTTTGAAAAGAAAGAAATTTGAGGTCAAATAAAAGCTGTGTGCATTCATTGTAAGAATATCTTAGGCGCAAGTAGCAAGAATGAGACTAGACATTTACTTGATCATGAAAAGTGTTGTCTTTATAAAAGACAAAGAACCATAGATCAATCAATGTTGAATCCTACAAAGTTGAGTGATGGGACTGTCAAACTTGGCACTTATAATTTTGACCACGACCATGCTAGGAAGGCACTTGCAAATATGATTATTCTTCATGAGTATCCATTATCCATGGTTGATCATATTGGATTCAAGATGTATTCCAATGCTTTGCAACCATTATTTAAGGTGTGTTCTCGAAACACAATCAAGAAGGACATACTTAAGGTTTTTGAAGTTGAGAGGGAGAAAACAATGAAGTTGTTGGACACCAATAGAAGTAGAATTGCCATTACAACGGATATGTGGACATCGAATAATCAAAAGAGAGGATTCATGACTATCACATCACATTTCATTGATGATGCATGGAATTTACAAAGCCAACTAATAAGGTAAATGTATTATACTTTTCTTATTTGAATTATTAATCCTATTTTTTTTTAAATAATTAGATTGCGACTTATTTGCGTTTTATTATAGGTTTATATATGTTCCATGTCCACACACGACGGAGGTACTTACTGATGCTTTATTGGAATGCATGTTCGAATGGAATCTTGATCGTAAGTTGTCTACCTTAACTGTAGATAATTGTTCTACAAATGATTCTATGATTGCGATAGTGTTAGATAAGATTTGCTCCAGTTTACTTATGTTAGATGGACGTTTATTCCACATGCGGTGTTGTACTCATATTTTGAATTTGGTAGTGAGAGATGGCTTAGAGGTGATTAAAAAGAGTATTGAGAAAATTAGGTACAGTGTTGCATTTTGGCTAGGAACCCAAAAAAGAGAGGAGAAATTTCTTGAAGCGGCCAGGCAGTTGAGAGTTCCAACCTCTAAAATGTTAGAACTTGATTGTAAGACTAGTTGGAACTCTACATATTCCATGCTTAAGACTGCAATGATATACAAAGATGTTTTTCCTCGTTTGAAGCACCATGAGCCGTTGTACAAAGAAGTGCCTAGTGAAAGTAATTGGGCAAAGACAAAGGAGCTTGTTGATAAGTTGGCCATGTTTTATGATGTGACTGTTCTTTTTTCAGGGACCAAGTATCCTACTACCAATCTTTACTTTAAGAATATTTGTGCTATTATAGATTAGTAGTTTATGATTGGCTTAGTTTTGAACATGAAGAGGTGCAAGTAATGGCATTACATATGCAAACAAAGTTTGAGAAGTATTGGGATACAATGCATGGTTTGATGAGAGTTGCAAGTATTTTGGATCCAAGGTATAACATGAAACAAATTGAATTTTTATGCCCTCCAATATATCCAAACAATGCATCTCAAGAGATTAAGAAATATAAAGATATTCTCTATGACTTGGTCAAGGAGTATCAGTCAAGATCTCAACAAAGTCAACAGGTGCAATCTGAATCTTTGATTCCTACTTCTTCATCTAGACCATCTATGCCTAAACTTGATTTGGTAAAGCAATTGGATGTGTTTGTTTCTCACTCCATTACCCATGGACATGTTAAATCTAAGTTAGATTATTATCTAGAAGAGTCTTGTTTACCTAGGAATGATGATGATGATTTTGATATATTATGTTGGTGGAAATCAAATGGGATCAAATATCCTACTTTGCATGATATTGCTAGAGATATTTTGGCCATTCCTGTATCCATAGTTGCTTCAGAGTCTTGCTTTAGTACTAGTGGAAGGATTATAAACCCTCATCTTAGCCGACTTCATTCAAAAACAGTAGAGGCATTAATGTGTGCGCGTGATTGGTTATGGAGTGAGATAAGAGGGATTGAAATATTTTTGTGGTTATATTTTTCATATTAAGTAAAACATTTTATTACTGTTTTCTAATATATATATATATATATATTTGTATACTGTTAGCTTCAAGCTCTAAAGAAGTTGATAATAATGAGGAAGAGGTAACATTCTTATATTTAGTAGCTCTCTTTAATTTTTAAATGGATTTTTCTTATATTGGCCAATTTCTCATTTTCTTTTAAATAATTGTAATGTCTTTATCTTATTATTATTATTATTATTTTTTGGTAGGAGTCTACCATTGAAACAGAGAACATCTCTTTGTTTTTTTTTATTAAAGCTATGAATGTTGAAGCATAGGAGAGTTCTTTGAAATTGTGAAGTTTTATTTGATGACAGAATATTGTTAATATTTCTTTAGGATTGGTTTTCTAATTTAAGACTAGATGGATTTATTGTGCTTACTAAAGAAGTTTCTAAAGATTTGGATTGATAAATTTTTTCGAGTTTTGTGTCCTTCTTTGACCTGTTGAGTAATTATTTTAACAAGAAATATCTTGTGGTGGCTGTTTTTAAATTTTCACAATGATGTGACGGGGACGGGGGTGGGGGGCGGGGACGGGGACGGGGGTGGGGAGCGGGGATAGGGATGTATTGCCATACCTGGCCCCTAATCGGCCCGTTGCCATCCCTATGTGAAATACTCATCGGACTTTGCAACTGCTTTTGGGCTTTCTTTGTAGGTTGAACTCCCTTTGTGAGTTGGGCTCCTAATTGGAGTAGGCTTTTGAATTCTTCTTGGGGTTGGGCTCCCAATTGGGATAGGCTTGTGATTCTTTGTTGACCTAGGATGCCCAATCGTTATAAATACAAGGATTCTCTTCACTCCTCTTCAAATGGCAAACTTTTCTTCCTCTTGAGGAGAAGAGTTCTCGTTCATACCAAGGTAGGTCACGCTTGTTTTTAAATAATTTTTTTTCCTTGATTTTTTTTTAACTTTGAGGACTGACTGGGTGGGGCCTGTTTGGCCTCGTGACCGCTTGGGTCGGCTGTGCTGCAAGGCCAGCCACGAACTTGCAGTCCAAAGGTCGTGGCTGCTGCTGTTGTTGGCAACTGCAATTAGGGCTGCTCCTTTTTTTTTCCCCTTCTTTTATGTTCTTCCCAGCGAATACTAGCTAGCTTGACTGGTTGGTTGTCACTAAGATCTCATGACAACAAGGAGCGGTTGTGGCTGTTGGCGGCAGCGACTGCGGTCGCTGTTGCTTTTTCTCGATGTGGGCCAGCTCGCTGATTTTGTCGAACAGTTGTTAGCTGGCTGGCTAGCACGCTAGGCTGACTAATGGGGCTTGTTGCACCGAGACTACAAAGAGGTTATCATCGCGGAGATTGCTGGCTATTGCAGCGACTCTCCTTTTTTTTTCTTTTTTTTTCTTTTTTTCTTTTTTTTTAATTTTATACTAGAGCTATGTCGCGACCTTCTGGGGTGTTGCAACTAAGCTCGGACCGATGGGCTCTTTCCTTTTGTTGTTTTTTTTATCTTATGCCTCAAGCTAGGGTTTTCCTACTTGCGGCATATGTCTTGACTTGCTATTTGACTTGTGATTTTGTTCATTTTTTGCAGCTGCTCAATCATCATGTCATCTGACGAGGGAAACTGGTCATCAAGTTCAAGAGTACTCATGTATATGTGGGGCGACTCCAAGGTTCATAAGAAGAGATTCGTAGCGAACTTGCATCACATTACAACCAAAGCTCAGTTTCAAAAATGGCGCACCGGCTTTACTTCTGCCATACTGAGCAATGTGCATGTCAGGTTGGTAGAGCCTTCGATCAACGATATGGCTCGCGTGGACCTGAACAATCCAAACGCGAGGATGATCACATTTAGCCCATTTTACTTTTCATTGGGCTTCACGTTCCCAATGTGGAGGTTCTCTAAGAGGGTGTTCGATACCTTGGGGTGTGCTCCTAATCAGTGTACTCCAAACGTATACCGGACAGTCATCTGCTTTGACAACCTGAATCGCTTCTTCAAGCTGGCTTGACCTTGCAGGAGTTTTTCTACTTCTTCGAGGTGAGAAGTTGTGAGAAGTATCCCTTACTTCGCACATGCAAGGATAAGCTATTGGATAGCTTCAGCTATGGTGATCATATGTGAAGCACTAATGTGCTGGAGGTCAATGAAAACTGGGAAGGTGAGGCAGACAACAGTCCACAAGTTCCCATCACCTACTATCACAGTATGTCACCATATGTTGATCTGCTTCAATTTCATTTGAATTCTTTAATGGATGGCTAACTGACTTCTGTCTTTTGCCTACAGAGGATGGCATCTGCAAAAAGCTCGATCTCAAACTGGACAAGGCAAAGCTTTGTCAACTTATGAACATCCCTGCTAGGTTTCGTGAATGATGTCGGCTGTTGAGTGGGACATCTGCTGAGCCACAAGTAGTCACGCATAAAGCTAATTCAGTGTTATTGACACCCTTGGAAGAGAGGATGGTTGTGGCTAAGAAGGCCAATGAGTCATTTGCTCAGGCGAAGGGTCCTTTAGATGCTCGAACTACTAGTCCAAAAGTTAATAAGCCTAGCTCTGTATGGGATACGTATGTGTCTGACCAGCTCATGACGAGCTTTCTATCGAGCCTGTTTATTTGCACCAAGCTGGTTGATCATATACATTAAGCTAGCGATCTTGGCGCATTCTCGAGCCTTTCTTTGGAGAAGCATAAGGAAGCAGTTGTTATTGTGCTTCAAAAAGGAGTAGTTTTTGTTGTTTAGGCCATCCAAAACTTGTTTGTTGTTGCCTCATCTTCTGTTCAGCTCAAGGAGTTGGAGAAGAAGAATGTTGATCTGATTGGTATGCTCTTGACCGAGCAGGCCCGCCATGAGACCAAGATGTCCGACTTAAAGAAAAGCATGTTTGTGCTGAAGAGTTCCCTTGCTAAAAAAATAGCAAACTTAACTCTTCTGCTACTGCCTTGCATGAGCAAAAAGAGGCTTACTTCAGTCTCGAGCATAACATGCTGACATGATCCACATTTATGACAACTTGCTAGCCAAGTTCGAAGCTTACCATGAAGCTGCTGAAAAATCCAAGTTTGAGGCCGTGGTTGATGCATACAAGCTAGGTTACTTGTGTTACTGAGTGGAGCTACTCCTTGTCATTCCATTGAAGATGAAGATGTCGAGCTATTCTGCCCTGAGATGCCCCTACTAAAGATGAGCAGATTAATGTTGTGGACATAAAGGCAGTCGAAAAGCAAGTAGCTAATGAGATTGCAATTGATGAGTTTATAGTTTAGAAGGATGATGCCAAAGAGGGTGCAGTTGATGAAGTGGCTACTGGGGCTATGGAGTAGGTAACCAAAGCTGTTGAGCAGATGGTTGCAGCTGATGAACTGACTCTGAGTCACCTGCTGGAGTCTTGCAGTAGACGAAGACTTGTTTTATTTTTTCATTCTTTGTAGTTTTGCTTTTCTTTTGCAATAATTGGCCTCGGTTTACCATCTTCTTTTTGTTAAACTCTGGCTAGTTGGTCACTTTGCTATGAAAACTTCAATTATTTCTTTAACCTCAATTTACATTGAGTTTTGTGAACTGCTTGAGTGACTTACTAGCGTCTTAACTGGGCATCTCCCTTAGAATGCTTGAATGTTTACCTGCATCTCTCTTAGAATGCTTTAGGATTTTGTTATGCTTCTCCCCTAGGACGCTTTTGGAAGTTGACATGTGTCTCCCTTATGATGCTTCTTGGACAATGGCATGCATCTTCCTTAGAACGCTTTGGCACTTGTCTTGCTTCTCCCCTAGGACGTTTCTTGGTTGATGGCATGCGTCTCCCTTAGGACTTTTTTGGCAATTGTCTTGCGTCTCCCTTAGGACACTTTTGGACAATAGGTTGCGTCTCCCTTAGGAAGCTTTTAGTAGTTGTCATGTGTCTCCCTTAGAACGCTTCTTGGACGATGGTATGTGTCTCCCTTAAGATGCTTCTTGGACGATGGCAGGCATCTCCTTTAGGACGCTTTTGGACGATGGTATGCGTCTCTCTTAGGACACTTTTGGCAGTTGTTTTACGTCTCCTTTAGAACACTTCTTGGATGATGGCTTGCGTCTCCCTTAAGACACTGTTGGCTCTTCTCTCGAACAGTTTATTGAATGAAAACCCAAACCTACTTCCTTAAGCAGTTGGTCGGCTTGTTTGACAGACTTTTTGGCAGCAATTCGATTACCATCCCAGAGCACATAGCGTTATGTGGTTGCAAAGACCTTTGCCAGAGTCTGGCTGGGAGCAATGGTCAACTCGCGGCATAGGTTGTTTTCTATTGGTAGGCTCTTTTTGAAAGAAGAGGACATAATCCGATCATTGCATCCTACAATATTTGCCTTTTCCACCTTGAACCTTTATATGTAGTCTTGGAGGGACTCGTCATGCTTCTTGCTCAAGTTGAATAGGTGATCAAGCTGCTTCTTGGCCGTCCTACTCCTTTGAGAAGAAGAAGACTAGCTCTTTGAAACTGCCAATCAACTTAGACAATAAGGTATGAAACCAGTCTTGAGTTGTTCCTTGCAAGGTCATTGCAAATACCTTGCACATCAGTACATCATCGCACTTGTAAAGAGTCATGACACTTTTGAAATGCTTCATATGGCTATCGAGATCGAAATCCCCTTTGAATGGCGTGAAAGACGGTGTCGTGAATTGCCTTGGCGAGGCTGTCTGCTCGATCTCATTGGTGAAAGGAGAGGAGTTTACGTGCTCTACCTCCTTGCGCAGGGCATCCTCCAAGTCTCTTCCAAACTTCAAGCCTCAAAGTTGATTATTCACAAGTCTCTTGATGTCTTCTACTCACAAGGCTTGCAGCTCATGTCGGTGTCTCCCATGATGTGGGCGTCGTTGATCGACCTCCTCATTGACTTTGGGGGGTTGATCTCCTCAGTTTTCTTACCTACGCGGCGTATTGGTGGACTGAGCTTGCGAGAGATTTTCTGTGTCTTGTATTCGTGTATTAGCTCTTCTAGAGCAGGCTAATGAGCGTTTTTCTTCACGTACTTCTTGAGGAGGATTGTGAGGTTGATCTCCTTATGGGCCTAGCCTCGCATGAATACTTCCTTGTGGGCCTAGACATGTATAAACATCAGATCATGAGCCCAACCTTTCGTGCACATTGATCCTTCGACCTAATCTTGAAATGAGGATTGATTTACTTTGGTTGGAGCTCGTGTATGCTTGTGACATGCTAGGTAGTGCGCTCTTGTCCTCCTTCTCGCATGTTGGTTCCTACTTGACCTACTTAGGACCTCTCAAACTGCTTGTCGGTGAGTTCATCCATCCTTCACTCTTCATTAATGAATCAAAGGTCAAGGTCTCGAACCAAGTCAATTTGCCTGAGGAGCTATCCAACCAAAAGATTTTGGTCTTCGACTCTCTAGGTAAACTGGTTGACTTTTAGACTGAGGTCAGCTTCATTGCTTGGATATAAAAGAGAGAATTGTGTGGAGCCCAATTGCATGCAGGCTAGGGTTTCGTTGGAGGTGCGCCCAGGAGCTACAAACATCAAGTGTGGTGGCAAAGGAGGAAACATATGTAGTTGCTCCAATATCGGGCCATACTTGGAGGCAACGCCAAGATGGTCGTGAGCAACGGCTTCAGGACGAACCGCGACACAATCATGGTGGTGAGCATAAGATCTAGCTGCAGATCGGTGGAGCTGCAAGTTGGTTCTGGTTGTAGGCCACGTGGTAGAGTCGCATAGTGAGCTAGAGCAGTGCTCTCAACCACGGGGCCAAAAGGGGGAGCAGCAACTTACGAAGGAACTGCGATGGGGCCAAGGTTGCAGGATGTGGAGTCGTGGCTTCGACGCCGGAGTACAACAGCTAATTCAATGTTGTGTTGTCATGTTGGCTTGGACCCGTTGCTAATTGAGTTGTTGCGGTGATCTTGCTCTTGATGTGTTTGCTTCCAACCATGCTTGTTTGGAAGGTTTCAGTTGAGTGATGAATTGGAGGAAATAGATTCCTTTGATTTGAGGGCACCGCTTTGATTGTATTTTGTTACTCCAAATGAAAGCATTGAAATGTTTAAGCAAAATTCTCACGGGACAACATTTGGGTGCGATTCTTCCACCCTTTGATCTTCCTTCTCTTTCTTCTTCCTCAATTCCTATAAATGATCTTGAGAAACATACAGAAATAACATAAAGGTCTGATTTTTCTCTCACTGGGAGAGTTGTGTGGCCTTAGCCGTGTGAGGGGCGGTGAGAGAGAGAGAGAGAGAGAGAGAGAGAGAGAGAGAGAGAGAGAGAGAGAGAGAGAGAGAGAGAGAGAGTGAGTGAGTGAGAGTGTGTGTCTTATTTAATTAGGATTATTCTTACCCAAAAAGATGATAGGAATTAATCAAAGAGATTTGTTGGAAATCAAATCCTTGATTTAGGGAGATATTCCTATCTTAAATCAAAGATAATTATCTAATTAAATAGGATTTAATTAAAGTAATTAGTTGACATAAGGAATATTCCTTTTTCCACATGTCATCTTCTTATTGGTTGCCGAAATACATGTTCCCACAAATATAACCTGATTTGATGATGATTTCTAGTGATTTAAAGTAGGTAACAAGCCCGAATTGGGCTCCATGCAATCCTAGCCACTAAGGTCATCTCCAGTCATAAGGGCTAAATGTAGCCCTCTAAAATATTAATTTTTTAAACAATAGTGCATGACTAAATTTTTTCATCTCCAGATACAACTATATTTTAGGGCCCTCCATATTTTATTATTTTTAGAAAAACTATGGTACCACACTCATACATTCCACTATTATATATTGTTTATATTAATTAAACTACTACTTAGAGACAATATTACAGATATGACACGTGTACATTGACAACCTTATTTTATTAATTTTATAATTTTTTTTTATACATTTAAACATTACAAGAAAAAAAGTTAATGTTCTAAATTATATATATATATTAAAAAAATTAAATTCATTTAAAAAGTTAAATGAAGAAAATATATATATATATATATATATATATATATATATAGGGCTAGCTGGGGTCATTGCGCCTTTAATATCAACCCTTGGATTGAAGCTGCACAAGATGTTCCCATGATCACGCCCAAACGTGATATTTCCTCTTTTTGGGCAACACATGTGTTGAGCCCACCAAAAAAATTTGGCATGGTTGGAAGGCTAAAAGGCTAAATACGTCCTTCAAAATTTGGCCAATTTTTTTTTAAAAGTTGAGGAGGATCTCCTCCTAAAAATCAATAGGGTTTAGTCACTTGTCAAATTTGAGAAACATTGACAGTTTCGGCTAAAATAAAAATAATAATATTAAAATAATTAAACACAACCATATTGGTTGTAAGGAGGAGCTCCTCTTCAATCTTAAGGAGCCAAGCTTCTTCCTTTTATTTTTATTTTTATTATAATTATTTTATCCCATGACTGGAGATGGGTTTTACATTTTTTGATGGGTACATGTGGCCTATGTCCCATGGCTGAAGATGGCTTAAGGATTTGTATATATATAAACAATAATATTAAAAGAAGAAAAAAGGATCCTCACCACAATTATCATAATTAATATTAAACAGATCACATTGTGCAAATATTCACAAGAGATTAAACAAATTATGAGCTTAATCAAATTGGCTAGAGCGAAGGTGCTCTTTGTTGATGCTCTTTTTCGGAGAGGGTCAACTTAGAGAAAAAAGGGGTTTGCCTTCAGCAGGGAAAGGGTCTGGGCCTTCAATAAAGGCTAGCCTGCAGAAGACAAAAATAGGGGAAGCAGTTGTCAAGCTCCGGGCACCGGTGTGGTGCCGGCCGAAGGCTCTCCGATGCTTAAGTCAGCTAAGAAGGGTAACTTTTGCAGAGTAATAGTAAAAGGCAGAAAAGTAGTTCCCCTCTTACTAGGGTACTGTTCCCTTTTTATAGGGAAGTGAAAGTGGGAGGTTGGTGTAGATTTCCGATGTGGGACTCTGTGCAAGTTGCCGCGGTGGTGACACGTGTCATGAGAATTAGGTTTAACAGTTTGTGAGCTTTGGCAGTCGGGAGTTTCGGCAGGTGCTTGGCACCTCGGAAGAGTGTCTTCCTTCGGCAGAGAGAAGGCGTGTCTGCCTTGGTGCTAGTTGTTTTGAGACTGGATATGCTCGGTTGATTATGGTGTAAACAGTAGTCCCCCAAGTTCGCGGTCAAGAAGTGACTTCTGGGTTGGGAACTTGTAAGCTTTTGCGTGATCATGACTGAGCATTCCAGGTTCAGTGGGAGCCGTAGGGCAGTCCCTAGTCCCCCAAGTTGTCAAGCTAGAAGTTGCGTTTAACACTTGGAAGGTATAATAAAAGCTGTGTGAGCCTTGGACCTGTTGGTAGCTGGGTACCTGGGCATTTGGTGAGGAAGTCGGGTCTGAACCTTGTGGGGCTGAGCTTCGGTAGAGGCCGTGGCCTTGAAGTTTTGGCAAGGGGGGCCTTGGGGAGCAAAATTTTGAAGAGCAAGGAGCTGGGCCATTGGAGTATACTGAATAGAGATTTCGGCAAAATTCCCCTTGGAGCTAGGCTTTGGCAAGGGACCCAAGTGGTTTGGGTTTAAACGATTTGCAAGGGCGAGGCCCTAGGTGGGTTTCGGCAAAGGAGGCCAAGACATTCTCAACCCCACCCTTTTTCTTTTAAAAGAAGAAATGCCTGGGGCCTTTGTTGGAGTGGACCTTCGCAAGTAGGCTAAGTCATGGTTTCGGGCTTAGCCTTAGTTGGGCTTTCGGCTGAGCCATAGGTGGCTGGGGTTTTGTGTGTTTGGGGAGGAAAATTTCGAAAAGCAAGGAGCCGGGCTCTTTAAGCTTGTGCCTGGGGCTGGGACTTTGGAAGTTGTTTTCAGTTATTGGCAAAGACCTGGGGTCAAAAGGGCTGGGCCCTTTGTGGAGGCACAGGAGCTGTGAGCTGGGTCCTCCGTATGAGCCGGGTTGCATAAGTTTTTAGATAAGAAGTTGTTGTGTTTGGAGCAGCCTAAGGCCTCAGAATTTTTATACAAGGAGCTGAGCTTTTGGTTGGCCAAGGCTGGGCTGTAAGATTCAGGCGGCAAGGCTCTAGTGGGCTTCGGCAAGGGAGAACCATACGAACCGCCCTAAAAATTTTGAATGCTCCTTGCCGTTCGGCAAGGAGCCAAAGAAATTTGGAGGCCAGGTTGGGGTTCACGTGTCCTAGCATAAGTGGGGCTGGGCTTTTAGTGGCTAGGGTTTTGTAAATTTGAGAAGGGTATAAAAGAAGTTTCACTATCTCTTGCCGTTCGGCAAGAGATAGCTGGGACTTTTGTAGAGCAAAAAAGGGGGCTAGGCTAAAATGGCTGGGACCTTCAAGTCTCTGGTCTTCGGCAACTCAGCAGTTTCGGCGTGAAGTTGGAGCTGGGCTCCGAGACAGCTGTGAGGAGAAGAAATACCAGATCGTGGGAGCTGTTTGGCAACAGAGCTGACCTCCTTGATTCACAGCTGCGATAGAGTCTTGAGCTGGGCATTCCGACTGTCGGCAGGTTCCTCCAAGGTTCGAAAATTCCTAGTGTCGGGTCTTGGCTTGGGAGGAGCAAGAGTGCTGGAGAGTTGAGCTTCGGCCCGTAACAGTAAGGAGGTTGGGCAAGGTTGCTTTCGACACCTCCGGTGCGTAGCCCTTCATTCGATTGCTCAGTACCTACCGTTCGGTAGGTTGAATTTTGGCTAGGAAGTGCTCGGTCGTTGAGCATTTGCAGCTTTCGCCGTTTCGACAGGTCCGTTGTTTACTGTTGCACGAGACCTGCCGTTCGGCAGGTGTTGTGAAAAGGAATTTCTGGGGCCCTTTGAATCGGATGGTCTGAGTCTCAAGAGCTAGCTGTGACTTGGAGCTGGCCATTTCTTGATTTTTCTTGGAGCTGGCCTACTGCCAAGGATTAAAATATCGGCCATGCAGATAATATCGGGCCTCCAATTTACGGATATTTCGGGGGATATATCGTTATCGTTTTAGGTTTCGGGAAAAAATCAACAAAAATGACAGATATAGGCATTGAAACACATAAGTTTTGTGTAAAACTTTCATAGATGTTATGTACATTATCAATGAATGTATTGAACAAATAAAACTCAAAATTTACTAATAATAAGATATACATATGATGAAATATAAGTGGTATGTAATGCGCATTAATGAAAAGTTTGAAAATAAAATGTTAATTAGAATGAATAAACCATGCATAAATCCATAGTTTGTTTAAACATTGTATTACAATTTAGATAAGTGTCCATCTACATAAATGAAGAGCTTCAATGAGGTTCAAACAATGAGGAACAACCATCTAGATTCATACAATAGTCATACCAAGTCATGTAACCCGAGCAGTTTGTAAGTCATGTTTGAACATAGTGCACATAGGTCTCTCTTGAGCTCCCTATTGTCCTCCCATATATGGGATAGTTAGGATTAACCAACTAGTAGGTCCATAATTTTTTTTATCATCTTGAGCTTCATAACTAGTTCCATTATAATTAGACATGACATAAACATAGACATAGACATCATAAGATTCATTTCAGTTAGTACTAGGTCTAGTTCCTATGCTCATAGATCCAAAACTGAACGCCATGTCCTCTTCAGATGGATTGGAGATATGTGGGTAGTGGACTGTGCATAGATTCTTCATATTAATAAATTATAGGGTTTTGAGCAACGATTAGCTATTTTTGGGTTTCAATTTGCTTTAATTGCCTTCCAAACTTCTGAATTTTTTTTGGGTTTTGTTATGGGTATCGGGAAATATCGGGGATATCGGCAAAATATCGGGAATATCGCACTTATCGGGGATATATCGTCGATACAGGGGAAGATATGACCTTACCCCCCAATATCGGTGTCGACAGTTGAAAACACCGATATATCAGTAGATATATCGATGTATCGGCCGATATTTCAATCCTTGCCTACTGCAGATTCGGCAAGGGTGGAGCTGGGTTCGGAGTTGGTTCTTGGAAGGAAAAGATCGGAGCTGGGCCGTATGGCAGCCATGTGAGCACGGGCTGTGTGGTGAAGCCTTGAAATTATACTTCAGTTTTGGTGAGTGCTGTGAGCCCCTAAAAATATCTTCATGGGTCTTGCCGTTCGGCAAGGCCATCTTGCTGGTTTTAAAATATGATGAATGTGATGTGAGTGCCTTGGTTATTGATTTTGAACAGAAGGGTGCAGCTTGGCTATTGTGAATTTCGGCGGAGCCGGGGTCGTCCAACGGAGAGGACCAAGGAGCTGGAACCGAGCCTTGAAATCAGATTTGGAATCCTTGAGTTTACGGGCTGGGTCCTGGTGGTAAGGCTTTCGTTGAGTGACTTGGAGCTGTGAGATTTGCCCAAGCTGGGCTGAGCAAGGAGGCATGGGTCCGGTGTGGTGTTGTCTTTTTTACTGGTTTGGAGCTAGGCCTTCGGCATGGCTGGGCTTGGGAGCTGGGCTATCCGTAGCTGGGGTCCTTGGCAGAGCTGTTCTGGAACAAATTTGGGACTGGGACGTTGCAAAAGTAGGCGGAGCTGGGCTTTCCTTGTGACCTGGGTGTCTAGATCAAATTTCTGAGGTAAGTGCTGCCATTTGTGGAGGCCTCCATTTTGTTGCTACATAACCCTTGCCGTTCGGCAAGGGTGCTTGGAAATGTTTTTTGAAGTTTTTGTTGGCTGGCCCGATTAGAGCTGGGTCTTTCGGGGTTTGGAGCTGGGCATTCCTTGTGACCTGGGTGTCTAGATCAAATCATGGCTCCTCTGTTTGTCAAGGAAAGAGCTGGGTCCTTGTGAGAATTTTGTTTTTTGTTGTTTTGTTTTTTTTTTTTTTTTGGGGAGTTAGACCTTCGGCAGGTTCAAAAAGACTGGGGTGTGGGCTCATGAGGACCTAGGTCCTGCCTTGGGCTGAACCGTGGATGAGCTTTAGGAATGGCTGGGCAAGGAAGTGGAGGTGAAGAGAGGGGGGGGGGTCCAAAAAGAGTCAGCATGACCCTTGCCGTTCGGCAAGGGTAAGTTGGGAAAAGTTTTGGGGCTGACCTAAATCTGTACTTGAGTCTCTGGCATGTCCGAGACCTGTCTTCTGTCGTGGAGTGGGCCAAGGCCAAGACCTGTCCTTTGGTTTTTGTTTCGCTGTGCTTGTAGAGGCAGGTTCGGAGCTGGGCCACCTTGGGTTTTTCGGCAAGAAGTGAGAGCCTAGAGCTGGACCTTCGGTAGGTGTCCAAAAGGGTTTGGCCAACATTGGAGCTGGTCCCGTTTTGGCTAGGGGATAGCTAGGATTTGGAGCTGGGCTCCGTGAGGTTTGGTTGGTCTTTGACTTGGGACCGTGAGCTGGGCTTTTGTGAATTTTCACTTAGCTGGGCCATTTGAGGTTGGGCCAATTTGGCAAGGCTTGGTGATTTTAGGCTGGGCAAAATTGAATTCCACCCACTTTGCATTTCCACTTCAACTTCTTACTAATTTGTAATTGCAAATGCTGTGTAGGTACTCTTGTAACCCTAGGGCCTAGGGTTTGGGAGGGAAGGTGAAAGGGTGCTAGGGTTTCTCTTGTAACCCTAGGGCCTTATAAATAGGAACTTGGAACTTGGAGTGACGTAGGCATCATACTTGGAGATTTTTTGAGAAAGATTGTCAAAAAGTGAGAAGGAGAAAAAGATTTCTGGTGAGATTTTGGTGGTGGTGCAAACAAGGTTAGACCTCATTTCCCTTGAATTCTTGAAATGAAATTCAACTTTTTGTATGAACATGTTGAAGAGTATGATGAACACCTTGAGCATGAGTATGAACATGTTGAATGTATGCATCTAGATCAAAAAGCATGTAGAGGCTGTCCAATTTTGTGTTTTTGTGCTTAGATCCTCTTTGCATGTGCATTAGTTCCTTTTTCTTGTTTCTGCATGTTGTAGATGTCTGAGAGTGAAGAGGCCAGTGAGTATGTTTGTTCTGAAGAGGAGAGTTCCCAGACAGATAGTTTTGTAGAAGGGCTTATAGAAGCTAGGATGGGAGTGCATGAGGGTGAGATGGCTGGGCCATCAGTAGAGTCTGGGTCAGAGGCATATAGGAAGATGCAGAAGAAGTATAAAGTGTTAGAAGCCAGTGTTGATCGGGTTCTAGCCTTGGCACATACACCGGAGGTGGGCTCGAGCAATCAGACATCACCATCAGAGTCTGTGGGTATAGCCATGGTTTCAGCTTCAGAGGGGGTGGACATCCGGGTTGGTGTTCCGTTGGGAAATCGAAATACACTCACAGAAGCCAAGTTGGTTGAGCTTCGGACAGATTATAGTGTGCCATCCTATGTGGGCCTGAGGTTACCTAGTGCTGCGGATGTAGTGAGATATCCTCCGGAGGGTTCAGTGATGATATTCACCGATATGTACCAGCATGGTCTCAGACTACCGTTTCATCCTTGGGTACAGATGATGCTGGCCAAGTTGGGGTATGCGCCGGGGCAATACAATCCCAACTTTTGGCTACTTCTTCATGGAGTTTACATTGCTTGGTGGTTGGTTGGGTTGGGGGAGCCAACATTTGAGCAGTTTATGTACTTGTATTCGATCTCCAAGCAACAGGGGACCTTTGGCTGGGTACAAGCCAATTGCCGGAAGGCAAAGGAGAGAGGTTACTTTATTGGGCATAAGCCGAGTACGCAGAAGTCTTGGCGGAACAGGTGGTGCTTGGCCTATGGTGATTGGGAGTGTCCTCCAGGGAAGACCGTCTCCAGACATATTCCAACCCACTTCCAGTCGATAGGTCCTTAGCCCCATCCTTTAAGACTAGTTGTGTTGTAGTGTTTTGACGCTTGGGTCTTTATTTATGTTTTATTGTTTTGCTTGTGCAAGCATAAATGGCTAAGTTGATATCTGAACTGTGGTGCAGGTTCGGTGAAGTGGGGACCGATCTCCAAGGAGCGAGAAGACGAGGTTGAGAGAGTGAGGTCACTGTTGTCGGAGACCCAGCGTGAGCGTAGAAACTTAGTCACCCAGAAGAACCTGTACGAGTCCGGACTCTTGCAAGGGAGTAAGTACCTGGGTCACTGTTGTTGTTTGTCTTATGATTCATTTTGTAGTTGAAACTGACTTGGCTTTTGATGTGCAGTGGCAGGGATCATAAGGGGGAGCACGAAGGTGGCCATGGATCTGGATGATCCCGAGATGCAGAAACGGCTGAGGGAGTCTCGGGCCAAGAAGGCAGAGAAGGGAGGTGCCCAACAGGCTGCTGGGAGGCGTTCCAGAGATGAGGAGGGCCTAGTCTCTGATGTGCTGGGAAAGAAGAGAGCGCTGGAGGAAGCTCACCGGAGCGTGATGGGGACAGGGCCGAGGCTTCCTCCCTTTGACCCGCAGGCGCCGCCGAAGCTCCCCTTTGGTATGGATGATGTTTACGCCGAGGGGGTCAACTTAGAGAAAAAAGGGGTTTGCCTTCAGCAGGGAAAGGGTCTGGGCCTTCAATAAAGGCTAGCCTGCAGAAGACAAAAATAGGGGAAGCAGTTGTCAAGCTCCGGGCACCGGTGTGGTGCCGGCCGAAGGCTCTCCGATGCTTAAGTCAGCTAAGAAGGGTAACTTTTGCAGAGTAATAGTAAAAGGCAGAAAAGTAGTTCCCCTCTTACTAGGGTACTGTTCCCTTTTTATAGGGAAGTGAAAGTGGGAGGTTGGTGTAGATTTCCGATGTGGGACTCTGTGCAAGTTGCCGCGGTGGTGACACGTGTCATGAGAATTAGGTTTAACAGTTTGTGAGCTTTGGCAGTCGGGAGTTTCGGCAGGTGCTTGGCACCTCGGAAGAGTGTCTTCCTTCGGCAAGAGAGAAGGCGTGTCTGCCTTGGTGCTAGTTGTTTTGAGACTGGATATGCTCGATTGATTATGGTGTAAACACTCTTCACTCTACACCCGAGTTCGAATCTCTCTACCATAGTTTAGATTAGTTTTTAAAATTAAAATTAAAACAAAAGAAACTCCTTAGATAAACTTCTCAAGACATCTCCGTGCTTAAACAAAATTCCAAAGTCAAATGACTAAATTTTCATGTCATGTTTCTATTTTAAGGTAATAAATTGGACTTCCTTATGCAAGTTTATTTAGTCAATGTTCATATTTAGAGACTTCAGGGAATGGAAGTTTATCCCTGGAAATGCAAATGTGTTCTTGAGTTCAAGTGCTTCAGTACTGGGATTCACAATTTAGTTCTAAATTCAAATTGTAATGAGCAGTTTGGTTCAATTTTGAATATGTAAAAGTCCAAAAAACCAAACCGACTCATACAAACAATTCTCATTTTTTTTAAATGCAGAAACGACACTTATTTAGATAAAATTTGAATTTCGAATTTGTGGCCCCTAAACTCCCCCTTTTTTTTTTTCTTTTTTTTTCCTAGATAGAATTTCTAAATGCCTAAGTTAATAAGCCCTGAATAAGAGAATATTTCAAGTTATTTTTCTATCCATGCATAAATGGTTTGGTTTGGTTTAGTTTTACACTTAAGAGGTGTAATCGTGGACCAAGCAGAATCATACTACAATTTAGGATTCCATGGTCGGTTTGGCCTCTTTGGAAACCGCTAAATCGAACCAACCCGTCCACAATAGTTTTTTTATTTTATTTGACACCTTATATTTTCTGATTAGTTTAATTTGTAGTATAAGTTGTTTTTTCTTTTATAAGTTCAGGCCGTTACATGTTAGCGAATATTTGCTTACTTGTTATTAAGGGAACCAACCCAACCAAATTGAACTCAATTGATCACCAAATGGATTGATTTAATTCCGTTATACTACTAGTATGAGATTTAAACCAAATCAATCCAGATTTTGGTGTTTACTGGTTCGGTGTGCAGAGGCCTCAAATGATTTTTCCTTTTCACACCAAAGCACCTTTAAATTCCTCTAAAATCTGCCACGGTTTCAAGGCTCATGAGATGTTTCCCCCACTATTTTCTTATCTTCTTTTGCCCTGAACTTGATCTCTCCCAGGTTTAATAAATTGAAGCTTGCAACCTCATTGGCACCCACGACTCTCCTTCTCTTAACGCTTAAATTAAGTGACATTCAGACTTAACACTTTCTGAGTTGAGAAGCTCTGCAGCTTCAAACCCATGCAAGTAATCGGATTTCGCCTTCGTCAGTCAAGCCAAAATATAGAGAAAGCATAGTTACAAGTAACAACTTACAGGGTCTTGCACATGTAGCATACACGGATCACATGTACTACCTGAAGGAGTTTGTTATGTTCTGCACACAATCTATGGAGTTGATGCCGTAGCGCCAAAGCATCAAAGGTGGGTGCGGTAAATAGTATGATGGCTTTGTAGGCGAGTCCAACAATGACTCGTTACTCTCAGTTTTCAGTACTAATGTTCCAAGGTTGCTCTGCCATATACCAACTAGCTCAAAACCTTACCGGTGATGGGGGACTGCTATCATTTGCAAGCAGGATGGATGCCTAGGCAACACAATCTATTCATTTCATTCTCTGGGACCAAATAGCTATCCATCCACCACCTTCTTATGAACAAGTGCTGCATTTTTATTTTACACATACATTCATTTACGGTTTTGTCTAACAAAAGAGCATTCCAATCCTTACACACAAGGCACTTGAAATAGACATTTGATTGTTATATGACTAAGATACCAGGTGCTCAACTAGCAGAGACCAAAGATCCAAAGACAATTTTAAAATTGAAACTGATGCAAGACAACTTCTGGTTGTGATCATCCTTGATTGTCATCTTGAGATTGTAAGAGCCCTGTAAATACGAAACAATGTTATCCATGCGAAACATCCGAATAAAACTCATCACCAAAGAATAGGTTTAAAAGTGCAACTGTCGTGCAGAAATGCTAATAAGAAAAAGAATTTAAATATTGCATCTTGTTATTCACATAAGAATAAGAAAATGATATGCTTTTCTCTCTCATGCCTCTTGAGCCTTAACCATCTAATTACTGCCACATTGAGAACTCCGGAATGAAAATAGTAAAAACATTTTCAACATAGGAAGCTGCTGTTTCTTAGGTTCTTTTGGGTTTTTTTTTTAACTCTGGATTTTTTTGTGCTTGTTTGTTATTTTTTCTTTTCGTTTTTTTTTCTTGTCTTGTTTTGCTTCAGTGTTTTCTAGGTGGAGTTCTGGTTCCCTGCATTTTTCTTGTTTTCACATGTGCTTTATAAAATTGTCTTCATCCCTGTTTATTTTAAGAAAAAACATGTGACTAGATGATCAAAAGTAAAAGTATTAAAGGAAAATTCAAGACTAAAAGTCAAATTATGATATGAACAATGGTAAGACCAAAACTCTAGGAAATGTTACGCACTCAATATACATACAACAGACACACACACCACACGAAAGTCACGCGTTTCCAATAAAAAAACAAAAACAAAAACAAAAGGTGGCAATGAGGACTGGAATCTATTAGAAAAGTATTATAGGTAATAATTCGCCAAAAGAAACCAATGACGAGCAATCTGAGGTAAACAACTATCTTCAATCAGGATAAACAAGCCATTGGAAAATTAAATCCAGTGAGGAAGTCGCAAAATAAAACATAGTATCAGAGAATAAAATAACAGAGGAATCCATAAACATAATGAATCTCTCAAGTCAAGAATTGACATAAATGTGATAAGCCAATAAAAATATATATAACATAAGCAATACATAATAGCTCTATGAACACAAAAAGCTATAAATTATTAGTAACAGGCACAAACTAATAATTATCTGAAGTCCTGCTACTTTAAAATGGTTTTGAAGAAGTAAGAACAACAAAACATGTAAAGTAGAAAACAGACAAGAATGTATTGAGTTCAAAAAATTTAAATTTAAAACATAAAGGTTTCAGTTCTGTATAAGTTATACATTTAACCAAGAAATATCAACACCGAGATACTAGAGACAATTGTAAAAGGTTCATAGTTATCAAATGGTGGGCATGAGGAAATGACCAAAAAAATTATTGTGATAGTCCGAATGTGATACGGAGCCTAAATAGAAAAACTTATCGTATACTGCAACACTAAACATAGGGAGAACTCAAAAGTGGATACAAAAAATCGTGGCACAAGATTTCGATAGGGAAAAATAAATTAGGTAGTATCGGAATATAAATTTATAGAAAATAAAAAAAACTACATGATATATCCAAATAGTTTTCTGCCCAACCAGGGAAAGCACGACAAAATCTATATTAAAAATAAAGAAGTTAAAAATGTAGTTAAGAAGGTGAGAAGTTATATTCCTGAAGTTTATTGAGGCTTAAGAAAGTTAAGTTGCCAATATAAGTTATGTCCCGTTTGTGAACCAAATGGTATAAATCCATCTGTTACATTCCTCCATTTTCACTTTTTCAGGAACCATTGGCAAGTGTTTAAACTTTAATAATTCAGTAAAGAGCACATGGAAAAATTACAAATAATAGGCAAAGACAAAAAAATAAAGTAGTTGATAAGTAGATGGTACATGATATTATATAAACATTCTCAAACTGTTGGTATCAATATAATCAATCATGCAGTAATACAACCACACATAAGCTCACACGTGCCCACTAGTATTTGAGAGATTCATTATAAACTGAAGTCAGCAAGTGTGCCTCAAAAGAGAGGTAAGAATCTTAGAATGGTAAAGGTATGGAAGATGGCAAGTATAATCTTAATAAGTGAAACTTACAGGGGGAGTGATCCCAGGTAAAGTTTGGGTGTGAGAGAGCACAAAGTTTCCTGCTGAAACTGGGCAGGAAAGCTCTTCACAAAGATCATGAGTTTCTGTATGTACGCGCACCCCAAAATAGTAAACCTCAATCACCACTTTCCCACTGGAGATGGCTTGACCTGTATGAAGCACAGCAGGCATAATTGTCTATATAAAGCCGAAGGATATGACCGATGGATGCATGCATAAAAGGAAACTCTTAGATACATGAGTAATATGTGTATTATTAGAAGAACAAACATTGATAAAGAGGAGGCCAAAAACATTTGTCAATTAGAAATATATTTTGGAAGTACCCAAATTACAAATCAAACAAACAATACATATTTTGAAGTCATCTTTGCAAAATGTTGCTCAAGACTTGAGAAGTATTCTTTTATGGCCATCATATAAATGAAAGCCAAGACAGATGGCTGCAGGAGAGGAAATTCATGAACCTAGGTCAAAATCAGCTGCGAGTTGGAAACCTATTCTGCATCAGAGACGCATCAATGAGCACTGCAGTTGTCATTTGGAGAAACAGTAGGTTTGTATTTTGCAAGTCTGGCGGGATGGTTATGGTTGTTATACCTATAATCTCTTTAGATGCCTCCAGAAACAGCAATCCCATCCTCATGAAGAATGAACAATGGTCTATTATAAGCTCTGATGGGAAGCCCTAATCCACCTCTAATGAATGCCCCTCCAAGAGCTCCCTCAATCAAAAAGGCAGCCCCTTAGTTAACTTGAAACCAAACTAATGGGCCTGTAATCACCAAGCTTCAAAGAGTCCAGTTTCTGTGGAATTAGGAATATGAATGCTGAATTGGTGATGCAGGACGCGTAGGACCTAAATTTATTAGTTTCCTAATGTATTTGTTAGTTTCCTAGATTCTCTAGTTTTCCAAATTCTAGTAGGATTTCTACTTTTCCAGATTTCCAGATTTCTAGTTTTAAGTTTCCTATTTTATTAGGGTTAGAATTTCTGTTTAAGCAAGGGATTTTTATCCTGTTATGTCTAGGTTTTAGTTTGCTATAAATACACCCATGTAGTTCTTTAAAACAGATTTTTGAATGTTGAGTAAACCTTTTCCTAGAACTCTCTCATTTCGTCCCTTCTATCTCATTTCTTCTCCTCGGCCTCCGATATTCTTCTTTGTTCTACTGTTTCTGTCCTTTATCTCGTCTTTTCGATCTCTATTTCTTCTCCTCGGTCTCTTATATTCTTCTCTGTTTTATTGTTTAAGTGCTTAATCTAACACCTACGGGCTGTAGTACATCAATTGGTTATCACGTTGACCACTCTGTAAAACTTCTCAAACACCCTATCAAATCCTCCAAAATGTCCAAGCAATTCATCCATACAAAAACCATCAAGCCTTGGTGATTTATATCTTCAAGGCACTCAAAAATAGCCCTTCTGTTATCCTCCCCCTCAAAGGGTCTCTCTGACCAATTTGCCTAATTACTGTAAGTATTCTGTATATAAGGTGCTTTCTGATGGTGTGGCAAACGAGAATTGTGCTCATCAGGAAAGAGCAGGTGCTTATTGGTAAGATTCTATATGTGGTCAGAGCCTGGAAGAGTACCAAGATGTATTTCCCAGTGATCAGCCAGACAGGTTACTAGCTATGAGGGACATGTGGTACCAAATTGATCTGTTTCTGGGGTATATCTTACCTAATAGACCTCATTACTGCATGAGTTCCAAGGGGCATAAGTAACTGTGTTGACATGATGGGAATTGTTGACCAAGGACTTCTTTAGAGAATGAGTATTAGTCCACAAGCCCTACTCCCAAAAGGAAGTATTCACTGAGGATGTGAGTTGATAATATGGTGGTCGACAAGAATTTTTATGTTTGCTGGATGATTTGTTAGATCACTTACATGTGCTAAAAGAAAATTTTAAAGAAAGGAAGAATGAAAGTCTGTGTATTGCATCTCAATGGGGTACCGTACAATACAGTGGTTAACATAATCGAGTACCAGTACATATATGTTCACTCAAATCTGTCCTAGTACGTATATTTTTCCTCAAACCTGTCCTAATGTTTTGCACTAAATTGAAGTTAATTTGTGTTACAAACAATCATTAGCAGCCTACACTCACGACAACATAGAAAGGTCATCTTTAATAAACTAGATTAAACATCGGATGCTGCAAAAAAAAAATTTGGATTGGAAAAGAGTCAAGGAGGACTTCAAAATGGAAAACCGGATTTGAATGTTTGTCCTTAATTGTTAACAAGAGTAATCTATTTTGATGAGACAAAAGCTGGCTGTTAATGTACTTGGTTCTCTACATAAGCATGGTTCCTGTTACCTAAATGGAATATATAAAACCAAAAGCAAGCTGAGAAAATAAAGTAGGTCATGGCTATTCGTTATCCAGCCAACCTTAAGCAGATTCATCAAACAAGGTCTAAGAAGATAAGACAGGCAAACACTGAAAGCTGAAAAGTTATACCTGTTGAGGCCGAGATGTTAAAGGTAGCTGGCTTGCCTCTCACAACTGGGTCAGGCAATATCTCGACTCCCTGGACCTTCACAGCATATTCCTCTGTCTGACCTGAAATTTGATAGATACAAATTAAAGTTGAAAAATAAAATACACCCACCCCAAAAAAACAAAAAAACAAAACCTTTCTGTGAATGAATTATAATGGTAATTGATTAAAATGATATAGACAAATAGCTTCCTCAAGGATTCGTACATTAAAGATCGAAATTATGAGAAACTTTTATGGTTGATCATATTTCAGGAGCTTAAACCAAATTAAACAACTGGGATACAGTAGTCTAGTATCTTCCCATTTACCCACAATTTTAAAGCAACCAATCACAGTCAAATTGGGTTGTTCTCAGATATGTAAAAGAAGAAAAAAGGAAAGAGAAAAAATAAAAAAACACATTTAGGAGCCCATTAAAGTGAAACGGAAACTCACCACAATATTTGACATCAGTAGACTGAGTGAATGGTAGAAGCAGGTACAAGGTGAAGAAGCAAAGCACAATGAAGTTGAGCTTCAAGTGAACAAGCATGGTCATGATTCGCCTCCTCTTGGGTTTTTCCCTTTGCTTTCGTTTTTTTATTTCAGAGAAAAGAAAATGCAAGTAGGAGCAGCAAACAAAAATCTTTCGTGGAAACGAAAGAGAGAGTTTGGATTAGGCGTCGAACAGAATAAGAAGAGGAAGAAACGTGGTTAAGTGGAGTTATTTGCGCCAGTGACTTTATATGGAACAGACAAAGCATGGAATAAATTAGACCCACATGTGTCAAGGTCCACTTGTTTACCAATTTTAGGGCATGCACAGTTGAAACCTGGAATAGTGAGATTAAAATCCAGCATCATCTACAAGTGGTTAAAAATATTTACTCATATTCTGAAGTCTTTGGTTTGATTTCTTTATTCTCTAAAGCCTTCTCTAACCCATTTAGGGCTACACCCAAATCCTCTCCCTCCAAAAAGTAATTATTTGGGTTTTGCCTGGACTCAAACCGTTTTTTCTTTCAACTCTCTGGACTCATATTTTAAGTTAGCAATTTTAATAAATTGTTTAAGAATAGTTTAAGTCTAATTTTTTTTTTATGGATAACTTTTTTTCATTTAATCTTTTAAAATAACTTCATAATTTAATTTTTTTTGAACAATTTGACCTAAAAAAAATTAAAATTCCACAAATATTATTTTATTCTAAAAGAAAACACATAACATGAAACACACAACATAATTCTAAAAGAAAAACACAATACTTCAAATTCACCGTACATGAAACCCAATATGAATAAACTAATAACCACCATCGTGGGGGCTTGGATAATAGTCCCCTGCGTTGCTTTCATGATTAACAACAAACTGTTGACCCTGTGCATGTTCTTGCATAATTTCATCTTGTTTATCCCCCCAATACTTATTCTTTCCTGGAGTAAATTTGGACACGTCCATGGACATTATTTTTTGTTCTTAGGCTTCCTTATCTTGTTGCTTCTGATAGGCATAAGCATTAGCTTGATCTTGGACAAACTTGTCCAATATGTTGAGCTTCCATTTCCTATCCTCCTCGAAAGCAATGTCTTGCTTAACCAATGATTTCAAGTACTTATCCCTTGTTTGTTGAGAATGATCAGTCATCTTCTTTTTTTTTTTTGGCAGCCTTTTGTTTATCTAGCCCCTCAGGCCTTGGACTAGGCAAGAATGGTCGTGGACTAGGCATGGCGATATCGTGTGTGTCGTTATCCAAATTCACCATACTTGCACTAGCTCCAGACAAACGTTGTGTGGGAGGCTCATTTATATCATTCCACTTGGGCAATCTTTTAAGATTTCCGCAGCATGGTACAAGTTGATAAGCCTATTTGGAGGCTTATTATCATTAAGATAATTTTCGCATACTCGTCCTATGCATGAAAAAAAAATTAACTTGGGAGTTGAATAAAATTACAAATATAAATTCAAAGCTTTAATAAGTGTAGGAGCTTTTTCGTTCTGGTAGCTACCGATGGGTCTGGGCTGTTGTAAAGAGTCAAATGTATGAAATTGCCCCTTGAGTTTGAGTTCAAGAATCATACCCCAAGAGTGCTTCAAAAGGGTAGCTAAGCCTTAGGAAGCACCTTGGTCTTCTTCATCAATGAAACCAACAGTTGCTTACAGATAAATATTATGACTTGGCATGAAAAGCTTGTGGCATGGGAGCTAAGTATTCATGAGTTTAGCATGAGAGAGAGAATTCTTGGGTTTCCTATGAGAAACAGGGGTTTTAAGGCAAAGGGGAAGGGATTCTAAGAGGGTTCTTTGAAAAGAGAGAGATGAGAGAATTACAATGGGTGTGTTGAGTAGTTTCCAGCAGCTTGACGAAAGCTTTGTCAAGTTCTGGAACGATTTACCAGAAAAGAAAATGGGAGAAGACAAAGGAATGGGGCTTAAAATTGCAAAGGTTTCGAGGATGAGAGATGAAGCTTTCTCTCCGGATCTGGTTGTGTTAATGGGTAGGAAATGCCTCTTTTTATGGGCGCTAGAAGCTCCTTCTTCTCAAGAAACCCTAGATGGTTCCTCCCTAATTTGCCAAGTCTCTCCCTCCCTTTCTCTTCTCTTCCTTTGATTCATCCCTATTTTGTGAAATCTTCCTTAGTCCAAGCACTTAAAGACAAGATTTTTGAAGGCTCTAGAGCCTTCCTGCAGCTGTTCCAGTGGCAATCTCCTATCTTTGGTTACCATCTCTCTTTCTTTCCTCCCTTATTCATGGCAAAAGCTGGTAGGAGAAAAAGATGGGTAACAATGTTGGTCTGAAGGGTGCTGCGCGCACTAATATCCTTTGGTTCTTCGAGTGGTTTGCCTTGGGTTTGTTTCTTGGCCATGTGCTGGAGACTCCTACCAGCTTACATAAATGGACATTTTTTGGCTTTTATTGTGGCCCTTGTTTCTAGCTAAGTGCTAGAGGCTGCAGATATTTTCCTTGGTTACTTGGGCCTTTCTAAGGTGATGGGTTAATTTCCTAAGTATTGGGCTATTTTCTCTCCTTTATGTTTACCCACTTATTTGGGCTCAAGAAATGGGCTTGAGTTTCGGGGCTCTCAAGCAGCCCAAACTTCCATTTCTCGACTCATTAATGGGCCTCATGAAAACTCGTAACCATCCATACCACAACCCGCTCAGCAAGCCCTAGGCATTTGAGTGGCTTGGGCCCACTTAAGCTTGTAGCGTGGTGTGTTGCTTATTGGCGTGGCACATGTACAAGCGTATATGACGAACTCTTGCGTACCCAAGTTGGGTTTCTTCCCAAGTTAAGTGTCATACTGGGCTAGAAATATATTTGGGCCTATCCTTGGATTTTTTAGGCCTCAACAATAAGAATGGTTACTTATCGCATCATGTAGATTTGAGCCATTGTTGGTTGATAGTCTTGAACCGAGAAGCAATGGCTTGGTATGTTCGTCACTCAGGCCCACTAATGCCCAGATTATTTTCTAGAAACTTTTGATATACACGCTGCCAAAATGTGTCTCTTGCTTTATTGGTGCCAATGGCCCCATCTTCACTGGCGAATGAAAGGAGACTGATGAAATTGACAAAGGAAAAATAAATGGAGAAATAGAAAAAATGTTTTTGGTAGATTATTTGAGAAATGAGTGGGTATTTATAGAGTTTGGAGTGAGTTTTGGGGTTGGATCTGATTTAGATTAATTTAAAGAGTAATGCTAGGCTTACCACATTTTTATACCATAATTGTACCACCTCTCTAATAGAGGTGGAGCCCACCAATACAATGGGGGCCCACCTCTATTAGAGAGGTGGTACAATTGTGGTATGAAAAATGTGGTAAACCTAGCATTTTCCTAATTTAAAATATTATTTTGACTGTTGGAATTAAATTTCAATCATTGGATCCTTTTTTCTTTTTTTTACCTTTAAAATAACTTGGATTTAATATAGATTGTTGATTTAAGTTACTATTGGAATTATACAAATAAAATAAAATAAAATAAAGATGTTTGAATTATTGCCGTTGAATATCAACGGCAACATAATCAGCTACAGCCATGTGGCGAGACAACAACTGCATCACAGCAGCACAACAGCAGCGCGGGGCCCACAAATCTTCCTTGCACATGGGTTGTGTCAACCTTTAGTGGGCTCCACCAAAAAAATTTCGGCAATAGCTGGATTGGTATTTGTTCCCAAGTTCGGGTTTTTCCAAATTTTGGCCCCTTAATTTTCTTGGGTTGTAAGATGAAATGGGCTAAATTTTAGGATATTTTGGGTTTGGCCTCATTGGTTGGAGATGGCCTAATATTGCTTGTATTCAAAAATCAAGCATTAACTTGTACCAATTGGTTTTCTTTTCATGTATTTTTTTTATTTTGGCTTTTTTTAATTTATAATTCAGATAACTTAACTCTAAACTGAGTGTAGTTCATAAAATTTATAGCCAGTGAAAATGGTTTTGGTTTGCATATTGGTCTTAGGTTTGAGTACTTTTAATTTGTAATCTTTTTATTAACTAAAAGCATTTTATGGTCTTTTGAATATTTCACCATTCTCAACTTCTGTAGCTTCATCACCATCACAAGGAAAATATGATATTTTTTCAATGAAACCAAATAAATCAATGTAAGTATTCCTCATAAAGTTAGTAGACTTAATTAAATCTAGCATCATATTTAAAAAAACATAATATTTTCCTCACATAGAAATTTAAGAAATAATTGATACAATGAATTACACAAATTTGATGCATGCTCATAATAAAATACAATATTAAGAGCATCGACATTTATATTTTCCATATTTATATTTTAGTTAAAATTTAGCTAAAAACACTATAAAACTATTTTATGAGCTCCCTAAAAATTTCAACTCCAACCGTACCTCCTAGTTTAGGGAATCATACATGTTTTAATGCTTTTTAAATTCAATTTTAGAATAAAGTGTAGGAAAAATAATGATAAAAAAAAATTCTCATCATTAAATAAGTGTTTAAAATACTATTAAAATAAAAAGCATTAAATTATAGGGAACTACTATGAGCCCTTTCTCTCTCCTCATATTTAGGAGCTCCTAAAGGATTTCCCTATTTTAAGAGGTCGATAGGAAGCATGTTTTGAGGTGTATTTTCAATTCCTCCCCAAAATTTGAACAGACAAAGGCAAATGCTTGGCCAAGAGGAAGGGAGGAGGGAGGGCGGCCACTGCCGCTCCTCCCCTCTGCCCATCTTCCCCTTCCTCTCCTTATCTCCCCATCTTTTTCTCCTATCTTTTCCTTTCCTCTTATCCCCTTTTCTCCTCCCTTTCCCCTCCCCAGATAATCTAGATATGTTTGTCTATTTGTTTTGTTTGATTGTTTTTGCAGTGTTCTAGGTGGCTACTGTTGTCTTTGTCTCGACGACGGTGACAGTAGTGATGCTGGATTGTGTCTCTTAGGGGTCCTTTTATTGTTGTTTATGTGGTGACGCTGAATTATGTCTCTCCCCAGGAGAGTTGTGATACCGGGTGGCTGATGTTTTGTCTCTGTTTCAATGACGGCAGTAGCAGTGACCAAAGAACTATATTTGGTCATAAGAGGTTTTCTTTGTCCGGTTCTGAGTAGAAGTAGAGTGCTTTTCACTGGTTATGTGTTCCTCCTATGTATTCTCTCCTGGTTTCTACTATGATATGCCTTGCAGTTTGTGTGGGTGTCAAAGGAGTATGATTTTTCTCATAAAAGGCTTCCTTTGATAGTTGGGATGTTTTGTTGTCCTCTCGTGTAGGTCTACTGTGTGGGTCTATAGTTGCGGTTCTCGTCGGAGGTTTATGTGTTAGTTTTTGTTTTTGATTTGTTCTTTTATTGTAATAGTCCGAAGTGACCTAAATCAAACTCTCTTATTAGTTCATGACATCTGTGGTACTCTTTCCTCTCCTGGGGTTTGTCACATGAGGTTGTCCTAGGAAGGTTTTAACAAGGCCACTGAATCATGTCATTCTTTTTACGTCTTTGGTTTCTATGAAAAAATTCTATTTCTCAAAAAATAAAATTAAATAAATAAATAAATAAATAAGGCAAATGCTTGGCCCATTGTAGATGATGTAATGCACATAAAATCTGATTTAGAAAAATTTGAACACGTAAAGGCAAACGCTTAGCATTCTAACTTAACGATAATTTATGCTACACTCGGTATTGATCTAAGCTTGTCTCATGAGATACAACGATCACGTTCTTATGATAGTCGCACTTCAAAAGATAAGGCCCTATCAAACTGCGATTATGTAGAACTTTCTATTATATGGACCTAATGAGACACTAAAATACTGTAAGGCTTTGACAACTATAGCTCCAGATGAAATTGAAGGAGTTAATGAAGCAACAAACACATTTGGGTTCGTGTTCGAAGCCACTATGTAGGGAATTGGGAGGGTCCTCTTAAAGATATTCGAACAATACAAGGATTATCAAATTGGAGGATAAAATTGTGACATGTGCTTACAAGTGACACGATTGTTTGAAAAATTGTGGCAGAGCATCACACAAGTGGAACCAATCTCATGTACATGGTTAGAACTTTGAGTATGAAGATTGAGCTTGCTCATTTTAACTCAACCTAATTACCCACCCATGTTGATTTGTGTGTTGTTGCCTCTGGCGCATTCTAAGGTAAAGTCCTCAATCCTTTCTTTGTTTTAGTTTTGTTAAGGTCGATTTTTTGAATTTGTTTTGACAATTTCAAGTGTTTATATGCAAGGCCTTTTGGTGGTGGTTACGGGTTAGATCGTCCCCATCATGGTCGGTCGGTCGGTCCTTACCAAATTGGGTATTTTTAAATTATTTATATTTTAAAAATATTAATATGGAAGCTTTTTATTTATGGCCTTCTAAGTAACAATGTACCATAGGGCATGGTATCATACGACTAACTCGCCGTGATTACCCTAATCGCATGGGCCGCTTCAGCATATCCATCTCTAGCTCTCTCTTTCTCTATACAGAGTCAGACTACCCAAATTGAAGCTCTTAATCTCTCTATTTCCCCGCCCATGTCTCTACTACCTCTGGTGCCATTCTAGGTTAAAGTCCTTGACCCCTTTCTTCGTTTTAGTTTTGTTAAAGTCTGTTAATTGAATTTATTTTGAAAATTTTCAAGTATTCATAGGAGACGCCTTTCGTTGTTGGTTGGGGGTTAGATCTCCCTATCGGGTGAGGTGGTTGCAGATTAGAGTAATATATTTTTGAACTCCATGGAACATATAGGCTTCAAATTGGTGATTATGGAAGGTGGTTTGCAAAGTCTAGATACCATTTACACACTGTCAACACTCCTAGTCTGAGTCGTACACCCATGTTTACTAATTTACCACCATTAGTAGTTGAAGATGGAGTAGTTGCAATCCCCCCATGTGATCCCACAACATCAAATAAACATGCGTGTGCTCAGAAACTGCTTTTAACACACCTTTCAACACTTCTATGAAACTGCTTTAGTGCTCAAAAAAAGAGTTGTAGATCCTTTCGGGTTGGTTTGACCTTTAAAAAGGTGGAAGTCCTTATTTGTACAAATGATTGGCTAAGAGTTGAGTGTTTTGACTTCACCAAGGAGTCCATTGAAGATGATGTAGAATTTTATCAAGC